TCAGAAAGCGACGTTAAGCAGTAGCCTCGAGGATCCCTTCAAATCCCTCCGGGCGCCCTCCGAATGCTTCCGGGCGCCCTCCCAGAAGTTTTCTATAGTGGCTTGTGCATGCTTCCGGACGGCTTCACAGAGGTTTTCTAGTGGCTTCAGAAAGCGACCTTAGGCAGTAGCCTCCTTTCAAATCTCCCGGGCGCCCTCCGAATGCTTCCGGGCGCCCTCCCAGAGGTTTTCTAATGGCTTCTGCATGCTTCCGGGTGCCCTCACAGAGGTTTCCCAGAGATTTCCTATTGGCTTCACAAAGCGATGTTAGGCAGTAGCCTCCCTTCAAATGCCTCCGGGCGCCCTCCGAATGCTTCGGGCGCCTTCCCAGAGGTTTTCTAGTGGCTTCTGCATGCTTCCGGGCGGCTTCACGGAGGTTTTCTAGTGGCTTCTGCATGCTTCCTTGCTATACACTGTGCTTGTGCATGCTGATGTCCCGTTAGTTTAGTTATTCCTGAGCGCAACATGCGCCAGCCAAGCCACCGGGCATCTCTTACGTAAGCAGACACGATCACGAAGCCGGCTTGCTCCAAAGGACATATAGTGAGCAGAATGCCATCAGTTTCATCAGCCGGACAAGGGCCGCTGTAGTCTTGTCGCATCCTCAACTCAACACGAAAACGCCGCCAAGCCCCAGAAGCAACAGAAATGAATATCGATCGTAGTCACAGCAGGATCATTCGTTCAACAAGCCGCATTTTGGCTGGTCCCAGGCATAGTCTGGGTTATCATAACCCACTTCCTGACGATGAGAATTCAATAGTAGACATTCCGGTGACTGGATCTATGCTTTTTGGGGGGTGGTTGGATATCATTGGGGGGCGGTACTAAATAAGATAAGGGTGATGGCCGGGCTAAGAAAGCCAAACATGCCAAATCTGATATCAAATTGATATCTCAAGTTGAGTCTGATGGCCTAAAGTCAAACCAAGTCAAACCGGATGAGTCGGATGGCATTGGAAATGTGAACCCATTTGGTGGCAGGCGACGAATTTCTGTACTGACGGAGATCCTTTGGGTCAAGGAGTCAAAAGTCATGGCCCACGTTCCAAATGAGTGGCAAACATCTTCGATCATCTTCGTTTCTGGCATGTCACATGTTCAATATTCATCAATATTCATCAATATATCCGGGTGTTCATTCAAGCAAACCATACTCAAAGAAATTATGATATGATATACGTAGTACCCCTTTTCGGATCCATGGTGCTGGTATATTAATGCTAACATAAAGGGTGGTGGTATATTGATGGGATCCATGTCACCACAAAAAAAAGCAGCACCATAGATCCTATTGGATCATCCAACCAAGTCCGAAGTGATTCAAAAAGCCCTGGTCAACAGTGATTTACATCGAGTTATCCCAAAAAAAATCTCCATTTATGGCTTAAGAAAAACCACTTACTGGCCACTTTCGAAGTGGTATTGAAAAACAGTCTGGACAATCAAAGAGTTTCTCTGGTATTTCAACTTGTTAAATCTGTTTAACGGTATATTCCCATTTATTTACTTTCTAAAAGGACATGATAATTTGTTCTGAACAATCTCCATCACGAAGTAAAGCATCTACAAGGTGGTGCCCCAGTTCGTTAGCTAAGTTGGTTTATAACTCCAATTTCACTCTGGTTTATGGTATATACTTACTCTGATTTGTAAGCCAGCAAACATCACTGGGGGGGCACCACCTTGAACCTATCATTGGCCTATCATGTCCTTCGGGACTCCTACCGGTAGCGACCCAACATCTTCAGTGTGCCTGCGATAGTCCGCGAAGCTGTTCACCTTCACAAGCCTCAAGGAGCTTTCCATTGACGGCTGGGGGATGGCTTTATCGGCTCAATTCCATGGTTTATCGTTTGACAAAGCGGGATGCCGAAAAAAGAAACCACTTATGAGTTCTAAGTTGTGTGGAATTTTAATTATCTCGTAATATAATTATCATCATTTATTTGGGCAAATTATAGTATAGTAATTCAATATAGTATAGTAATTCAATATAGTATAGTAATTCAATATAATTCACTAATCTGAAGCTTGCGGCCAGCTATGGGGATGATTCCCCGAATCTTAACGATGATTCCAGGCTTCGGGAAAACAGTGAAATGTTATCATTTGCCCAGATTTATCCATGGTTGACAAAGCGGGATGATAATTAAGAACCACTTGTGAACCATAGATAATTCCATAGATAAATCCATAGAAAAATGGATTGATCTAATTATCCTAATTATCATTTACCGTTTAGTAATCATTAGTCATTAACCATAGTTACAATTAATGGGTTACAATCATACTTATTTCTACTAGTAGTTGTATAACTACTGCAATATTCATCAGTAAGTTTCTCAGATTAATCAAGATTAATCAAAGTATATCACAGTAATGAAACATTGAGGCTGTGACTTAACATGTATATAAACTAACATTTCACTAGGGTTGATTCGCTGAAGGATCTCAACTCTGCAAACGGGCACACGAGACTTCCAAGAAGTTGTGTCAACTTATTATCCCATGGGATGTTATCTGGTTGGTGGTTTCAACCCTTCTGAAAAATATTAGTCAGTTGGGATGATTATTCCCAATATATGGAAAAAACGAAAATGTTCCAAACCACCAACCAGTTATGGATGTATTCAATGGCCATGCAACAGGAACCGATTAATTGGAGGTACGTATACCATATATCAGGCCTATTTTTCAGGGCTAAATTTCAGGGAATAATTGATGTATGGCGAAAAAATATCTTTTTTCCAAGTACAATATTTGAAGAACCACAGAGGGTGGACCCCCAAGATTGAAGATTCGTTCTGCGGTTGGGTGAACATATTGTTTTGCGACAAACACACCTGGACAGCCTGGACAGATCCTGGCTCTGTGCAAAAAACTACCGAAGATCTCACTGGATTTGATTACTGTATATACAAGGGTAATTTTAGAATGGAACCCAGATCTTTCAAAACGATGGTTTCTGGTAGAGATGTTCCCTTCAATCATCCCATAGTCACACAATCTCAAATAGCCAAGGACATCTTGTTTCAAAATAGCCAAGGACAAAATCAGCTACTGTTGGCTTCAAGGGCTCCAAAAAAGCAAACGTATTTTGGGCTACGCCTCATCTGATGCGCGTTCGCGCGTTCCAGGGGTTCTACTTCACTGTGGGCATCAGAACCATCACTGTCCCACTGGGCTCAGACCGTTCTTGAGCTTCACAAAGCCACAGATCGCAGCCAGAGGCCTGAAAGCTGATGTCTGGAACAATGCTGTGAAGAAGATCATGTTCCTTACAACGTATAGCATCCCCGAACTTTGGGGGTACAACCCACAGAGTTCCGACTCTGGTAAAATCCAACCTCCAAAAAATGATAGTTACCCTCTGGATCCCTCCAGCAATACAACAGTTTGCGACGGAAAATTGCCAAGGTATAGAAAAATTACCCATTCAAATTGGTCATTGTCCATCGCTATATTAAATTTACCAAAGGGTGACATATTAAAAATATGGGGTTCTAAAGTACATCAACACGTCTCAGTTCATATTGTTGCAACAAGTTGTATAGATGGAATTAAGTGCTTATTCCCATTCTATCAACTATTGTTTGGACATATTTGAAATCTAGGTATTCCTACGATGGGTTATACCTTATAACACACACTCTATCAAACTATGCAATGTAACCTACTACAATAACCGACCAACAAGGAGACCTTGGAGTACTTTCAATGGCTGACAACCAACTTTGTGGGGTCTGGACAATGATTTTCGTAATGTGGCCATAAGTTTTGGTTTCCTTTTTTCAAAAGGGATGTATATCGCATGCAAGGTGTGTGGGGGAGTCCGGAGATTCTTTTGACTTTCCCACCAGTTCTTGCCAACGGAAATTGATCTATGAGAAATTATGAGACAATATTCACCCTGGAGATTCATCATCTGTTTGGTGGTTTTAACATGTTTTAACCATCTTGAAAAATATGAGTTCGTCAATGGGAAGGATGACATCCCATATATGAAATGGAAAGTCGTAAAATTCCATGGTTCCAAACCACCAACCAGTTTCTTTTCAATTTCAGGAGTTTCTGCTCTCGAGTGATTTCTTTTCGCCAAGCGCCATCCTAAAGCCTGGACAGTTGAATCTAAGGCACACATTTTAAGTGAGGATGGCGACGCAAGAGTGGCCAAAAGGAACCATTTAAAATTGCCATGTTTGCAAGGTTGCGCCCCCCCCAGTGATGTGAATGTTGGTTTATAAATTTATACACCATAGTAAGTAGTTCGATAGATCTACCATAAACGAGAGTGAAATTGGAGTTATTGGCACCAACTGAACGCGATTCCGAACGTGGGCACCACCTTGTGATCAAGATTCGGGGGCGAATCGGATGTATACCCAGCTACAGTGGAACATTGGCATTAAAAATTTGGAAACCCACGGTTTTCACAAGGAAAAAAAATAGGGATATTACCCAGAAGGGTCTTTCGGAAAACACAACTGGGAGGTTGCAATTCTGGGAATGGAGGGCTTTGAACCGAACTCTGGTTAGCTTTATATAATGCCATGTTATGCCATTTTGGTCAGTGACAACCCCTCCAAGTATTGTTGGCCCAATCCCATTTTTGCTGCTTCAATCTGCATTTAATCCATATATTATTTTTTTCGGCCTGAAAACGCATTGCATTTGCAACAACTGGTAGACATTTAGCGGAATAAACCATATATTGTTGTACAGACTTTTTATATGTTTGCTGCAGTCTCCACACCAAAATTTCACCCACCAACTGGGCTTAACCCCCTCCAAAATCATCGATTTTTGTTCTCGGTTTCTGGATGGTTCCTTTAAAATCAACCAAGCCGGGCTAGTCATTGGTTAACCATTTTCTGCTGTTTCAAACCATTGGATAATTAACCAATGAGGTTAACCTCATTGGTTAACTCATTGGATGAAACTCATCAGCCACACTGGTTCTGGATAACAACAAACTTTCCCATGAATAAACATCGTACATGTTCCATGCATTTTTCCCATGTCCTGCATTGGCAGTTATCACATACATGTTCGATCCACATGCCTTAAAATGTGTTTGTTGGTAAGCCAAGAATTCCCATGTCCAGATATTACGTAAATTACGTCATACTACGTCGTATAGACTCAGTATAGATGTCATCATTTCCATGTCAAATGATTAAAACCCATAGTAACCTACCATGTTTTCTGGTTGGTGGTTGAGCCCACCCCTCTGAAAAATATGAGTTCGTCAGTTGGGATGATGACATTCCCAACTGAATGGAAAGTCATAAAACTTCATGGTTCCAGTCACCACCAAGCAATAGAATGAATATACATAGCTATTGACAATGGCCCAGTCGAAATAGTGGATTTACCTGATTTACCCATGAAAACTGGTGGATCTTTCCATAGTCATGTTAGTTCACCAGAGGGTAAACCCATAGTAAACTACAATGTTTTGATGTTTAGGCCCCATTTCTTCACCCTATAGTCTTCTGATCCAAAACGAAGGCATCGCATCGAGGTCAAGTGTGAGCCCAATTCACCGTGAACTAACCTACTTCCCGGGTGAACGTAGTAGTAGTTAATAACCATTAATTATATGGGAACATATGTATCTGTATTATGTGTCTAGTATATTCACATCCCCAATGTATTCCAGTATGTTTCCATTCTATCATCATCTATCATCCCATTGGACAAAAATCATCATGGTTTGTGGGTGATTTTCCATATGTTTCCCATGGTTTTCTGAGTTCATTCACATTTGTTTACGTTGGTTATATTTCCTCATTTTTGCCGGGAAACACTCCGATGTTTCTTGGTGTTACAAGGAGGTAACCCCCCTACTTTCTTTCGTGGGTTTTTGACGTCACTTGACGTTTAGGTTTTATGGTAGCTATTTCTAGAGTTAGATGGATTTACACAGCAAAAAACATACCTGGGTGATTGTCCAAACAAGGTGGTGCCCCATAGTAAGCTAAGTTGGTTCATTACTCCAATTTCACTCTGGTTTATGGTAGATATATTGCACTACTTTCTATGGTTTATAAACCAACATTCACATCACTGGCGGGCACAACCTTGTAGCTATGTTAAATAGCCAGAGGGTACATTCCATCTTTCCCACGTTTTAAAAACCGCCGAGTTTTCTGCCTGGATGAGTCTTGCATCATGGGAGACAAGCACCAAGCCACCCTTGAACCTGGGGCTACTCAACAGGATACAAAGTGAGGCCCCCTTTTACGATAGCTACGTTGGTTTACTACTCCAATAACTATGGATGATTATGCTTATATTAGCAGGATGTAATAGGATGGGATGTTAGTATATGTTAGTATTATGGTCATGGTTATTTCATGAGATTATCGCCATCAAAAGCTGGGATTTAACATGATTTTTCGGGATAATCAATGGGATTAATGATGATAAATGGGTTTACCCTCCCGTAATCAAACATGGCTAGCTTGGAAATCCCCTATGAATGGAGGCTTATAGCTGGGAAAGTCATCAAACTAAATGGGTGATTTCCATCGGCAGATTTGATTACCAGATGGGAACAAAACAAGCCGAAATAACTGGCCGATACAATGGGAATAGTGGATACAAAGGGGATATAGTGTGGGAACCACAATGCCACAAAGTGATCTCAGTAATCAAGCATTTGGGGTCATGGTAAATCATCCCAACTAGGGGTATATGGACAATACTAAACGCCAAATTGCGGTATTAAGTCGTTTATGTGTCCCCTACATTCACAACATGGGAAACACTACGACGTCGTATAACTACAATCAGAAACCCTGGTACCCTGGTCTTCCATCAGCCGTTGTTCATTGATGTCCATCTTCCGACTGTGGTATCATTGGTATCTATCCCACGCCATTAGTGATACTCTGGTGTTACAAAACATCATTAACATGATATGAATCAGTGTTACTAACATTAATGATACGCCATGAACATCGTTAATCATTAAGTGCTCTGGTGTTACTAACATCATTAACATTATATTTCTAGTACTTAATATGAGAATGCCTGGTACTCCTGGACTCATCGCTCAGCCATCACAATTCCATGTCATTGCGTCTGCGCCAAGTTTTTTTTTGATAAGCTGATTGGCAACAACTGGTTGGTGGTATACCTACCCCTCTGAAAAATGATGGAGTTCGTCAGTTGGGATGATGAAATTCCCAATATATGGAAAGTGATAAAATTCCATGGTTCCAGTCACCACCAACCAGATATATTGTGATTCCAATTATTAACCATTATTAACCATAGATTAACATAGATTAAACAAAATGGTTGGATAGATTTGGATAGCCACATTTTATGACCAAGCCCAGGGATCAGTCATTGATGGTGACCCCGCTGTCATATTGCTCGGTGTACCCGGCGAGCCGTTAGTGGTCCCATGTCCAAATCCAATGCCTGCTTTAACATCAACTATGTACAATGTGAGGCCCCCAAGATAGCTAAGTTGGCTTATAACTCCAATAACTATGGTTTATGGTACTTATAAGTATAGTTACTGGGGCTTATAAACCAACTTATAATGGGGGGCCTCACATTGTAGGATACTACAGGATTTGAATTCTTGAAATCTGGATTTGAAATCGTGTCTGATGATTTATTACAATGCATATACTGTGCATCATTGTTTATCTATTTGTGTATCATATAGATGCCACTCACTCCCTCCACGAACATAGGTCCTACAAAATAGGGATTAAAAGACAAGTCTTCTCTAGAAATGGTCGGTTTTTAAGGTCTCTATTGGTTGCAGGCATGGTTAAATGTTCAAATAAATTTAAATATGGTGTGTTGTCCAACCCACTTGCTATATGTTGTTCACTTGTTCAGTTTATCTTAAATATGCTAAATGTGTACATATGATACATTATATTAATATCCAGCAAATTCTAGACAGGTCTCGAAAGTAAGTTCTACCAAACCAATGTATATGTACTATACCCAAAAAAAGTATATGCACTATACATAGAATATATGATGTATCATTCCTTATTGTATCATACACCAATATCTAGAAAGTGGGTTTAAACAAAATATGCATGTATATATATATATATATTATAAATTACGTATATATCATTCCGAATCATATCATATAGTTTGGTTTACTCTAATCCATATTAATGATACCCCATTATTTCAACTACTCTCTGGTACACTAACATAACTATGGAAAATCACCTTTTTTCATGGGAAAATCCACTATTTCTATGGGGCCATTTTCAATAGCGAACTGTTAAATTACCAGAGATTAATTTCATCACAGCGAAATCGCTGTCCGCCTCTTGAGGGCGTCGATCAATGCTTCGACGCTTTCGATGTCCAAATGATTCGTCCTGGGCCGAAAAAGGGGGGGTTCCAATGGGGGATCCCCATTGGAACTGGATGGTTTATCAATTTTAGATTGGGATTGTCCATTATAAACCAATGAATGATCCCCAATAGCTGGATGATTTTTAGATCATTCCATTAGTTTATAAAATCCTATTAAAATGAATGATGTAGGGCTACCCCCCATGACTCAGGAAACCTCTATATATCGGTGTATCTGAAACGGAGATATACCATGGCTAACACCGTCGCCATGTCACGAAAGGGAAACTGATGATTAATCATGGGGCTTACGATAATTTAAAGCAAACCCAATTGTCAATAGGATGTCCATCTAGAGGATTCTAGAGGAAATTATGGCAGAACGATTTAATTCGATTTAATTGCTGCGGTTGGCCCCCATATATTAAACGTTTGAAGCGGGCACCATATATCATACTGAACATCCCTGCAAACTCTTCAACGCAACGATCTTCGAGCCAAAAACTTGACCCAGCAGAATTCCTTATCACGAGCTTCAGCAATTGGCAGATTCATGGCTTCAACTCAGCTGGATAGACAATCCCTCCAAACCGTCAAGAATAGAGAATCGCCCGAACAATTAGAGATCTTCTGTGGGGTGGCTTCAATCCCCCCTTGAAAGTACTGTACCACTCAGAGTGTATCATCATTCCTGGTTCATCTCGAAAATGTGAAATGTTCCTGGACAGATCCCGTAATTGTCGCTGACGATACATGCATAAACTTTTCCGAGTAATGTCAACCGTGTTTATTGATTAGGGTGTTACTTCCAAAAAAGTGACATGTTGGATAGTAGCTTTTGGTAAACATTAGGGTAGTAACAATGGTAACCATAATCAAATGGTTCTTACCAACATGGTAAACATGGTAACCCACCAATTAAACAGCCCAGGGGTTTATTAGTGAGCAAACTGTTGACACCGGGCCAACAGATTGGCTTCTGTTCGCTCATGAAAGTATATGCACGTGAATGCACGTGAAAGTACATATATGATTCATTATCTTTACTAGATGATATATAGTACATATAAGATCACTATGTATATATATATATATGATTATATATGTATTATATAGAATATATAAAATAACATATGATATGTCCAGCATGCGACTGGTATACATTCATTATATCATTATTGATCCAGCTCCGTAGGTCATTGGTCAGAGCATAGAAGAGCGCTGGGGAGGCGAACGGTTCATCCAGAATCAGAATCTCCGGTTTTCTGAGCAGGACAAAGGAATTCTTGGGATTAATATGGAATTATATATTATATATAACATTAAAACATTATATAACCATCAAATATGAGGGTTCATGGTTCAAATGGGTTTAACCGCGGAACATGCGGATTTGCAACCATGGAAGTGATATAATAAAGTGATATAGTTCAAACACAATGAGGATATAATGACCATAGAAGTGATTTAATTTATACATTTATAAACATCAACATGTTTTGGATATAATGGTGATATAATAGTGATATAATGGGATATATAGAACCATACGATCTTTTGATTAAGTGGCTTACTAAACCATACGATCTTTCGACGGCAGCCCACCTTTGGGGGGATGAATGGGGGCCCCAAGATTGGCACTTCTAAAAGAGGGAAGGTGACGATTTACATCGATTTACCATCAGTGACTAGGGCATACATTTTCTAAACAGAGGGAACCATATTTCCAAGTTTTTTTTTGAAAGTACTTCTAAAAGTGCTAAAAATGTCCTAAACTTCATGTTCCAAAGAAACAACCAGTTGGGGTACAGCACTCTGAGAGTCTGTTTTCAAAGAAACCAATGTCTCAGTGACTCATGGAAATCTAACAGCTGGTGAGATCAACCCCAAAAACCATACGTTACCGCCTGGGGGAGATGCCCAAAAGGACCCTTGTGAGCTTTCCATGAGCTGGGATGATTCCTGAACTTTTAAGTGCTTTCAATTGTTGATGTTCCTCAGATCACAGGACCTGGAAGGGGTTGTATATGTTGTATGGATACAATAGACTTTGCCTCTTTCTCGGATTTACCTAGGGGGGACCATTTTGAACAAAGTACGTATTGCCAATGCCGATTCCTATTTGGTGGATGCACCGATGGCACCCGGAGTCATCCTTGACCTGGATGAGATGGATGTTCCCAGAATGAGACTTAAACATATTGGGTTTTGCTAGGCAAATGCAGTACCCCGACCCGGTCACTTGATATTAATCATATTTGCTCATTGAATCATGGATGAAAGATGAAAGCGGTGTTTGATTATCAGTTAATCATGGATGAAAGCGTTGTTTAATTTTTAATGGGTAAATCAACTATAAATGGCAATTTTTACGTAACTATGGAAAGATCCACCATTTTCAATAGGTAAATCCACTATTTCTATGGCAATCTTCTCTTAGGTTCCTTAAAAAAATGCGTCGGCGTATGTCGGCGTGTTAAGGGTTCCGCGATATCCTCTTTCATCTCGCTGATCAGCACTAGAAATCAGTGACAAGCTGCTGGGTGCAAAATGTGTGGACAGCATATTCACTGCCTGCCAAAAAATATGATCTTTTTGGAGACCCCAAATGCCAAACCATCAATCTGAACTTACACATATTTCACCAACCTGGCTGGGTGAAACTTCTGGAGAGCTTCTCCATATACAAAGCACAATTCACATCCATTCATTCGTATTTGCATCAGCAAGTGAAGTCATTATGATTCCAACCTTCCCTCTCGCAATTTCGGCAATCAAACATCCCCACGTGTAGATGAATGTCGTGTTTAACATGAAGCATAGGGGACTTCCACTGGCACCATGTGCTGCAACAGAGCTACGAGTTGGCGTATAGGCATGTCAACTAAGATATATCCACCATAAACCAGATAGTGCACTTAGCTATCACAAATCTCAAACCACCTATAAATCCTAGAGTTATTAACCCTAGCAAACTTAGCTATCACAAATCACCAATCGGACAGTTATTGTTGATGAAGGGCTTGGTGATTTGCACCAACTTAGTTAATCCTGGGGCACCACCCACGCGTGCGAGCGCGCGGCACCTGCAAGTGATGCTGGCAAAGCACACCCGCGCCTTGTCATCGGTGAAAAATGCCAGGAATTCCCATGTCAGAGGAATGTGACTAGCGAATGTTTTCATGGCAGTTATTAACATAGTATAACCCATATGCTCCATGGTGCTGGTATATGTACCTACATGTGGGTCATTTATGGGGCAAATGTTGGTAAATATTTCATACATGGAGCATATGGGTAAATATAGTATAACTATAACTACAACTATAGTGTAACTATAAACTTATATTCCCATAGTATAAGTATAGATGATTAAGTATAAGCTATTGATAGTTGATGATTAATATATATATATATATATACATATATATATATATATACAGGTGACATGTATAGAACATCAAAAAAAACATTGCTTCAAGGTAGGCCTGCCCATTGATTTCTGCTTGCTGGTTAAGAAAAGCATTAAGTGTAATACTGGTGGGTGGCTTCAACCTCTCTGAAAAATATGAAAGTCAGTTGGGATGATTATTCCCAATATATGGAAAAAAAATCATGTTCCAAACCACCAACCAGAACAGGTATATCCCCTATGAACCATGGTGAAATTGGAGTCATAAACCAACTCAGCTAATCTTTCAGCGGCCCCACCTTGTACAAAAAATGACATCATTCAGACCGCAAATCCAGACCTGGTAACTTCATGGTGGTTTGAAGGGACATTCCTCTGCAAAGACATATTAGAGTCTGTTTCAAGATGTTGGACCCAATTCATGTCAATTTCAATTTGGAAGATGATAAACCATGGGATTTTAAGTGGTTCCAAATTTTGAGAGTCAATCTAAGTGATACACCAATGCCCTCTGGTAATTTAACACTACCTATGGAAAATCAACATTCTTGACAGGTAAATCAGCTAAAAATGTTTCATGTTCAATAGCTATCTGTAAAAACAAATCAAATGCATGCGTATACCATGGTATATCCCAAGAAAATATCAGAAAATACCTGGTTTAAAACCAGCATAAAAGCATAAATTAGCAGCATTTGTCAAACATAACTCCTCCTACGGCTCCACGACAATTCCACAGTTATAGCCCTTAACAGTTATAACTGGGATTATTTCTTGATATATAAGCAACTAGCTATGCAGTTACATTGGGAAGTGCTCGCAAACCCCCTTAAAACCACCAGGCGCCTCTTAGCGCCGTTCCCAACTAGTTATAGGACTTAGTTCATCCCAGTAACTGTTAGGATCTGTTAGGCCAGGGCCAGGGCACTGCAGGGCACTGCCAGGGGTTGAGTCGCCTTCTGTCCACCCGAGAGTTGCTCCATGGGACGTCGATGCGCATGCGATGGCCTTGGAGCTGATCCAAGGCGGTGAAAACGCGCGGTGACACCGGTGATGACTACGGATGGTGAAGGAACAATGGTGACAGGATGGGGCCCCAGTTTGTTAGATAAGTTGGTGAACATAAATATGTTATAACAATTATGATACTTAAAACATCTCAAAACTATATTTAGATGGTATTATAAACCAACTAATAAGTGGGGGGCACCCTCCTGTAAACATAGGAAAACCATGAGAAAACCATAAGACATGGTGGTTGAAGCAAGAAACATGTGGATTTATAGGTGATGGGCCAGTAAAACAAGTGGGGAAGATGATGACATGTTTTCCGTCTTTTTTTCAGGCATTTGAAATGGTTGAACATCAAACGTAGTTGAAAGAACCAACCGGTAACCACTTCATACCACTTCTATCTTGCGTGTATCATGAAAACTTAATGAAACCCAAACAAATGCCAATATAATGCCAATATACAATAGGAAAAAAATCTGCCACTCTTTATCGAATAGGGACTGCGTGTCAAAGTTAGAGTACAACAAATCTTGCAAATACCTTTTAAGACTCGAAGACCATATATTTTTCGCAGGTGAAGTTCCATAATTAGTCAGGTTCGTTGGCCAGAGGGTCTGCGGTAAATTTGCAATCCTTGAAGATATTGGTTTCACCCTACAGTGAGTCAATACAGAAACGTAAAATGGACGATCTACCCTCTGGTAAACTAACATAACTATGGAAAATCACATTTTTTAATGGGAAAACTCACTATAAATGGCCATTTTCAATAGCTATGTTTTTGTGGTCAAACAAACACCAAGGATGTATTGAACATTTCCTGGGCCTATCCGATAGATTTTTTTTCCAAGTGAGGTTTCAGGTGTTGCCTCTCTGGTCGTTTCGGAACCTCGCTTCCTCCCAAAAAAAAAGACATCCTTTCCGTATGCCCAATACGGGCGTCCCGGGCAAACCAAACTGCCCAAGACATTTGTGGGCCAACCTGGGGTGGAGGTTCACCCGATTTTTGTTGGGCTGACTTTTAGCCCAACAAAAGTGCCAGCAAATAATGGAGGAATGGAGGAAAGGGGGAAAAAACAAAACGGGCATTTTGGAAATGTTCCTCAAAGTTGGGACAGTTTTGGACAGAACCATGATCAAAACCATTCAAACATTGGGTATACTCCTGGGCACTAAGATAGACAAACCAGACCAAAGGATTGTCAGAAGTGGATTTGTTTAGGCAACAGCACGGCTATACACGGCACCTATAACGACGTGGAACAAACTGATCTTCACCAATAAACATGGGAGAAAGGGAGAACGTATGAATAATGTTATCAACTGAGTCAAACTGCACCTTCCAAGGCAAATCAACTACCCAGAAAAAAAAACAGCCAACCATGTAACAGAATACCCTGTGGTAATTTAACATAGCTATGGAAAATGGCTGTTTTAAGCACATTAGACATGTTAGTTTACCAGACACGTTAGTTTACCGTGTTCAAACGAAAATTTGAACATTACATGTTCAATATTGGTAAATCAACTAGACATTCATGTTATTTTAATGAGCATCTGGTTGGTGGTTTTAACCATCTTGAAAAATATGAAAGTCAGTTGGGATGATCCTTACCAATATATGGAAAATCAAAAAAAATCCATGGTTCCGAACCACCAACCAGATATATTGTTATTCCAATTAATTAACCATGATTAACCATAGATTAACCATAGATTACCCAGGAAATTTCCAACCAGTTATTGAACATGTTCAATTTGTTTACCAGAGGTACCTGCCTCAAAATTCCTCATGCTCTGAGTCTGATGGTGATCAGACGTCCCATGAAGGTGACCAGCCCGGGGGCCGAAGAAGTTGTGATAAAAACACCTGACCTAGCGGACCTAGCAGTACCATAAACACAGGTTATCCTAGTTGTATGATGTTATACCTGAACTTAGCTAACAACATCACTTTTTTGATCAGATAAATAATCTATCAATCCCCTAATATTGCTAGTTAGATCCCCAGAATCTATTCCTCTGCTAGTTCTCATCTCAGCTCCATAGTCCCGTCCAAGGCACTCCGGACTCTCAGTCCCGGCACCGAAGCGCCGCAACTCCTGAGCGTTTGCGCTTCCCTGCACCCGATGTCCATGGATTTCCCTAATATGTCATTGATTGTCACTGGATATGTTTACAGTATTGGTTTAAAGACCCCATGAACTAGTTCAACATATCTACAACTTCCAATAAAACCCTATTTAGGTGTTGTTGTAAACACAACTTAGCTATGGTGAAGATAAAACAACGCATAAAACTCAGAGATTCAAATGGGGACGCCCCTTTTGACTCCCAAGACCAATCATCAGCCATGGAGCCAGTGGATGACCAAGTGGGATCGATTTTTAGCGCATGATTGCGCATTTGTGCAATCTTATCTCTGACTATCCTAGTCACCTAAGTTTGAACCTGATTTTTTAACTTCATTGTGTCATAGTGTATCTACTCTTTTGTTTAGGAAACTTTATCCGTAGCTCCCACTGGCCATGAAAGATCGTCAACATGGATACCCAACTGGCTTCGAATCGCTACCACTTGATAGGTACTGTTTTTACTATCTGTAAATGGGCAATCTTTTCTGGTTGGTGGTTTCGACCCCTCTGAAAAATAGGAGTTCGTCAGTTGGGAGGATGACATTCCCAATATATATATATATATATGGAAAAATAAATGTTCCAAACCACCAACCAAATATATTGTTATTCCAATTATTAACCATTATTAACCATAGATTAACCATAGATTACCCAGGAAAATTCCATGGTTCCAGTCACCACCAACCAGTATAATTTTCCATAACTGTTTCAATGGCCCAGTCGAAATAGTTGATTTTCCCATGAAACATAGTGATTTTTCATCATTTTTTCTATGTTTACCAGTTTTGTAGATCACCCCAATTGATCCCAACCGGCTGCGGCCCCGGTGGCGGTTGCAGCCCAGATTCCGGCGATGTTAGGAAGTCCACCGCGGAGAGATGCAGGGATGGAGCCTACAAAAAAAAAACCTGGCACCGTTTAGCCAAAACCATCGGAAAACCATGGGAAAACCATGGGAAAGTGCTGAAGTCACTAAGGAAAATGCAGCGACTTAGCCCTTTCTTCATGGTGAATTTTGATGGATTCAACTGGATCATGGACCATAAATGGATTGACTTACTGACTTATAACCGGTAAGCAAACCTGTACCCATCATAAATCACTGAGAAATTATGTTGGTTGGCTACAGGAACCCCAATACACATGTAGAAAAAAATGATACTAAAAATTATAAAGTATGGTTCTATCTTTTAAGGGGTTACTGCAAGGTTGGCCCCCTAGGCAGCTTAGTTGGTTTGTAACTACAGCAACTAAAGTCTATAGAATATATTATATATTAATATACATATAGTTGCCAGCGTCACTGCAGGGCGCCTGGTTGTTTGGTTTGTTTCTTGATCATTTTTTGCTGTTTTGGTTCTAGGTAAACACATTGTGTGGTGCTCGAATTTACAGAAGTTGGTCGCCATCAGTAAATTGTTTCGCATTCAGACGTGGTTTTCTACGGATGAAAGTAGTTTTTAGAGTTGAGGAAAAGGGGGCAACTAGGCATCGATGCGTGTTTTCAAGGGGAAGCAGAGAGTCTTAGAAGTACCATGCGCCTCTCAGCGCCGTTCCCTGATGTTTAAAAACCAACTTACAACTGGGGGATCCCATTGTGCAGGGATTGCGACCATGACAAGTTGGAACTAATACGGCTTTATTGAGAAAACATGATGATTTCTTGTGTGAATATGGTGGGAATCTTATGGTAGTTGCAAAATCTGGTAGGGATACTATGAAATTATATATATATATAGTTTTAACTATAGTGATCAATAATCCGCCAAACCAATGTTTGGAAAAATCAAACGGCAATTACCTATCTCACAGGTAACGGATATTGAATTGTGGGGATGGGTCGAAAGTCAAAACCCAGTACCCTTGGCGAACTCAAAAAACACTGGTAAATGGATGTTCACACCCTCAAGACTGGCACTTATAGACCCATAGCCATGTTACTTTTGCAATACCACCCTTCGATTACCCTCTGTTTTTTTACAACAGCTTTGGAAAATGGCTCATGTGTGGATGATTTATGATGATCTACCTATGAAACACGGTGAGTTTCCATAGCTATAAGTTATTTAAATAATGGTATGTTCCCTAACATATATGTACTGCGGATCCAACCCTGCGGAACCCTCCGATGCGTCAACCGATGGTCAAAGGTCCTGACCCCAACAATATGAAAACACATCTAATTCTTGGATTTGCTTAAGGAATCGCCAAGCAAATAAAACATCTTCCCAATAGATTCCCCAAACAGTAGATTTCTCATTGGGAAAAAATTGAATACTTTGCAATAAAATGCCGGAATCTGACATGGTTTGATCAATTTGCTGCAGCATTAAATTTCATGCCCCAGGTTTTTCAGACTGCGCTGAGGCTGCGGAAGTTGCTGAGGATGAGACAATTTCATCAAAGTGCTGGGAGTATCGACACACCGTGAGGCCGCGAGAGTGATTCTGAGGCGTGAGGCAGCTGGGAAAAACCAGGTTCTTGAAACACCGAAAACAGCACCCCGCGGCGCCAAATGAGCAGTGCCCAAAAGAGCGCTTAGTATGTTGAGTTAGGAACAAAATGACTAATCATATACAGAAACCATTCTGGAAACCTTTACAGTCCAGGCATTTTGACGTTACAAGTAATGACAGCTATAAACAGTATATATATATATATATAAGTCTAGATTTGAAACAACTCCCAGAACCGTTTTGAAACATGACATACGGAGATAACACAAAATCAAAAAATGTTGATTCACCGTTTCACCTTTTATTGGGGCATCCATACGTCACGCCAACCTCAATCCAACATCCTTTTTTTTAATATGAACATATCGATAAGGATAAGGTACGTGAAAAAAAACACCAAAAAAAAATCAGGCCCTTGCGTAGTTGAAGAATGGAAGAAACCACCTGTTTACATTCGACGATGGGTGTTTCGGTCCTGTACCTCATCGACCTGCCCTGGAAGGCCGTGTGTAGGACCTTGTTGTTTTAGCGACAATCTCAACAATGTTTTTTTCAATTTATGCCGTGCAAAAAAAACACAATGAGTAATAAGTTATCTATATGGGAAAAAGTAGGTAGCCGCTATTTCCTCCCAAGTAAATTAAACCCTTGGGAAACTTTAGTGCCAAATTTTCACACAACATTCTCAAACATAATCGCGACACCGAGTCGTAACTTTCAATGCCTTGTTTCTAATGTCAAGCCTCTCATGACCGCTTCTTGTAGTTGCTTTCGTTTGTTTCCAACTGGTTCTTCTTCGCTGCTACTGTGAGAAAAACAAGAACAACTGCATCATCAGATTAGGTGCGGGAGACAGCTATACCTCGTTACGTGCTTAAGCCTGAGTAACAATTACAAAAACCACATGCAGCAAAAAAGTGCGCAAGGCCTTCATGGTATAAAAACCACAAGCAATATGAAATTCTACTAACAAAAACTACAGGTATGATGTTAGCTTTTGATATCTACATAAAAACACATATATATAAATATGTTATATTATATGTTACACTTGGTCTTTTTAACCATACTCATACCATGCCCCCTTTAAACAAGGGAATGGATTGGAGGCCCAAAAAAGTTAGTGTTAGCCATTCAAGGCAAGCATGGGATTGAAATCTTCAGCCTGTGTTCCCTTAAACATATTTTTTGGGGTAATCCCAACGTTGGATTAGTAGCACCCTAAGCTGTTTAAAGCAGGGGGCTGAAGTAATCAAATTAAGTAGCTAATAATCATTGTTTGGGGGAAACACCCCTGATTGATCAACCGGGGATTATTGATCCGGGGTTGACACTGTAAATATTCATATTTGTTATATATATATATATATTTATATATACACACGTATATTTCTATATAATATATATATATACACACAAATTCAAATACATTCAAAATTGGTATGCATATGGTACATTTATATATATATATATATATCACCGTGATATCCCTATTCTCTGCAGGCCTACATCTCCATCAGCAGATGTGCAGCTGTACGCAACTGGCTCAGGTTGTTCGTGTCTTCTACAATCTGGATTCTGGACACTTAGGGCGCAAATTGCGAAACCCGCGTTGCGTCATCCCGTCTTATACTGCCTGGTTGATAAAGGGATTCCCAGCTCATGGATAATGATAATCCGCAATATATGAAGGGTAGTTTAATCCCAACCATCATTCATCAGTTATATCCACTCAAAAATTCCCATATATCCCGCATCACCTTTGATGCAAGCAAAAAAAACGTGACATCGACATTCTTAAATTAATCCTCAACCAACAGTACCAGGGTGTATCCGCCCCTCTAGCGATCCCTACCTGGAGAAACAAACCCCCGTAAGCTGGGATATTGGCCACATACTTCTGGCCATTTATATTGGCCCCATACTTCTGGCCATTTACACCCATGTCAATCATTAATTTAGTCGGTTATATATATATATATATGTGTACATAGATACATAGTCCATGATTTACATCATTAATCCCATTATATTTCCCTTAACGTTTTTGGCTTGACAGTTTCCTCCCCATATGAAGTGGGAACCTCCAAGCACCACTTCTCACACTTCTCACGCTGGAAGTCGCATGCAATGGATCCATGCAACCATGTTGGGTTTAGTTTTGCGTGATTCTGTTGGTATATACATCCCCCTTCGGGAATCGGGGGGTACCCAAGGGACCCTGATTTTATAGTGCATAAAATGGTGGTACCCAGCCCCCCCCCCTGTGGCACCTCTAAAAAATCAAAAAAACACCCATACCACCATGATTAATGATCTATAAAATCAAAAAATATATAAACCCACCAAAAACACCCAAAAAACACGAGTGTCTATAAAATCAGGGTCACCAACGTACCGTTGGACAGCCTTTTAAGGCAACATAACAGGTCTATAAAATCAAAAGTTCAATGACCCCCACTTTGAGGATTCAATTTCTGGATCCGGAAGATGCAAATGTTGCACTGGAACCTTTTGATTTTATAGTGGTTATTGTTGTCCCTTTAGTTTTTGATTTTATAGATCTGTTCCCATATTATAGTCTTATTATGTCTTAGTATGTCTTAGTTCTATGATGTTCTATGATGTTTTATGTAGTTCAAGAGTCTCTCACCAAAGGTATCCCCTTGCATATTGGGGGGGAACCCTGGAGCCGCTGATTTTATAGCTATAATTTGGTGGGGCGCAGCCCCCCGATAACCCTGTCATTTCTATAAAATCAAAGTGTCCAGCCGTACACAGGGATGTACAAAGCTATAAAATCTAACAAGTATAGACTGCCCCCCAATACTGCAAAATGCCTATAAAATCAGGACACAACCTTGAAAAAATTCCCTTTTAAAGAAAAAATATGAATCCCAAAGATCACTATAAAATTCAGGACTGGGTTACCTCATTTTGATGGCAGCTCTCTCAGAGATTGTGAGCCGTATTTTTTTTGGGGGGCTACCAACCATGATTTTATAGCAGAGAGATCCCCTTGTGAATTTCAAGAGTCTCCCAGAGACCGCCATTTTATAGAGGTACCTGGTTTCCACTATAAGGGTACATTCTGGGAATCTTTCTTAAACCAGGATAAAAACAAGATTGCAAGAAATACGACTCTATAAAATCAAAAAACAAAAAATACCACATGAATACACATGCCTGTTTGTAACCACCAAAGTTCCCTATAAAATCTAGATACCGGGTGCAGGTTTTTTCCTTGAAGGTCATCCACCTGGTCCAGTACAAAATCAGGATCTCCAAGATGGTGGTTTTACAAAGTTTGTTGAAACATGTGCAACCTTACTATTGGGGTACCTGGTCTCTGATGTTATAGTTATAGTGGAACTGTTTGAAAGAGATGTCAATACAAGCTGGACCCGGGCCTTTGATTTTATAGAAAAGTTTCTTTTGGGATGGTTGTGGCTTGGGATACCATCAATTTCCATAGTTTGCTGAATCAGGTTCAATTAAATGAAAACAAACACCAGAACTTGGAAAACAATTGCCATTTTGGGAAACTTTTTGGCACCGGGATTGTTGAAGCAAAATGTCCAAATGAAATCGAAAACTTAGTCACTGGTCCCTATTCGGGGGCCCTTCAAACATGAGTTATCAGTTATCCATTTCGGAGTGCTGTTGTGCCTCACTATATGGAAAGCTTTATATAAAGATGTTGGAAGCGAGTAATGACCCAATTTTGGAATTTAAAGCGGCGGGAGGTTACACTTTTAATTTTAAAGAGAGAGAGAGAGAGAGAGATTTGGTCCATATTGACGCCGATCACACGCGTGAACACGCGCAGTGCTCAAGCAAAAACTCTCTATAAAATCGACGAATTAGTCTCTATTTGGGTGTCCTTCAAACCTGAACTGTCCATTTTGGAGTCCTGCGGTCCGCGGTGCCTTGCGGTATAGAAAGTGGCAAGGATGTTTGGGGCATGTACTGACCAAATTTTGCAGTTTAGAGGGCCAGGAGGCGGGAAACATATGTAAAGAGTCCATTTTCTGGATTTGTTTGAATCTTTTTGATTTTATAGAGGCAATGAGTCCATATTGAAGCCGAGTACATGCACCAAGTACCCCTACTGATTTCCGAATGATCCCCAATCCGTCCCAATTTCAAGCTGCTGAAAGGCAACGTCAACACGCGCAGTTCTCAAGCACAACCTCTCTATAAAATCGACAAGTTAGTCGCTACCGGGGGGCCTTTCAAACCTGAACTGTCCATTTTGGAGTCCTGCTGTGCCTCACGATATGGAAAGGGGCAAGGATGTTTACTGACCAAATTTTGGAGTTTAGAGTCTAGAGCTCAAGGAGGCGGGAAACATATAAACAGAGTCCAGTTTCTGGAACTTTTTGAACCTTTTTGATTTTATAAAGACAATGGGTCCACATTGAAACCCAGTACATGCACATACCCCCACTGATTCCGAATCATCCCCAATCCGTCCCAATTTCAAGCTATGGGAATGGAAAAGCAACGTCAACACGCACAGTGCTCAAGCAAAGCCTCTCTATAAAATCAAAAAAATCTTTGTTTGGGGGTCCTTCAAGCCTGAACTGTCCATTTTGGAGTCCTGCTGTGCCTAACGATATGGACAGTGGCAAAGATGTTTGAGGCGTGTATTGACCAAATTTTGGAGTTAGAGGGCAAGGAGGCGGGAAACATATGAACAGAGTCCAATTTCTGGAACTTTTTGATTTTATAGCGGCCGCATTCAAAGGCACAACCTTAAAAAAAAGAACCAACAAAAAATAATGTTTTGTTTTTTTTGGGAAGGGCTCCCAAGAGGTACCTGAAACCATCTAGAACTAGTTTGAAACCATCTCTATCTATCCATCTGTCTGTTTCTCTTTCTCTCCCTCGCTCTCTCTATCATATCTATCGATTATATTCTCATTATCTCTAAGATGTGGATCACCTCAATAACTATCGCATTAGTCAGCTGCTGTATTGGCAGCTTGTTAGACGCATTCCCCGTCGGTCTTGATAAAGATGTTAACGGGATGCGGAGATCGGTTACACAACAAATTTATCTCAAAAACCTTCCCTCTATTACGTCAGGATCAGTGGGCCAGCAAATCAGAACCATGCCAAAATAAAAAACCTCTCTATAAAGGTCAGGTGCCTGGGCCCCCCTGAATTGGTCAGAAGCCACATGTTGGCCTACAAATGGTTTACAAAAGGCCTTCTATGAAATCAGATCTTTATTTTTGTATTATTTTTGGACGCTTTGTGCACAGACCTCATCTGACTAAAATTTCCATTTCAAACAATACATGGGTACTACCATTAAATATATATATATTTGTGATTATATATGTATATAGGAAATAGAAAGGGGTATGCAGAGAACATAAACACCATACGCCAAACAACAAAGAGGGTAGGCATTTTGATTTTATAGATAGTGGGCCATGATTCGATGTGATTTGCATTGCTTGCCTTGCTAACCAGCACCCCCTGGTCAACTTGCAGGCTGTGATTTGAGCCAACCAACCAACACCGTATCTATAACATTAAAAACATTTGAAGACTATCAAATACTATCAAACAACACCAGAGGAAACCTACAAAATTGAACAAAAAACAAGATCATCCATTTGTTAGTCCAAAAAAGTCCCACTATAAAATCAAAACACACAGCCTCCTCCAATCTGTTACTTCAAAAATAGATCCACTATAAAATCAAAAATTATGCCTTTGCATTCCTTGTTCACAATCAATCGTTCTATTCTATGAAATCAAAGTGTACAGTCCCCACGAAAAACATGAGATGTTGAATACTTGTTTTGTGACCACTTTTTGGACCAGGTGATTGCAATACTCTTATGATTATGGGGAACGCTTGCGCGCCTGATTTATAGCTGAAATACCCGAGGGGATATCAAAACAATCAGGCAATTATTGTTCTGACGTGTTAGTGTCAGCCAGGATGTTACATGAACCCCCAGGATATTTATCTAATGTATTCCAAGGATGTGTGCATGATTCATTGAAGCATCATTGACCGTGATTTGATGGGATTTGCATAGATTTACATTGTTTGCCTTGCTAACCAGCACCCCCTGGTCAGCTTGCAGGCTTTAATTTGACCACAGTGTCACACGGAGTCTACAATATCAAAAACATTTGAACACGATCAAACAACACCAATGACAACTTATAAAATCAAAAAACAACAACACAATCATCCATTGTTACTCCACAAACCAAAACACTATAAAATCAAAAACACAGCCTCCTCCAATCTGTTGCGTCAAGAATAGATCAACTATAAAACCAAAACTTCTTCCATTGCATTCCTTGTTCACAACCAATCACTTTATTCTATAGTCAAAGTGTACAACCCCCCCCAAAAAATAAAACATGAAATTTCGGAATTTTGTTTTGTGACCACTTTTTGGACCAGGTGACCGCTATAATTTTCTGATTATGGGGGACGCTTGCGTGCCTGATTTATTCGATGGGGACATGGCAGGGTGTTTGATAGTCACCTGACCCTACCCCTGGGCCAAGCTAGTTTTTGAGCAAAATGGAAATGGTGTGCGATTGACAATTAGTCATATAAACTTATATATAAACTTATATATATATATATAAATATAATTGTATATATATATAAATCAGACAAACAATGACACACATATATTATATAGCAAACATATGCAAACATCAGCAAACCATCACAAACCAACCTGCTTGTCAGATACTATCACTATAAAATCAAAAAGCTCAAGCACAATTTTTATATCTATAAAATCAAAAAGTCAACCTCCAGAGAAACGTGTCCACTTCAGTCCACTTTCAACATAGTAATCACTATAAAATCAAAAGGGAGGGGGGGTACCCTGTACTTGCACCAGTCTATAAAATCAAAAAGCCAAGGACCCCAATGTTTTCTGACAACAAAATGTTTACATAAAAAATCAGTTTATACGGACCCTGGCGTCCCTGATTTTATAGAGGATTCCCGGAGGAGGATGATACTATATGTTGTTTTTTAGTTCCCCACACAGTGTGTCCACACTGAGGGGTTCTTACGGTAGGAGAAAAGGCCGGTGCTTGATCAGGGTGCTCACTCTGGGCCCCGGCATGTTATCTGTAAATTTCCGTATAAAGTGGCTCTTGTGAAATGTTGACATGCGTTTCGACCGCGCAGGCTCGCACAAAATGTGTGTCTGCGTTCTGGGCTCGTTCTCGGGCGCGGCATGTTATCTGTTAATTTCATTAAATTTCCGTATAAAGTGGCTCTTGTGAAATCTTGACATGCGTTTCGACTGCGCAGGCTCGCACAAAGTGTGCGCCTAGGTTCTGGAGCGCTGCATTTTTCCTGTAAATGTCTGCATAAAGTGGCTCTTGTGAAATGTTGAAGTGCATGTCAACAATCCAGGGCCATCACCGGCGTCGTCACAGTCACAGGAACTCGCACAAAGTGTGCGGCTAGGTTCTGGGCTCGGGCACTTTTCCTGCAAATTTGCCCTCAACTTCATCATCTTTCACCTCATCTTCGGCAGCATGTTCATCCTTTTCATCATCATCCTCCTCAACATTATAATTTTCCTCCGTCTCAATTCTCAACATCATCATCCTCCTCCTTCTCAACATCATCATCCTCCACCTTATCATCTTCAACTTCATCTTCCACACTATCATCCTCATCCTCATCCTCATCCTCCTCCACCTCATCATCCTCCACATCATCATCATCCTCCACCTCATCTTCCGCAACATCATCCTCCTCCACCTAATCTTCCGCTACAGTATCATCCTCAACATAATCATCCGCAACATGTTCATCCTCATCACCACCACCACCACCACCATCATCATCATCATCATCATCATCCTCATGATTATCCATCATTATCCTCCCATTGCCCCACACTGTTTGGGGTCTCTTGCCGGGATAATATCCTCCTGAAGTGCTTAGAATGTTCGCTTTTTCACAGGTACTGCCATGTTTGTGATGAACCGGAGATATTTCTGACCAACCTGAATAGAATGGGCTACTTTGAAATCGTTGCATCCCAACTGATTGAGAACCGATCAAAATCGAAACCATCGAATTCATATCATCCCAGTACGATCGTTTTCAAAAATTATGACAAACCTGGTTCAGTTGGTGTGTGTTTTTTTAGATGACAAAGATATTAACTTAACAAATCATGTTCTCAGACGCTTCCTGGTTCCACTGTGCCGAGGGACGACTTCTCCGTTGCAAGGCTCCTCCAACTTCGCCAGAAGGTTCAGCAACGTGGATTTGCCTGGAAAAGCTTGGGTGCCCATAAGGTGGTGCCCCACCAGCAATCCCCAAAAAGATAGAAATACGGAGATTATCCGATTGCAATAGTGGTAAATCATATTTTTCTATCTTTTTTGAGGACAAGCTATAGGTTAATTTATAGTTTATGGATGTTAATGGTAGATATACATAGATATACACTATGCACGGGATACACCAATGTTCACATCGCTGGGGGGAGGCACCCCCTTGCAATTCCCTGCCCTTGATGATGGCTACACCGTACAAGTGGGGAGCCTTGTCGTTCCACTTGTCATTCCAATTGTGATGACTTGACTACTCGTGTTTCCTGAAATGCAAAGTTGCTCAGTCGGTCTATAGCAACACCAACTACGTCTTGATCGCCACCCTATAGCGAACTCGAGCAACTGAACGTGTCGGGCCGGTCACCACCGTTGCATATGGACGAGATATGGGCGAGACTTCATATGTCCCTTGCGAAATAAGGTGTTGACGGTGTTGACCTTGCGCTTGCCATAGAAACTATTCCCTCTAGATTCCCCCTTTGTGTGGGTTTACCGGGTTTACCGTTAATTAGGAACATAAAATACAAAATAGGGCGAGGATTCGGTCGATTTCTGCACGCTCTCTTCGGGGTTTTTGACGATTTCAAGCCAGTTGCAGGTTCCTGGCAGGTGGTCATTTGTAACTGGTGGGTGGTTTTAACATGTTTTAACCATCTTGAAAAATGATGGAGTTCGTCAGTTGGGATGATTATTCCATATTATTCCCATATATGAAATGGAGAAATAAAATTCATGTTCCAGTCACCACCAAGCAGGTAATGTCTGCTAGCTCTGCTCGATGGTCATCCCCTTGAGGGGACCAGCAATTTGCCCCTGGATGGAACTTAAGGGCTACAAAGAGCTGGTTTCACAAATGGGGCTAAGTTGGTTTCCAGATTTATGGTAGGTATATATATATATATAGAGTATAATATAGTCAAATGGGGTTACTTAAACTAACTTCTAGCCTTTTGGGGGCATCATCTTCTACCTTTGAAGCGCCAGTCTCCAGTCCCTTCTCAACGGATCCGATCCTTCCCCGCGGTTCGGTGCCGCCTGCACCATTCGGACCCAGCACTGCGAGTCGACTTTCGGTCTGAGGAGCGAAGCGCTCTGCTGATGTCTCGTTCTCCACAAAAAGGGGGTATGAAAACATGTCAGCAAAAAAGTATGTGGTCATTTGAAAAAAAAGCTACAGAAAACGACCCTCTTTGATTATCTACCTGTTAGAAATGGTGATTAGCCATGGCTATGTTGAATTATTAGAGGGTATATCATCACAAAGTGTTCACATATCAACGACGTCTCTAACTCCAAACTCCCGCTTGCCACAGCTATACGCGATACCATTATTAATTGTTCCTGTTTTTGTCACTTCACAATCTGATCTAAAACCATCCCAATCTCGCAAAAAATGGCTTCGGAGGTCCAACATCAATTACTGCTGGGCTCAGAGTCTTTAAGTGTTCCAAAGTCATGCTGGCGTCTGCCTTCCACTAGGCAAGGATGAACCATAACATTTGAGGCTTTCCTGGACCATGGGGTACCCCAAGTTATCATCCAAATTATTGGTTGTGATCAATGGGAAAAGCAGTGGTGTGGGGGTACTCATATTTATTAAGGAAACCACCATTTGAAGATATACCATCTGGTTATCTAACATAGCCATGGAAAATCCCTCATAAATGGAGGTATTCATGGGAAAATCATCTATAAATGGGCCATGCCATTTTCCATGGCTATGTTAAATAACCAGAGGGTAATCCTATCCTCTGGCAATCAAAAATGGCTCGCTGGAGAATCACCCAATTAGTTCCATGATTTTCACTAGATCACCAGAGAGTCAGAGACTGCCTCGTTGCCAGTCACTGAGTTCTCGGACGTCCACGTGGAAATTCAAGCCGTGTAGCAGCCAAGGCTTCTTTCCTCGCGACCGACGAGAACAATCCAGGGTGTTTAAGGGCAAAAAGGGGACTGAACCATCAAAATGAGATTTAATTAATCAATATGACTTGATCGATCTGTAGATGATTGTCCATCATTTATAGCTCCATGAATCGGGGAGAGTTCCCAGCCATGAGTACCGAAGGGTAGACACTGCTTGGATATTCTGGGATATCCCATGGTATCCCCCCACGTTGCCAGGGCTTTTTTTTTGAAGGATAAAGGGCCATGTGACGTCCATGTGACAATCCTGGTGGACTGGCAGTATTGGGGGCAAATAACATAATCCAATCTGGTTTCTCACACAGGGTATTAAGTGGATTATTGTTTATATCACCAATCAATATTATCATCATAGTAGTTGTGATATTATGGTGATACTAATTGGGGGATAGCCATCCAAACTGGTACTCTGTAGTGCTTAGATAATATCCAATCTATAGGTTATTAAGCACTTTCCAATCGCATTTATGGCTGGCACAATTCTCTATAAGAGTTCCATTGCTATAGATGATTTCATCAAAGCCATCGAGTCCATGATTCACATATCACGCAGGCTGCGGGCCCTCAAATTATGTTTTTGGTTTATACATGTTAATAAAACGCCATGAACACTATAGATAGATTAGGTAGATTAGATAGATATTATACTATCATATATTCTCATATATTACTGTATCAATATATATATATACATATATATATACACACATTATCAGCATATATTATCATATATGATCATATATGATCATTAACTACCAGAAAGCCAACCATTAAGCTAGTGATGTCCCCCGGATGGAGGACCCTGACAGCGATTTAGCGGAGGATCCACTTATGACCAATCAATTGAATTTGTGGCTATGGAGGTTTCCTAAAATGGGGGTACCCCCAAATCATCCAAAATTCGTGGATTAACAAATGGTTAATATCCTATTATAGTTAGAGTTAATAACCCACTAAATATCCAGAATCTAAATGGGATATTAACTCTCATTAATGGATATTTAGTGGTTTTAATGTTGTTTTTAATGGATATCACAAAATCACAAAGTGGCAGATCTTGGTTCAAAGCAGCGATCACAGGTTTTTCTATGGCTGGCCAGAACTTGTGACTTTATGAAGTCTATATACCCTGCAGTAAACATAGAATGGTTGCTAGACTCCAAAGTTTATTGGTAAACTCCAAGTGTTTCCTGTCACATCTGCAAACAACAACTTCCCAAACGTCCAAATCATGATGGTTGAATCCCAATTTTGATGGTTAAATTATTCAAATCACAATTTGGTTTGGGTTTTCATTTTTGTTAAATATCCCGTTGCATTTCCAAATTTGGTATGGTTCCATCCCCATAAATATCCCCATATTTTCGACGAGTTTCCTGTGCCGTCCGCGAAAAAAACTCCTAGAACTTCAGAAAAGATCATGCCGCTCGTGTTCGCGAGCGGGAAAAGGAGCCGGGCCGCCCAACGAAGCTTTCATTTTTGCTGTCGTCCCGCCGTTTGGAATTTGTCCAAGACTGGGGCGATACCCAAAAATAACAGTTTGAGTGAGATTTCTTTTTTGTGAACATCTTACCGGGGTAGGCGTATTGACCATTTTGTTGCGATTTTAAAACGCATTTTCTGGTTGGTGGTTTCAAACATTTTCTATTTTCCATTTCATATATGGGATGTCATCCTTCCCATTGACGAACTCATATTTTTCAAGATGGTTAAAACCACCAACCAGTTTTCATGGGAAAAACATGATTAAGCAGTGGCAAAAAACAGGTGTCCTGTCCTGATTTTGGACCCAATGAATTCTTCAAACGCAGCTAGCCCTATAGTCCTGGCTCATCGAAGTGACCCAGTGTTGCAGTACAACTATACAAAAGCATGGGAGCATGAGGGTGTGATTATGATTTATCATGTTTTCTTTGAACAGATTTTTTTGTTTTGGAGTATGTCCATAATTTCGAGACACACCTGAATTGAACATGTCCGACGATATTCAAATCCATAGGGCGATAGGGATATGTAGATGTACCACGTGTCTTACATAAATATGTACCACGTGACTTTCGACCCTTGCAGAATGGACTACATTACATATTGACCCTTTGTTTCTGAACATTAACCATTCTGCACAAAATTTGGAGGGTGTAGAAATTTCATGGTGGCTTCATGGCCTTGGCTTCTGAGGGTGAAGAAGCAGCAAGAGGACAAGAAGGCATGCAGTTTCTGCCGTTGAGTTCATCACCGTTCAAAGGTCCAGTACAAGGTGAAGGTGTTGCCCCAAGTTATGTTTGTTGGTTAAATCCCATTGACTATAGACATATGGAGGTTTTCCTAAAACAGGGGGAACCCCTAAATCATCCAATTTAACAGGGTTTCTCAATATAAAACATCCATGTTGGGGTATCCCCATCTATGGACATCCCCTTATCTGTATACCATACGCCCTAATTAACATAGTTATGGTCACCAACTGAGTGAAGTATGGGGCACAGTCCTTGGGGAATGGTCAGTACCTTGGTTTTTCATCGTTGGACTATTTTGGGAGAATGACCCCTAGTCCCCCTGTAATGACCCCTAGTCCCCCTGTACATTCACCATAATTTCAACAGATTTCTGGAAGAATCATGACGGGTGACGTGGCACATCCTCAGCAGCGCTATATCAGTTGGAACCAGGATTCAGAGCATTTCCAACCGGAGTTTGTACATCCAGTTGTGCTTTAATCTGCAGGAACCGAAAAAAGGTCAAAACCTGAGAACCGAAGAATGGACTCTTCCAAAACTCTGACCGAAGTCTGTGGTCGGTTCTTGGATCTGTTCATCTTCCATCACTAAAGACATGGATATATATATATATATATATGTATATATATATATATCCCATTATATCCCTATGGATCCAAATACCTCCTGAGAAGGTACGGCTAAACCCCCCAGTCATGATACCCTAGCCACATTTCCTAAGAAGGTACGACTGGATTCATAGGGTAAACATATGGGTATAGTATTATTTAGTTATTCATCCTATGTTTATTGTTTTTCCATATTTTCCATATTTGTCCTATATATCTTTGTGACCCATCGCCATCCGAGTTTCCATAGGCTGGCAAGAAGGTCCAAGAAGAGGCGGCCTGATGGCGTCACATGACGAATGGCTGGTAGAAGTAGCGTCGTAGCTAGTATAGGATAGTATATAGGTTTCAAAAAAACATGCACACTATGGTAATATGTGTATATATATATATATGTATGTATGTATGTATGTATGTTTGTATGTATGTATGTATGTATGTATGTACATATGTATGTATGTCTATATATATGATATATGATATATGTATATATGTGAGATATATATATATATACATATGATATATATATATATCATATGATATATATTTATATATACATATGATATATATATTTATACAATACACATATATATATATATATATATATATATACATATGATATATATATATATGATATATATATGATATATATATATCATATATATATATATCATATATATATCATATGTATATATATATATATGTGTATTGTATAAATAAATATATATATATATCATATATATATGTATGTATTGTATATATATATATATATCGTATGTATACATATATACGATATTTATATATATATATATGATATGTATATATGATATATATGTGATATGGATGATTTCATTTTGTAGATATGTATATCAAACTAGTCAGATGGGCGAACATACAGAGTAGATATTCTGTCAGTCCCCGGGCACCAAATGCCCAAACCATGGAGCAACTGAATCCGCGAGAAATTTGCTGAAGTTCCTGCATCAATAACAAAACAGTACTGCCCTTTGGTAATTTAACAGTTTGCTATTGAACATGGCCCCTTTGTAGTTGATTTACCTGTAAAAGATGGTGATTTTCCATAGTTATGTTGGTTTACCGAGGGTAGATTACTCTGGGGTAAACCAACATAGATGTGGAACATACGGCTATTATGGATGCTTGATTTTTTGGGTGGATATTATGTGGAGGTCTCCGTATTCCACCATATTATGCGGTCTCCCGTTTAAACAAGGAGATCTACTTCAACGGTGGGTAAACAAAAAAACATCTTGAGCTGCGTCGCAATGCGGCGCAGGTCGAAAAAATCAAGGACTATGTGGGAAGCTAAGATTGAAGTCTGTCAGGAGAGGTGGGTTGGCATTTTAATATGGCGAAGCCTACCCGGCCTACCTACCAGTTTGACACAAACTCCAGGGCCCCCAAGTTATGTTTGATGGTTGATGTTTACCCCACGAATACTATAGTAATATAGCTACCAAAAAAACACCAATGAACCTATTTATAAAGCAACTTATTGTAGCTAAGTATGGGGTCGCACATTGTACATGTTGAGGGAAGCCCCTTCAACTAAAACGTCCCAACCGGTGGCTATAAATGTTGGGTATGTGATTAGCAATGATCAATGGCCATTTCAGGAACCTAAACTGGAGGTTACCGTACCTACCATATATTTCAGGCCTATTTTTCAGGCCTATGTTTCAGGGAATATCCCAGCAAGATATGACCAGAAATATGGTACGTTTACGTACCTCCATTTACGTACCTCCATTGAAATGAGATCTTGTTGGTGGTTTCAAACATGTTTATTTTCCATTTCATATATGGGATAATCTTTCCCATTGACTAATATTTTTCAAGATGGTTAAAACCACCAGCCAGATAGATGATTGTCCAATTAAAAGCTCCATACTTCGCTAAGTTGGTTTATATCTCCAATAACTATGGTTTATGGTAGATATCACCATATATAGTTATGTACCATTTATAGATGATTTACTTACTGAAAGTGGTGATTTTCAAATTCCCCTTGAGATGAGATGATTCTAAATAACATGCAGTCATGGCTTCGACGGTCCACGGTCACGACTTCCTGCCAAGGGTGATCTCAAGAGCCGAAAGCCGACAAGCAGTTACTGGATGGTGAGGTTGAATGAAAATAGTTCAAGATCCAACAAAACTCCTCAAAAAAAACAAGTTTTTGGATCCAAAAAATCCTCCAAAGATGATAAACGGATGAACAAAAACCCTACCGTAGGTTTTTCAAGATCCAACAAAAAATCCTCCAAAAAATCACCAGCCGATCCCAGCCTCTGCTAAGGTGGTGAAGTTCCATTTCCTCCCGCCTCGCGGTGATGGTCGTGGTGGCATTTCAGTGCGGAGACCTGGTGCCACGTCGCTTGATGTTGAGCCCCAAGGTAACTTGGGGAGAACTAGACTTCAGCATCTCAAAAACACTGGTTTATGCTAGATCATCGGTAGATATATCAAGATTATTAGATTGGGTTATAAACAAATATATACATATCTGGGTAAATTATAAGGCAAAATTATAACGACCTCACTGTTCTCCCGAACCCTGGAATCATGGTTCGGATGCGTAAAATCATCCCCATAGCTGGCCGCAAGTGTTATATTAATGAAAGCCTTCAAAATCTCCGGGAAATCTTCCATCTATATCCAGGATCCATGGATCCATAGCTTCTATGATAGATATACTGTAGATGAATATCATATACTGGTTGGTGGTTTGGAACCATGGAATTTTATGACTTTCCATTCAGTTGGGAATGTCATAAGCATATAATCCCAACTGACGATTCGTCATATTTTTCAGAGGGGTAGGTATACCACCAAGCAGTATAAATGAAATCATCTTCCATCTATATCATCTGGTTGCTGGTTTGGAACATTTTCGATTTTTCCATATATTGGGAATAATACTTCCATTTGACTTTCATATTTTTCAGAGGGGTAGGTATACCACCAACCAGATTATTTTTAACCATCATTAACCATATAATAACCATATATTATCCATTATTAACAGTATATTAACAGTATCATGATGGATATCTTCCCCAGATTTTCCATGGATTTCTGACACCTTCCATGGAAAATCTGGGGCCCGTCCATCGAGGTGGACGACGTGGACTTCAGCTATTCAGGCGGCATCGGCATTTCGTAAACGGGAATCCCGGTGATTTATCATAAAAAGTTATTTAATATAATGGAATGTAATGTAGTATAATATATATATATATAGTAAAATATAATGTAGTATAATATAGTATACTAACAATGCATAAAATAACATAATATAGTATAACAGAATATGATATAATATAACCTAATAAAACTTGATATAATATACTATAACATAGTATCATATAATATTACATATTATAAAATAATATAGCATAACATAAGATAATATAATACAATACACTATAATATAATATAATATGATATGATAGGATATGATGTAATATAATATATGATATAGTATAATATATGGCTATCCACCACCAGAGCCTACCTTTAGCGTTTCTTGGTCTATCTATACATATGTCAATTTAATTGATCAATATTACAGATGAATGATCGGAAATATAATGGTACTGTGTAGTACAAAACATGTAATCAAGAGAAAAATGGTAATGAATGATACCGAAAGCTTAAGGATACTACTTCCCACAGTAATAAAATAGTAAGTCCAACCACCACCATGTCTTGTTGTGGCTTGGTCCAATGAATATTTCACATGAATCCATGGGTGATTTGAGTACTACAAAGCCTCCCAGTTTTTGACAGTTGCCCTCTGGTTATGACTAACATAACCATGGTATAGATGGCCCATAGAAATAGATGGTTTACCTATTAAAGTGGTGGATCTTTCCATGGCTATGTTAAATAACCAGATGGTAACATCCTAGTTTTGGACGCTCACCCTTTAGTCAAATTTCCTTAAGTGACCTCCAAAAGTGGTCCGAACCCCTGGTGTTTTTAACATTTTGACTTCGAAATGTGCTTCGCGCCACAACGGCGTGCACTTTTTCAACATCTGAACTTCCAAAAGTGGTCCGGACCTGGTGTGTTTTGTACGTTTTGACTTGGAAATGTGCTTCGTGCCACAACGGCGTGCCCTTTTTCAACATCTGAACTTCCAAAAGTGGTCCGGACCTGGTGTGCTTTGCACATTTTGACTTCGAAATGTGCTTCGCGCCACAACGGCGTGCACTTTTTTCAACATCTGAACTTCCAAAAGTGGTCCGATCCTGGTGTGTTTTGCACATTTTGACTTCGAAATGTGCTTCGCGTCACAATGGCGTGCAATTTTTCATCTCTCATCTGGCCAGATGGCTCCGCACCCGCCGCTTTAGCGAGCCTACTTTTCGACCCTCCGGGGCCACAAATCATTGGAAAAGCACAGTGTTTCGCCACTTTCCTACCTTTTCGCGCATCTGCATCTTCTTTCTTCTGACTCTTTCTCTTCTCTGATCTGCTCTCTACTACTCTTCACTTCTCTCTGCCTCTTCCCATCTCTGCTTTTCATCTGTCCATATTGTCGGAAGTTTGACTTCTAAACTTCCTTCGATAATAAATACAGTTAGTGTAAATATATCATAAATAAATTAATATATATATATATATAATCGCTCAAAAGCATTCGTCAATGGCTGTCGCCGTTTGACACATCGGCGTTTGGTTATAAAGCTCTTGTCAACAACTCAGGGAAGGTCCAGTTTGTTAAGTCCTTGTCAGCATGCCTTGCAACAATCGAGCTCCGTCAATCTATCTACTTTTGTCCGCTATCCATCAGACCCGTCAAATCTTTACTTCTTGCCTCTCAAAAGTCAGTTTTTTACCGATAGAAACAAAATCCTGATAGAAATCAGAAACCTTTAGCCATGTCGCCATCTCCCAGTGATTTTCACCTTTTGGATTGAAGATCTCTATCCAAGCGGCCCGATGACGTTTCCGACTTCACCCAAGACGTACAGCCTCGTCCCATCAGAGACAGGGTTTTGCCAGTCGATTGGCTGTTTTGGTCAGTCGGAAAAATGGATGGTGTTTGCACATCTCTATTTTTTGGTCACTTCCCAAGCCATTCAAAACATTTCAAAACGGGATTTGGAGCATGAGAGGCTTCAGAAACCCTATGGACTTTCTGTGTTTCTACTGGGCCAGCGGAACCACTGTCATCCGCAACCAGGCGACATGATCGTCTGCTCGGTGAAAACCGACACTAAGGCCTGACACGCTGGGTCCTGGGTTTCACATCTCTATTTTTGGTAAGGTAAACAGTGGTACGCTCCAAGGTAATCAAACATAGCAATTGAACATCCTAAAGAACCGGGAAAAGAATCTATAAATAGGAGATTTCCCCTTGCCATGCTTGATTATTGGAGGCTGAACCATGAGGAAAACTGCGGTGCGGGGAACAAAACGACCATGTTGTCTCGGCAAAACCTCCTTTCATCTTGCCCAACTTCTTGCTCAACAAGAATCCACATCTTCTCTATCGTCAGGCAAAAACTCAACAAAAAGCATGTCTGTAACACAATCTTTAACTCAGAACATGCCTATCTTCACCACCATCTCCGACCCCATCCCCATCGCCAAAAGTACTGACTTCAGGTTTCATCCGCAAAAATGGTGAACAAAAAATACCAGCAGAAATATCTCTGGCATCCCCAACATGGCTTTGTCTGAAAATAGAGAAAACCCCATTATCCCAATGGTTTTGCTGATCATTATCCCGACATATCCATACTAAATGGCTATAATTGGGGGTATACCCCATTTTCAGACATCCCCAACATCCCCAACACAACATCCCAACCCCATCCCCCAGCGGCCCGGTCGCGACCTCGTAGCTGTTGACCTCGGCCGCGGCGGAATGAACCAAGCCGCGCCGCCACTGCCACCACTCGGGCGACAGCTCCTCCTGCGATATGTCATGGGGATATAAGAAGAATATGACTGGGTAGATTAACTGGGAGATAAATGAACTATGCCCCCCAAAAAAAATGCAACATTTCGGGAAAATGATGAGAATCTAATGGAATGCTGTACCCAGGCTCCTCTGGAGGCAGGAACACAGATCCTGGGCGGCATCAGAGTTCCCAACGAATCTGCCAGGACATGGCTGGTGATCCCTGTCCCAGCTATTTAAACATATCACTAGCCATGTCAGATTAGCCATAGGGGTCAAAAACTAGATTTTTTCCCTATCTAATTTTACATAATTTTACATCATATCACTTAACTAGGGGTAAACTTAGAAGTTTTTTTGGTCATATGTTCAAAATCGAATGGAGGACAAAGCTGCCACATGTGAAATTCTGCAACTAAGGCTCTCAAACCATTCTTGTTGCACTCCTGCATAACAGCATAACCCAAAGTTATCGCCTCACGTGTCGGATGATATCCAGGTGGTGCAGCTTGGGATGGGTAAATCCCCACACTGAAGCTGTGCTTTTTTGTTGTGAGCTCATCTCTCCTCTCGACATGTGGTTTAAACATTGAACGCATCTAAAAGAAACATGTTTCTTGGTAAATTATATAAAATATTTCACTAACCTGAATTAAGGCCATTTGGGGATGATTTCCCTTATTGACCATGGTTCCCTTATAATTTACACATATATTTCCATATCTTGAGTGCATCACTGCGTAGAAAAGCCACCTTCCGTCCATGTCTATGCAGAGTTCACGACTGAGAGCCTCACCATGAGCAGTGTGTTGAATATGAAGGTCATCTGATCCACTTTCCTTGCAGCCAAAGTTCAAAAATGTCCACCAAGACAAATTTGGTTTTAGTATCTAAAAATGTGAAAAACCCTAAAAATCCTCTAGTTCATCATCATTACACCCATGAGTCAATAGCCATAACTGGGTGGTCAATTCCCCATTTTTCACCCCCACTTCTTGCTCCAGATTCGCAGCCGAAGTCTTGACAAGACAAATATGGCTTTGAGGATATGGTGCCCCAAATTTATCAGACCTTCCCAGTCGAATGGCCCATTTTCAGTACCATCTCCTGGCATCTTTCGCCAGGAAACGCAATTCTGAGAAAGCAGCTGCCCTCCACATCAAAAGCCACGGCGGTCTGAATGGCGAAGTTCACCAACAGAACGCCTCGAAGGCGTAACCACATCATCGTTTTGGACCGGCACTCAACCAATGAAGCTCCGGCAACTACTTGGAAACTATGTGGAAACAAATTTCGATCATACTTGGAAATGATATCACATCCCAAAATGAGCAGAAATCTCATGTTGCTGTTTTCATGAACTTTCCAATTGGTTGTTCGTTTTTCAAACTTCTTGGTTAAATCATGCAACAATCCCCCCAAAATGGGTGGCTAATCCCCCAAAAAATGGGGGGTTAGCCATGGGAGATCCCCAGTCGTCACCCGCCTTTCGCAGCCAGTTGAACGCCCGCTGCTCCGGCGGAGGCTTCTAGGGCGCAGTTGTCCCAGGGCTTCTGCATGAACATGTAGAAGAGCTGCGCCACCACGATGTAGATCAAGATATAAACAAACCTCAGTTGGTTATAACTATAGTAAACTATAGAAAAACTGTTATCAACTATAGTAAACTATAATATAAACTCTGTGAAACTATAGTAAACTGTTATCAATCTCAGGATATAGCGGATCATTTTTTGGGGCTAAACACCCATCGTTAGTAGTTGATATCCCCACTATCAATGGTCAATAATAATCCTATATAGTATATTTGATAAACAAACCTCACTTGATGTCTACCCCAGATGAATTGATGAACAGCCCAAGATATGAACAAATCTTACTCCAAATGGCTGAAACTACTGGGTAAATCCGCTGAAACTACTTCTCTACAAACCTCAGTTTGTGACCAAGTTTGATGAAGTCTGTCAGGCCCCAAAGACATGACAAGAATATGCATGGAGGTGTCCTAAAATTGGGGGTACCCCTAGTTATCATCCATCCATTTATATGGATTTTCCATGAAATAAACCATCCAGCTATTGGGGTACCCCATTGATGGAAAGCCTCATTCATGTTTTTCATACTCCAAGGGGCTGGAGTCGGAAGATATTCCCATGGCTTTGTCTCCATTGGAATTAATTCTAGAATATTCCATGGGAATATCATGGAATAGTAGTGGGATTATCTATATCCACAATATTCCATGATATTCCAATGTAATTACTGTAACTAGTAGTGTGAAAATTCTCACTGTGGTTCTACTCTAACTCATGGCTCCGAGGCTACAGCCTACCCCAACCGATGTCCCCGAGAAGTCCGAGTGTCTGCCTCGCTGGCAAAATCAGATACGTCTTCCTGCGCTCCGCTTCGGTCATCTCCGCCTTCTCATATCCTCAGAACCACGAAAATTAAAACACGGAGTAGTAAAGCTGCTACGTAAAGAGAGTTGGATGGGGTGGTCAAAATACATATAGAACCATCATCATAGTTTTCATATAGATACAACATGTGTAAGGTCATATATATATATATATTGTATATAACATATGACTTATATATATATATACGTATAATACATAATAATACATAGAGATAGATAGCCTTTTGAGAGCAGCGTTTTCTCTGGATTTTGCAGCCCAGTCTCTAATCCCATCAGGCTGGTCCCCGCGGTTCCCAAGGGACGCCATATCAATTTCCCCGCCTTCGTCACCATCCACGGAGGCGTACTGGGGGAACCTGACCACCAGGGAATGGACGGAAAAATGGGCGAGATTTCGCCCCGATTTTTTCGGGATTTCACTCTCAAACAGACATAAAGATACTGGTTCAAGATGATTCAACCAAGAAAAATGGGGATTTACTTAGTATGTTTGACTCATAAGGGAAAAGGAGATCTGCCATGAAGCCTGTGATCTAAGCCATGTACGGAACCTGCATCAGGGAAAAGTAAGTTGGTCAACTGGGGATTCCCGAATGACATCGAATGACCGTAATCAATGATGAAGTTTCATTTGATGATAAACTCCAACCCAGAAATTTGATGTGGTAAACTTGTAAACCCAATGCCACAAACTTCCAACTCGTGATGGCTGTTTACCACCTATTTCTAGCAAGTCATTGACGATGTGGTTTGTTAATTTGGGTGAATCCCATTTGATTCCAATTATCGATTATTCATCAAGTATTATATAACCGAAAATGACCATAGACCACATGACTAATTTCAACGTTGGCAACAAGATCTGCTTTCGAAGTCCACGACGTTCGCGTAGGACCCGAACCATGGAGACCTGTGTGTGGAAGACGATGTAGACGCGACCACAGCACTTCATTGTCTTGAGAATTTCTTTGAATTCCTCTTTGTCCTTCTCTACATCCTGCACCAATGGATCATCAATGGAAATTTGACCCAACAGATCGGTTTTTGTAAATATGAAAAAACCAAGCATAATGGGATATACTAGGGCGTAATGGGTATAAAACACCAAGATCGACCCAAGATCAAGCAAGTTACCCAACCTGCCCCGAAGAGCAGTCCAACAAAACAACTTAGGAAGGGTTGGTTATTGCAAGCGCTAAAACAAGCAAGCTTTAGGATTCATATTATATATATATATATACACATATATATATATATATACATATATATATATATACATACTACATGATGAAGCTTTTTCTGAAAGTTGTGTCGCAAGATCACCCCTGAGAATATGCAGGAAATATTCTAGGTCTTCTTGCATCTGAGGCATCATCTTTTCATCAAATGCATACTTCATAAGCTCTGTCTCCCCGGTCTGCTCAATCAAAATTCCCCCCTCCACGCTAATGTATGCACATTTTAAAGTGCAATTTCCTTGATGTTCGAAAAATGTAGTATTTGTTGACAAAACGTTCTAGTCTGCAAAAGAAGTACCGTCTTTTTTGAAGAAACATGTTCCTTGCAAACTATGCAGCATGAACCTTTTCACAGATTGCTTGCATTCCTAAAACATGTAGCATTCCTTTGGAGACGTATCATGTTCCGTTACAGAAGTAGTTTTCTCTTGACAAAAAGAATGAATGCAAATGGAAGGCAGCATCTTTTGAAGAAACAGTACTTCATGTTTTACAGGAGTGCTGTTTCTGAAGAGAGTATGTATGGACTTTAGCACCAACATGTCCCAAGAAACCACGTCAGGGGGGGGAAAAAGTCAACATCAAATGATAAGAAGCTATAGACAAACATAAACTTCCCAGAAACCCCATTTACTAAGTGTTTCATCCATTTCCCGGTACAGTTGGGGACGGTTTCTTTGGTGGTCTATCAAACTAAATCATTCAATCAACGAGACCTTGGTGGAGAGTGGCGCTTGAAAATGTACAATATCTGCGACCAGAAGCAGTGCCAACCTTTGGTGAACCCGAAAAACACCATTTTCTGAATTTGAACCTTGAGATACTTTGAGAGCTGCATCTGGAAATCACACCATCTGAAGATGTCATATTTACTACTCAGTACTATACCCTCTGGTAAACTAACATAGCTATGGAAAATCACCATTTTCAATGGGAAAATCCACTATAAAACACAATTTTCAATAGCTATGTTAGTCATTACCAGAGGGTACTACTCAGATCTACTCAGTACTATATCATTCGTGGAATTGAACAGAGTCACTGAGTCACTGCGGTTTCACCGGTGCCACCCATCGACCAGTCCTCTTCCAAAGCCTTCAGGGTCATGGAGAAGTCGCTCTTCACCCAGCCGTTCTTCACATCGTCCAGCTCGATGATGTGTTCCAACATTTCTTCGAGTTTTTCTTGGTTTTCGTGGCTCAAATGCATCAGGTCGTACATAATACCTGGCGTGCTACCATGCGTAGCGGCCCCTTGGGCTGGACGCCCCGCTAAAAACTGTTGGAGCTATCCATGGTCTGCCTCCCTGAATAGATATCTTCTCACATAGACATCATATGGAGTAAACCCCTTAATCATGGTATGTGTGTGTATGTGTGCGTGTGTTTGTTTAAAGACCAGTGAAGGTTGGGTTTGCTGAGGATCTATCAATATCAACCGGGGCATCACAACGATATGGTCACCACAGGGATCTGTTTGAACTTCTTGGACTTTGGGCATTGGGGGTAGCCGGGTAGATTTACCCTCTGGTTATGTCAAAATAGCTATTGAAAATTGCCATTTATAGTGGATTTTCCCATTAAAAATTGTGATTTTTTCCATGGCTATGTTAGTTTACCAGAGGGTATGGGATGTAGAGATCCCAATTCTGTTCTGACCTTTATTTCAATTTCTTCTCTGGAAAGGCTTGCATCTGGGTTCCGAAGGTCGTCGTTTTTTCTTGGACGCAAACTCAGGGTAAATCAAACACGGACTCCACATTGGGATGCTCATTGCATCATTTTCTTGAAGGCATGCTGCTGCTTGTAGATCTATTGCATTAGGAATATGGTGAGGTTTCAAAGAAATAATTTTAATGTGGTTAAGACATGTTAAAACAATAAACCACCCATATTTTGATGCTTCAAAAAGCACCTAAAAAAATGAAAATGGTGACTGGGGGTGATTGTCAGCCTTCGGGGATGATCTCAGGGTTACTGTCTGCACTTTCTGAAAAGGTCACTCTCAGAAAGTATGTTTGTTCGCTTCTAATGTTGCATTTACTCAAATTCGCATGTGTTCTCCATGTAAACGCCGCTTTTGAGAGAGGAATACTGTACCTCGTGAAAAGCATACTGCGCTTCTTTTCAAGGAACGCAGCCAAAGGCATGTTGTACTTGTCAGGAGGGATGTTGCATCTTTGAAGGAATAGGGAATACAACACTCTTTCTTGGCGGTTCTTTGACCAAATGCTTCAACTTGTTGGAAGGAATTCATCCTTTCTTCAAAGTTCAAGAAATACAGCACTGTCTGAAGGAACGCGAAACATGTTTGAGAATGTTTGAGAAACAAGATACTTTCTCAAAGGAAAACCGCACTTTCTCGAAGGAATAGCAGCACCTTCGTGAAGGAATTCAAGACTGTATTTCTGACAAGTGTATATTATGTATTTCCGACAAGTGTATATTATGTACTTCTGACACGTAAATTACACTTGATTGCATAGCTGTTCTTTCCAGAAGAACTTCTGCACGTTCGAGGACAATGTTGCCCCTTTTTGACAAGGAAAACTGCACATGTTCAAGAAAAGCTAGTTTGTGTGAAGAGGAAAAAAAGAAACTGTCTCCTCTCTTTTCCCATGTACCTACAGAAAATCTGACATGTTCTCCAAACTCCGCGACTCATTAGTTCTACACCCTCCCCATCCCAGGTTTCCCCCATCACATCCCATCACCGGGAATTCAACAAATCCAGTCAGGCTGCACACACCATAGATGCGCCCCTCCATGTTCAATTCTTTCTCGATATAACGATGCAACCGCCTTTCAGAGGTGCATTCCGCAGGAACCCCTTCCAGCATCAAGGTGTAGTCATCGGCCGTCTGGTGACTTGAATCGTACCTTGCAGGTCTGGATCCAGGAGGACAATGGATTGGATAAAGGGAAATGTTACTGGAAAACGTAGATTTTTCCCATTAAATATGGGGTTTTCCTGTAATTTTTTCCCTTAAACCAATCCATTGAATGTTCATACTCAGAAATCTGGAGGCTTCCTATCACATGTCCCTTCAACCAATATTGGGAGACAGGCTGTTAGAACCATGAATCTTATGACTTTGCTATACTTCGTAGAGAACAAAAAATGACTATTTTTGGAGGCAAATTTGCCAAGGCAAAATCTCCAGCAAGCAACTGTTTCTGGAAGTTCTTCTGATAGTAGTGAAAACCCAAGGAAAGCAGTACCTTGGGTCGCAGCTGCAGCTGAGAACTGGAACCATATGGCTGTCCATGGCCCCAAGTCATTCCAATTGCAAATGCTTGCAAATGCTTGTCCAATGGCATCATGGAACAGGCATGGGAAATGTCCCAACATTCACAAACTCCGCAGTTTTTCTCCCAGTTTTTCACCCAACTTTCCCAACATTCACCAGTCTCACCCATCCAAGGAACAGAAGCAAACCAGAAAGCCACTCCCATGAACTGCCCCATCTTTGCGCGATCATGTTCCTCAGGTCGGCGTTCCATCTTGGGAAAAGCGACAGTGGACCACATCATTTCCTGCGTTCCCGAAATGTAACGAAAAGAAACTGGAGAAGGGTCCGAAAACTCGGAAGACCAAGAATCTCTTTGCACGATTGTCGCTTCAATTTGCCTGCCAGGGTTTCTGACCCCTCAGGCGGTGAGAAAAATGCTGGGTCAAGGGTCGTAACATTGACTGTTCAATCATGCGAGATCGCTTTGAACAGACCTTGTAATTGTATGCGGCAGATCCTTTTTCAAATCATGGTTTACAGAAAAGGTGGCCATGAATGGGTGGTAAATACCACCATCTTCAGACGTACCGCGACTTGCCCAAGCAGATGTGAATTAGGTGAATCTATGTGTATAGTATATCTATGTGTTCTATAGAATCCATATAAATTAGACTATACTACAGTACTACATATCATATCATATCATATCATATTATATTATATATCTACTTGGTAGAACTATATGTTCTATAGTATCATATTACTTGATGATTATCATATCATATTATATATATATATCATATATATCATATATATGTTCTATAGAATCAATATAAAATATCTATGATCTTCACAGTCTCCGCCTCAGTTCCTCTGCTGAGCTGGGACAGAGCACGGTTTCCTTCACCAGCTGCATCAACGACGGGCCTGGCAACTGTTGGACTGATGTCTTTATGTGATATAACAGTCATATGGCAGTGTGTCAAAACCCTGGTACCCCTGTAGTTGGACCACAAAATAGCTGGGATTTATGGATGTTCATCCCACTATAGTAATGTATCTATAGGTATTGACCCATAGCCATATATATGGTCGGTGCCAGAATTATAGAACGGAAGTTGAGGACTACGAAGGTACGGTTATTCACCGTACCCTGTTGCTCCATAATTCTGTTTTCCTCGGAAGATATGAAAAAAAAAACGTATCTTAACTTACTCCTAATTGTTTTCGTCGTTCTATAATTCTGGTTTGTTCTATAATTGTGTGTTCCCCCTTTTTTCCCACATTTACCAGTTTCGTTCTATAATTATGTTTTCCATTCTATAATTAATTTTGCGTAAACCGTTCTATAATTCTGGATTCTGTGTCACTTTTTTCTGGGATCCCAGAACGATACATAAAATGATGCAAATATATGTATATAACCTCTTCCGGGGTCCCAGAAAGATACATAAAATGATGCAAGTATATGTCAGTAACCTCCAAGGTTCCAGAAAATAGAACAGAAAAATTAATTATACAACAGAAAAAATAATTATAGAACAGGATCCGAATCCGCGCGGAATCGGGATCCGGAGGAGTACGAAGGTATGGTATTTTACCGTACTTTTGTACTCCTCATTTCGTTCTAGAATTTTGGCACCACCTGTAATGGTAAATGAGTATTATTATGGATATTGGTAGTATATTAGCAAATGATAACATGACAATAAATAATGATATAACTACAACCATTTATATGGAATAGTACTTATTTACCTCATGTGTGAATAATGATATACTGCTGTGATGAGATAATGGTGCGATCATAATGATATATGATATACTGCTGTTATACCAATTAATGGTATACACGCCCACAAATTTTCTGATATGGGGGTTCCATAAATGGTGGTACCCCTAAATCATTCATTTAAATAGGATTTCCCCTTATAAACCATCCATTTTGGGTACCCCCATGACTTTGGACTTCGCCGTGTTTCTACTGCTTTGTTTGTGCCGTGAAGCCGGCTTGGCCTGGTGACAGTACACGAAGGAAAAGGTACGCAGTGGCCAGGCCCAGCAAGCTAAAGGCGATGAGGAAGAGCTGCGTGTTGTAGAACCTCCCAGTCAGAAATCGTCAGTGAAACATCAGAAATCATCAGTGAAAAATTATGGAGATGTTCGATCATAATTAAAATCAAAATAAAAACAATAACACTATATAACACTATATAATAATGATTGTATTTTTTTAGAAAAAATAATAATAACAATAACAAAAACAATGATAGTATAACAATATTACAAAAATACAGTAATAATGAATCATCATCATCATCATCATCATCATCACCATCATCAGCACCAGCAGCAACAGCACCTCATCCCAAACATGATCTTCTCTTTACAACAGTCACATCAGTTCAGAACTCAGCTGGGCTTCCAACAGCTGCAGGCCAATGCCCAGGTCCTCATGCTCGTTATCCATGGTGGCCTTCACCAACCTCCCCGATGCGTTCCCCGGCCAAGTTGGCAGCCAAAAAAAGGATGTGATGGGGGATGAATGCATGAAAAGCATGAAGAACGACATTGATTTTTTTGAAATTTGGGTGGAAAAACTTCCAAATTTAATGATTGATCACCATTTTTTTCCTACAAAAAATTGCAGTGTTACTGGGGTAAAACCAGATTTTCAGACACACCAACCAGCCATGTTTGCCGCGCCTGCGCACGCCCCTCTCTCCTCGACCCCCTGCACGGCGCAGGGACTCAAACTTGATGGAGGCCTCCAGCGGGATGATTTTGTTCCTCTCTGATCGGAGTTGGGCACAAGAGGAAGCTTCTGGCACTTCATGGATCAGCAGACGGCCTTTTTCATCCAATTTGGGGCACACCAGAACAAGCCCTGAGCCAGCATGCCCGTGCTTCACAGATGTCATTTGTTGGTGAAACCGGCCGCCCTTCCAACTTTGTGAAGGTCTAGGCCTCGGCCTTTTTGGTAAGGAGATGTTTCATCTCTGTCTTATTAGTTTCCAGGGTGCCTGCTGGCAGTGCAGCATTCAAGAGGGATGGGGGCAGACCTCCTTTCAGATCTTGAAAGATGAACTCAGTCATTTCCATGATGCCCTCCTCAGTCTCACTCATCTTGAATAAGCAGCTGTTGTAGTAGTAGGCGCGAATGACCCCTGGCTTCTCTGGGCACTCCGGGTGTGTGGTGGTGCGAATACACACAAAGATGCTGCCATCGGGGCGGCGGTCAATGGTATACTTCCAGCAGTGGTCTCGGACCGTCATGCAGGGAACCTTGACGCGGCAGTATTTGATGTAGCCATCTGGCAGAGTCTCCACATCCTTCCATTCCTTGAGACCTGGGAGATTCTCAGGGTTCAACAGGAAGCCCAAGAAATCCTCAGGTGAGACACCTTGGTACTTGCCATCTCCACGCAAGAGCTTGTTGGGATTGCCCGATTCATGCTTTCTCAAAGACACCCGCATCTTGAACTTCTGCTTGTTGTAGTCTTTGGCCCAATCACTTTTGATCTGCCATCCATGTGGATTGTTGGGTCCAACCTCTTCAGCCAGCAACTTCTCGAACTTCTCGTATTCATTCTGCGAGTCCGCGGATGGCAAAACTCGATCACCCGAGGAGCAACAGCAGCAGCAGCCCATTGCAACCCGCCCGGAGCTGAACACCACGGGTGACTGTACAGACTGCCGAGATATGTTGTCATTGAGACCCTACTTTTGGGAAATCCACTTAGGCCGGATTCGCGCACATCTAGTGTGCAAAGTTGACCCAAGTTCTCCTGGTGGATATCAGGAAAAAGGAAAGCAAAAATGACCATTTATAGTGGATCTACCTATTAAAAATGGTGATTTTCCATAGTTCATGGACCCAACTCTGCCAATTCCATGATTTCCATCTCATTCCAATCTTCTCGGTCCCAGTTCCTGCCTGAAGGCTCGTCATAAATCCTTGCCTCGGTGCCATGTGTCATCCATGTGTCATCCATTGATATCCCCTATCAGGGGATGACTATCCCCTTCAGCCAAGCTACGAGATGGCTTTCTCATTATGTTTTTTGTCCTCAGCACGAAGGGATTCACAAACGCAATGACTAGGGAAAAAGGCAAACCATGTCTTTTTCATCACGCACTCGATCCTCAAATGTCAAGCAAGGACGACATAATGTGACAAGATGTTGTCAAAAGTCAAACAGGAATCCTCTTCAAACTAAAACTGGATGCAGCACGTATTCAAAGTCAAAAAAACCTGTGCACTGGCCTGCGGAGATTGCGTCTGTTCTCCCATAGTTGCCTAATTGGGTGTTCAGCTGCAAGACTGCAAGGGTGGGAACTTTTGGAAATGCGTGTCTTTCAAAAATTCAAAACCATTTCTGTTTTTTACCAATAATTCTAGCGGTTCCTGTAGATTTCAAGCAGCTCACCCAGTTTCATAGTGGGGCGGATCTGCCAATTCAAGGCTGAGACGGCTAAGAAAAAAAGAGTTGATCACAGTCCACGCCTCGATAAAAAGGAGGCAATGTCAAAACCAACAGAACTGCTGGAACTGTTTTGGAAGTAATGGAAGTATTTGATGAATGGAACTGTTACAATAACCAATTGTATAATGGTTCCAAATGGAGGAATAGATTGAATAGATGGAGGCCATTGAAAACTGGGCAAGGCTTAAAGTATTGTCACTCGCAGCAGGATTATATCGAGCCTCCCCATTTTTCGGGTCTTTTTTAGACCAAAAAATACTTTCTCCGAAAATCGGGGCACTCCAAAATCCAGTGATATTCACACTCATGTTCTGCCGTAAGATTGCAATTTTGGGGCAAATCCCATTTGCCATACCATGTTGGTCAATATATGTACCATTCGTACCATTCACATCCCCAAGTCGTCTTTCTGCGAAACGTTCCCCCAGTTGTTGTCTGCCTCACATGCCCGTTCTACATCCGTGGTGTCGGCGCCTCCGACTTTTCGGAATAGGATGCCTTAAGTAGAGAGGCCTCGGATAGGCCATGACTGTCCTCAAACATGGCTTGCTGGAAATCATCGAATTATAGCCGGGAGATTTTCCAGCCATAGTTGCATTGCCTGAGGGATTTGGGGGAAGATGACAATGCTGGGATGGAATCCAGATTCGATTAGCACATATCCCATTCAGTATTGTATAACCAAGCAGACATGAGCCAAAGCTTCCTTTTCGACAAAATGCAAGTGTTTCTCAGAGAAGCACCCAAATCCAAATGCATGAATTCCAATTCCGACAATTTCCAACATGTCAATTCCTTGATCTCTGTAAATTCATTGCGGATACAGTGCCACCCCAGAATTCACCTGCCAAGTAGCTTCTAGGTTTGCGGTGGTTCCAGCATGCATCATTTTCTTCCTGCCGCTGCGAGACAGCCGTTATATCCGGTCGGTTTCCATTATGTAATACTCTTGCAGAATTGTAGAAATGACATTGTTGCTGGAGTTTCTGTATTCATGTTTCTTCATCAAAAGTTTCCACAATTCCAAGCAACACGAAGAATCTGTGGAAATTTAGCTACCAATTAGTATATTATATATTAATATACATATATATACAGTAAGACTTAAAAACTTGCGGTCTCAACGTCCGAAAAAACCGATAAGTTTCTCAGGTCTCACCATGTGAACCCTGGACCCGTGACCGCGGTCATGCTCTCTCGTGCTGCCACATAGCATGTGCCCAGCAAGATCAACATGATCAAAGCGACAATGATCTCAGTGCTGCCCAGAGGGGCCCTGATGTTTGTACTAACATAGCTATGGAAAACCACCATGTTTGGGTAAATCCACTATAAATGGCAATTTTCAATAGTTATGTTAGTCTACCAAAGGGTATCTCTACATTTCAAATGGTTTCTGTACATATTCCCAGAATTTATTGAGTTGACAATATCCACGACAACTTGAGATGATCACTTCTCGAGGCTCTACAGGTGTATCAGATCAGAAACTCTCACCAAGCCCTGCTAAAGCACAAATGGGTTCCCCCCAAAAAAAAGTCCTTCAAAGCAAGGCAGGATCTGTCAAAAAGAGACGCCTGTTTCAAAATATTTCAAAATATTGGGGTTTATATAACTGGGGGGATCCTCAAAGTGGTTGGTTTATAATGGAAAATCCTATTATTAAAGTGGATGATTTGTGGGTACCCCCATGACTTAGGAAACCTCCATATCTCCCCATATCTGCAGCGACCAAGGGTTTTCCCTCCATGGTTTTTCAGTCAGGCAACAAACATCAGGACGTAGGCCACCAAAATGATGGCACCCTGTCCCCAAACGACGCATTCCTGGCACCAGGACTGGAAAAAGTCTGATCGGATTCAGTTTTGATGAAACACCATGGCCTATAGCCTTGAGAAAATTTTGGGCCTACAAACACTGGAAAATCAAAAATATTTATTTTGTCGTTTTGGTGTAAGTTTTTGTCATTCAGGTTTGTCATTTTTTGTCATTTTGGATCCGCGTTGTCATTTATTTGTCATTTTTCTGTCATTTTGTTGTCATTTTGTTGTCATTTTGTTGTCATCTGTTTGTCATTTTTTTGTCATGTTATTTTGAATTTATTGACATTTTGGGAACGGGAAAATGAAAAAAATCCTTACAAAAATGACTACCATGACAGACCTTTTGTTACCTGGCGGCAGCACCAAATACAAGGAATAAGTGCAGAAACGTGTGTGTGTGTACTTGTATGTTGCCAGTGAGTGGCTGGAGGCAACGTTCGGGCGCCGGCGGCGCTGGTATATTCAACATTTGTTGCACAGCAGATTCAGTTCAGCTCAGGGAACTGAAGATCGGAGTCTCTCCTCCAAAATCACCATTGCTTTGTGTTGGCGGGCCAAGGTAAAAGAATTCCACCGTGTGGCTGCCGTAAAAGCTTGGTTCCACTCATGCAAGGTGCTCATGCCTTGTTTTGCTCTTGTCTGGACCACGCGGTCCACCGCATCATTCAAAAATCTCTGCTCGGAAGCTGAGCATCCTGAAGGTGGTGACCATTCTGCGTGTCGGTTATGGGCTGGGACCCATTGCACATCACTGTCTTTACTCAACAAGCTGGTGGCGCGCCAGATGGTGCCCAAAATGGAAGTGAACAACCCTTACGCGCAGCATTGGCAGTGCGAACCACTGCAAGAGAGTCGCAAATGATCCGAACGGTGCGGCACATCGAATGGGCCGCAAGCAAAACCTGCAAAAGAGCAAAAGTTTCAGCTGCATAAATATTTTGATCGCACCCTTTCATGTGATGCGCAATGGCATTTCCGCTGCTAGCGACCCCCCAAGACGCGCGGCGAGTGCCATGCAAGACTTGTGAGCTACCGTCAGTGGCAATCAGAGGAATTTTGTGGGGCACCGCTTTCGCACCAGCCGCGCATTCAATTGTACGGTTTACGCTTGGAAAAGGTGTCAAAACCTGGTCTGAATGCGGCGGTGGCTCTGGAGGGGGCCGGACGCATTTCAAAAGCAAACGTTCTTCCACACGGTTGAGTGGCATGGAAGGGCAGGTGGGAAGATCACTCTGAGAACAATGCCATGTAAGATGGCTGGCTGACGGCCAGTCCCGGCCGCAAACACACTGAACATGTTCCAGATTAAGCTTTTTGGCACGTTTCCGGCTATCTTTCCCCGCTCCGCAAGCAACAGAAAAGGCAACACGATCTTTAGCTGGCCTTTCTTTCATCCAGGCCTTGTGCCCCTAGGTAACTAGTTTCTCTACCTGACCTCGCAGATCAGCAGCGCGGGGCTCACAGTTCCAAAGCTGGTGCTCCCAACCAGCTTTCATTGCTGCCTTAATGGTCATGTCGCCATCAGCAAATAAATCAATGGTCCCAATAGGGGTGCAAAAACAGGTCTTGGAAATTTGCTGCCAATTCCACTTCTGCATGACTTCCTTGAGTCTCTGTTTGACCTGCGGCGGCGCAGGCATCGCTCCCAGGTTCTCGAGGTCAGGTATGCTTGCACAGGAAAGCACTTCACGCCTCAATTTCCAAAGTTCATGCAAAATAACTTTGCAGTCAAGTGCGTACTCAGGATCTAGAAAAGGACCTAGATAACACGACCAAACAAGATATCTTGAACGGCCTGCCTGAAGAAAACGAAGAACCGTTGTCTCAACGGCCGGTCGCCACTTGGCGAGCAACTTTTTTGGGATGGTTGTCCATGGACCAGTGTGAGCGAAAAGAGACAAAACAATGGATCTCACCAACTTGCGCTTGTGCCTGTGCTGCTGGCTAGCTGTGCGCAGTCTTCAGAGGCGTGCCTTTACCTTTGCAATCACTCGAGGTTCAATAGGAACCCGCCTGGCTCTGGATGCACAGTAATGGACTCCTAAAAGCTTGAACTGCTTTGTTACACACCATTGTCTGCCACTGCAAACATTCCAGCACCGGAAACTCCTAAGCTGGGCACCTGAACACTTGTAGAAAAGTTCGCATTTAGGGGCATTCAACTTCAAACCCATGGCTGCATCTATGAGGACGGATGCATCCACGGCTGCTTTGATCACTTTGGTCTGAAGACCAGAATGTGCGGTCATCGATAAACTGGGGGCTCTTGCTTGGATGTGCATCTGCCAGGCTGTCATGAGTCCTGCTAAAAGTGCACAACTGCTTGGGCAACCTTGCAACAAACCCCTTGAACATTTAATTCGCTTGCAACTGGAGAAACCTAGCCACTCCATGGTTTTGGTTTGCGCAGAATAAAAAGCTTTCAAAACACGCAAGATGGCAGGCGGAGCTCCTAGCTTATCCCACACCAGCAAAGCCTGTTCAAAAACTTACATGATCGAAACATTTTTCGACATCAATTTTCGCTCCGAAAACATGATTCTCATTGAGCAAACTGTCATGGAGTTCTTCATGCACTGACGTGGAGCTACGCCCCCTTAGCCCGCCTACAAGCGCTGGATGCGCCCACAAGTCTATCCATCCAGTCAGTTGCTGAATGAGTGCGCTAATACCAATTCGCCAAGCTAGTGCTGCCACACTTATTGGTCGAAACCCGATTTCTTTGGGAATGAGAACACAGCGGACTGCTGCCCATGGCAGCGGTAAAATACCAATCCTGAGAACTAAGTTCCACAGCTGGGCCAATGCATCGAAAAACCCATGAGGAGCAAGCGCCAGGCATCGGCAACCCATCCGTCAGGCCCTGCTGCTTTGCCTGCGGTCTTTTTTGTTTGCTTGAAGAGGATGTCCCCCGTGAGGGAGATGTCAGGGCAAGGGAAGCCTCCGGTAGGAATCCAATCCAAAAAGGGTAAAAGGGCATCAGGCGACACCGCCTCATCCGGGGCCAAATTTTCTCCCAGTGCCGCGCAAAAAACTCGGCTTTGAGTTGGGGGTGTATGGGCACCTCCGGGTCTTTACTGGCTGACGTAAGAGTGTTGTCTGCACCCTTGACCCAACGAATCAGAGCTTGCTCGTTTTCGTTCATTTTCTACTTCCATTTGCTGATTCGCCGTAGCGAAGAGGCAGCGCTTTCTTTGGAAACACATTGCTCAAGAGAAAACAGCATGTTTGGATCAAAAATGCTAAATTCGCCAAGTTCGGGGTAGGTGGTGGACAACTTATTCACCTCAAGGCTTACGTACTAGGGTCCAAGGTGCGGAAAGCTTCTGCACCTCATGAAGTCTGCGTTTGGTCCTGCGGAGGCGTCTTTCCAAAACACTTTGAATCAGCTCAGGCTTGACCGGTGCTTTGGCTGCTTGCGTTGGCTGTGGCACTTTGCTTCGCTTGCGGCCTGGTAAGGCCTTCAAACAAAATTCAGCATGGTCGCTAAGCAGAACCCAAGCTGATTGAACGTGGCCTTGTCGCACTTCTTTTTCAAAAACATTTAAAGGAAAAGTGCTGTCCCAAAGTTCTTGGGACACCAGTTCAGTAGCAGCTAACTTCCTGGGCGGCGCTACTCTAAGGCAAGCCTCTTCAGTTTGGAGAGGAAACACATAGAAAACAAGATCATGGTCAGCCACTCCATTAGCTTGATGACGACATGAAGGCACCAAATTGACAGAATGTAAAGCACAGTCAATGTGCCTACCGTTCTTGCGGGTTGGCTCATGCATTTCGAAAGGCCGCGCCACATCATCTGCAAGGTGAAGTTGGCCGCTTCTCAGAGCAGCCACTGCAGGCTCTTCTTCTGGTGTATTGTTCCAGTCCCCCAAGAAAAGACCATCTTCCCCTGTTTCCGCTATAAGTTCAAAAAGCTGATGACCTAGGCACGAAGCTTCACGCTTGCTTGAAGCGTGCAAATACAAATTGGTCAACGAAAAGGGCGCTGACCTGGCCTATGAACACGCAAAACTTGCCAACGCCCTCTCTGTTTCTCAAGAGAAGCCTCTAAAGCAGGAAACACTTTGCGTTCAACATGCCATCTACTCAGCACTGCCACTCCTGCAGTTGGAGAACCCTGCGAGTCCAAAGCGCAGGTGCCACTTTAAAAGGACCACCCTGCTTTCTTGGCAGCAAATTGGGCTGCCAGCAAGCTATCTTCGGACAGACGGGTTTCTTGGAGGCATAAAATGTCTATAGAATGCTCACAAGCAAGTCTCGATACTTCTGGCATTCTACCAGCTAAAGTTCGGACATTGAGTGTGCCGATCTTAAGTTCACCAACCTTTGAAGGGAATTCCCCTCTGACTTTGCTTTGGGCTGTCATTGTTTAAAATTTGCAACCGCCGTCCCTGTGAGCATTGCCAGCAGCTCACTCAAACTGGTCAGAGAAAGCCCCTTGGCATTCTTGCATGTCAGCTGGAGCTGTTGAATCGGCAATGATATCATGGGCGACTTCCGCATCACCATTGCTCGGCTCAGGGGGCCGCAACTTGGCAATGACCTTCTGAACTGCATCTCGCTCGTTGCTTCCAATGGGCAATTTCTTTTGGAAACGTTCCAGGGAATTCAAAAGCTTCAATCTTTTAGGTCCTCCTTTGTAGTTTCCCTCGCAAGGGATTTTGGCAATGGCAGCGGCCGAAACCGCCAGCGCTTTACACTTCTTGCAGAACAACTGGTTGAGAGACCGGCCAACCTTCTTGCCCTTTGTCATCGAGGGCACTTGCGAAATTTCACAACCATGTTGTCCTGACGCCCCACTCTTGATGTCCAAAAGCTTCTTCGCATTACCTGCAGCAGTTTTGGCCACCCTGGCTTTGAGAAAATTGGTGCCTTTCTTTCTCAGAAAGCGGGTGCTTTTGGCTTTGGGGTGCTGCGTCTTGGCATGCTGAAGACGCATTTTGTACTCAACGTCTTTGTTGGTCACAGTTTTGGGAACCCCTTGCTCACACAGGGGGCACTTCCAACAACAAGTGTTTTCAGACCATTTGATCATGCTTGGCAAGCTTCGTTTGGCAAGACGAAGTTCAATCTTGAATTCAGGGTGCCACTTGGCTATGTGATTTCTCTTTCGGTCTTTCCATGCATGGTGGACTCCGGTGGAAAAAGCACAGATCGGACATGTCATTCTTGCTTCTTTGCAGCTTTCTGGTTTTGCTGAACAGTGGAAGCTTCCGCTGGCATGAATCTGAAATGGCACAGCTGTCCTGATCAACCTCAATTGGCGCACCAACTGCAGCAAAAGAGGCCTCATAAAAAGACCTCTTGGAAGCGCGCTTACTTTTGAGGCGGTGGCAAAGCAGATGCTCGCGTGCCCGGATGCCCGCGTGCCCGCTTCACTGCTCGGCTCATCTGAGATGACAGGCGGCAATGCGGCAAAGCTGAGATTCTGCTGTTATGGGAGGAAGCTGGTGATGAATCTCGCGTGAAAGATCCACCCCTACCTCCTTGCGCAACGGTTCATAGTGCTCACTTGAGTGCCACAAGCAAATGTGCCCTTTGGTGCCCGCACTGTTGTAAACTTCCGGATTCGGAAGTTCAGGTTTGAAAACGCAAATCTGCCTGCCATAATGTGCTGCTGCAGCAGCCACTTCAAGGCTTCCTGCATACGCTCCAGCCTTTTTTGCAAGGCCCAAGTAAGTGTCCCATGATTCACAATCCTTTTCATTTGGGTCCAATCTATCCCACCACAGTGCATAACGCTCACTGTGCTTCGTCAAATGTGTTACCACAGCTGCACGGACACTGAGGTGAGGCTTCGGTGTGTGAAAATTCAATCCCCGCGCTATGCTCAGGAATAAGCAGTCTCCACCGCCAGAATTCGGGATTCTTTGCATGCCATCGGGAACTGGTCGCAGCTTTCCCTTCTTTCTGGAAGCTTGCTTGCCATCTTTGGATGGAGTTTCATGCTTGCAGTCTTTGGTGGGTGACTCAACCTGCATTTCTCCGGTTTCGGCTGGCCTGCTCTCAGCCTCACCCGGCGCTTCTCCGGTTTTTGCTGGCTTGCTCTCAGCATTGGAAGCTGATTCGGTGTTCGGTGGCGCCTTCTCTGCGGCGCCTGTATCGGATGCGACCTTGGCTTTCTTTTTGGCAGGAGAGTCCGCATAGAAAGAACTCCTTGTAGGCTTTTTTGCAGTTAGCAACTCAGCGGTTGCAGGCTGCTTACTGATCTCAGGTGAGAATGACAAAGCTGACCCGGTTTTAAGCTGAACCTTTTCACAACGTTGGCCTTTCATAGGATAGAAGGCAGTGGCAACCATCTGTGTTCCCTCAAACTGAATCTCAACGTAATCCATGTCAGGAGCGCAAAGAGCAGTGAAGAACAAGTTCGGCCTTTTGCCATACGACTTTCTCGAGGTGAGCTGTATGCTGGAAAGCCCCGCAGCCTCGAGCTCAGGAATGAGGCACTCATGCCCCCCATTCAGTTGCAACCCCAGCAACACGCCAGGTTTTTACCCTGCCCTTTGACTTGTCCGTGTTGGATGCCGGCACTCTGATCCCCAGGCTCTTAATGCCTCGGGCAACACCTAAATTCCCAGCACCATTCTGAACACGTGCAGCATAATCAGGCCCCGGCTCATCTGGTTTGCGCTTGACCCGTTGGACTTCACAGCTAGGTGCATCTGGCTGTTTCCAGTTCAGCGGTTTGACAAACCATGCATCTTTTCCAGACAAAGACAGCAAAGCGTTCATAGCGGTCTTCTCGACTCTCATCAGAGCCGTCACCAATGCCTTTCCTCCTCCCTTGGAGATCGTGCCTCAGCTGACAAACGTAGCACAATGGTTTGGGCCACGGCAGGTTTGGTTTCAACTGTGCGTATCTGTTTTTTCAGTTTGGGACTTCCCCAGTGGCACGACGTGTGCCATTCGAGGGGCAATCTTGCCCTGTCTTTCCCGGAACTTGGGTGAGCTGGCCATTTTCTTTACCACAGTAACTCCAATGGATCTTCCATCAAAACTGTCCCCTGCCATCAAAGCCTGAAGCTCCTCAAATTCATCATCAGAGCGAGCAAAAACCACAACTTTGATGGTGCCAGGAGATGCATTTTTTTCTGCAAGCTGGTCAAAAGAAAGGACTTCGCCTTCCCAATCAATCACAATCTCGCAGCTTCCACACTGGTTGAAAAGCCGCCTGCTGCCTGGCGACTTCTGCATAAGAACGTTCCTTTGCAGGTTCGGGTGCATTCTTGATGTGATCAGCAACCTTGCCTGCAGTGTGTGGTTTGGCATGCTTTGGTTCCGGCTTACTAGGTGCCGAGCCATTGGGTTTACCAACTGCTAGCTGGGCCCCCCAAATTCCTTGATGCTTCTGCCTCTTTTTTCGCTTCTTGATCTGCTTTGGCTTGCTGTCAAAAAGACTGCTCTTAACAAAACTTGACAATAAGCCACTGATGCTCAAACCATTGTCCTCTTTCAATTTCCCAAGCTGCGACAAGAGCGACTGCAATAGATTGAGCACCTGCAAAATTTGGGACGAAGCGTCCTCGTTTAGACTAGTTCCACCAATGCTTCGCTCTCTTTCTGGGCGCGTGCCCTAGCCCCTCCTCCTCCCCCATTGCCATGTGTAGCATGGATGATTTTGTTTCGTACTCTTGCTGCCAAACTCCAAACATATGCAATAAGCTCAAAGGATGGTTGGCTAAATGAAAAACACTGCAGTGGACTTTTCGCTGCCGCTGTCGCACGCGGCCCTGCAGAAACGAAGATGTACAAAAGCATCAGGCGTAGTCCACGCATCTGCGAATAAGTGCAGAAACTCTTGGAAGGCCAGCCGGCGGTGAAGAAGGATAGGGCAGGGGAGCTTGCCCTGGGGAATTCGTTTTCCCGGCTCGGGGTGCAGGCTTGGGCGGGCCGGGGCCGGGGTGAAATGGCCCGTGTGGGGCGGCTCAGGGCCGGGAAGCGGGGTCGACCTGGAAACTCCAAAAATGCAACTTTACCAGCACGCGAATCATGTTTTTGCATTTTTTTGCATGCATTTTCTTTGCATTTTTTTGCATTTTTTTTACATTTCAAAGACTGGGAGTCGTTTTTTGCATTTCCCAAACCGGGAGTCATTTTTTGCCATTGTTTTTGCATTTCCTTAGACCGGGTTTGCCACCTTCACCACTTGCCTGAGAAAACGACAAGAAAATGACAAAAAAATGATCCGCGTGCTGGTGAAATTGCGTTTTTGGACTTTCCAGCTCGGCTCCGGATCCAGCCACCCAGGCTAGATGAGAAAACGGCAAGAAAATGACAAACAAATGACACAAAAATGACAACAAAATTGCAAAAACATGACAAACAAATGACAACCAAATTGCAAAAAAAAAATACCAAAAAAAATGACACCGCAAAACAGGAATGATAAAAAAAAATGACAAAACCAAACGACAAAAAAATGATTAAAAAATGACAAAAATAAATATTCAACGACCCTCAGAGTTTGCTGGTAAGATTTTCATAAGCCTAGCCCGAGTTCCAACTTTTGCCAAAAGGATGATGCTCCAAAACATCATCCAGCTCCGAAACGAAATGTTCGGGAAGTTCAGGCACGAAAAGGACTTCTGAACACTGTTTCATACACTTCAACCAACCCCGAGACCGCAAGAATCCTGAGTTCCATCCGCATGTTGAACCAGTTCGAAGCCTTCCTCAGCTCACATTGGGCTCATGGTTACATCAGCCTTGAAGCAAGGATGAAACACAAAGACCGTTTCTGGATGATGTGATAATTTACAAAAAAAAACCTCTATGTTGTGGCTAAGGTTAAAAAGTACATGTAAAAACCATGATTTCTGATTCGACTCATCTGATTTCATGTGCATGTCAGGGTAGAGATGTTCACTCGAAGAAATTCTATATTGGAAGCGACCCAGAACTACCATGCTGCCACCCAGAAATTGACATCACTTAGAAGAGGATTGGTTTGAAGATGAACGGTGCAGTAGCCCTGGATAGTGCAATAGCAGAGTCTATATTTGTAGCCATTCAAAACATGCGGAAAGAACAACTGCAGCAATCTAAGCAGTTCATCTCCCGTTGCCCAAATCCACATCCGCCCAGTTTCAAAGCACACATTGCAACGAGCTGGACCATCTTCATGAGGATAGTCGCAGAACTTGCAAGCTGTCACATCACAGGAGGTACCTGTCTTGATGGGTGATCTTCGTGGTTCTCCCATGGTTCACTTCCAAGAAACCCAGTGCTGACAAGGCATCTTTTGGATGGGCCAATAACTTCAGCTGAGGAGCAGAGTTCTGGATCTTTCCATTTGTTCACCCCGGGAGTCTGTGGGTTCACCGAAGCACAGGACGCCACTGACTCCACGCAGCTCACCAAACCTCAGCACCAGGCTCTGACTGATCGTTGATCATCAACTATGTATATCATCAAACAATCATCAACCCATCATCAACCCATCATCAACCCATCATCCACCCATCATCAACCCATCATCAACCCATCATCAACCCATCATCAACCCATCATCAATCATCAACCTATCAACCCATCATCAACCTATCAACGCATCATCAACCCATCATCAACCCATCATCAACCCACCAGCAACCCATCATCAACCCATCATCAAGCCATCATCAACCCATCATCAACCCATCATCAACCCATCATCAACCCATCATCAACCCATCATCAACCCATCATCAACCCATCATCAACCCATCATCAACCCATCATCAACCTATCAACCCATCATCAACCTATAAACGCATCATCAACGCATCATCAACCCATCATCAACCCATCATCAACCCATCATCAACCCATCATCAACCTATCAACCCATCATCAACCCATCATCAACCCATCATCAACCCATCAACCCATCATCAACCCATCATCAACCCATCATCAACCTATCATCAACCCATCATCAACCCATCATCAACCCATCATCAACCCATCATCAACCCATCATCAACCTATCAACCCATCATCAACTTATAAACGCATCATCAACGATCATCAACCCATCATCAACCCATCATCAACCCATCATCAACCCATCATCAACCCATCATCAACCCATCATATCAACCCATCATATCAACCCATCATATCAACCCATCATCAACCCACCATCAACCTATCGACCCACCATCAACCTATCAACCCATCATCAACCCATCATCAACCCATCATCAACCCATCATCAACCCATCATCCACCCATCATCAACCCATCATCAACCTATCAACCCATCATCAACCCATCATCAACCCATCATCACATCATCAACCCATCATCAACCCATCATCAACCTATCAACCCATCATCCACCCATCATCAACCCATCATCAACCCATCAACCCATCATCAACCTATCAACGCATCATCAACCCATCATCAACCCATCATCAACCCATCATCAACCCATCATCAACCCACTATCAACCCATCATCAACCTATCAACGCATCATCAACCCATCATCAACCCATCATCAACACATCATCAACCCATCATCAACCCATCATCAACCTATCAACCCATCATCAACCCATCATCAACCCATCATCAACCCACCATCAACCAATCATCGACCCACCATCAACCCATCATCAACCCATCATCAACCCATCATCAACCCATCATCAACCCATCAACCCATCATCAACCCATCATCAACCTATCAACCCATCATCAACCCATCATCAGCCTATCAACCCATCATCAACCTATCAACGCATCATCAACGCATCATCAACCCATCATCAACCCATCATCAACCCATCATCAACCTATCAACCCATCATCAACCCATCATCAACCTATCAACAACCCATCATCAACCCATCATCAACCCATCATGTGTTCCATTCATCAACTATACTTAATTAGCCATACTCAAGTCATCAACCAGAATCCACCCATCAAGGTCAATGATCACTGTGGGATCACCGTTGAATTCCCAGGCACAGGGGTAGCCCAGGGCAGGTACCGCCACAGGACACTTGCCATCCTTGGGTCCGGGGCTCCCAGGATCCCTGGTGTTTTTTTTCAGTGAATCGGAAGCTTCTTGAGATGTTACACCAAAAGTATCCTCAAAAAAAAGTCATCTACAGTATGCAATTTATATACACATACTGTCACATACATGTATAGATAGATCAAAACTATGTCTTCGAAGTCTGCGATTTTACATTTTGACCCATCCTCCAGTGTGGACCCATCCGTTGACGCACCAATTTTTTGGCGACGGCGCCAAGACGCCGTGAGCTCGGAGCAAGTGATCTTCTCCTCTCCCTGGGCACAGCAAATCCCAGAGAGATCATTGAGATAATTGACATTGACAAACATATCAATGTTGAATCCCAGCAGAGTTAGATGATTATATTGATATATATATATATATATTATATTGATTATATCCCATCATAACATTATATCCAAAACATTATATCCAGGTGTACTAATCAAACCTGATAAATGACATTTAACTAGACGACGGATGGCCCGAGAGCGTAGCGGAGGAGAGTCTTCTGTTGTTAGTATGGAGACACGCTTTTTACACACAGGCTCTTTTACACACAGACGCTTTTACACACAGACGCTTTTACACACAGACGCTTTTTACACGCAGGCGCTTTTTACACGCAGGTGCTTTTACACACAGAAGCTTTTGCACACAGACGCTTTTACACACAACCCTTTTACACACAGACGCTTTTACACACAGACGCTTTTTACACGCAGGCGCTTTTACACACAGAAGCTTTTACCCACAGACGCTTTTACACACAGACGCTTTTACACACAGACGCTTTTTACACGCAGGCGCTTTTACACACAGAAGCTTTTACACAAAGACGCTTTTACACACAGACCCTTTTACACACAGACGCTTTTACACACAGACGCTTTTTACACACAGGCGCTTTTACACACAGAAGCTTTTACACACAGACGCTTTTACACACAGACCCTTTTACACACAGACGCTTTTACGCACAGACGCTTTTACACAGGCTCTTTTACACACAGACGCTTTTACACACAGACGCTTTGACACACAGACGCTTTTACACACAGAGGCTTTTACACAAACGCTTTTACACACAGAGACTTTTACACAGACGCTTTTACACACAGAGACTTTTACACACACAGACGCTTTTACACACAAACGCTTTGACACACAGACGCTTTTACACACAGACGCTTTTACAAACAGAGACTTTTACACACACACAGATGCTTTTACACACAGAGACTTTTACACACAGAAGCTTTTACACACAAACACTTTTACACACAAACACTTTTACACACAGACGCTTTTACACACAGACGCTTTTACACACAGAGACTTTTACACACACAGACTTACACACAGACCATGTCACACACAGTCACTTTTACACACAGAAGCTTTTACACACAGACGCTTTTACACACAGAAGCTTTTACACACAGACACTGTTACACACAGACGCGTTTACACACAGACGCTGTTACACACAGAAGCTTTTACACACAGGCGCTTTTACACACAGAAGCTTTTACACACAGAAGCTTTTACACACAGACGCTTTTACACACAGACGCTTTTACACACAGACGAAAGGGTTGCTCCGGCACAGGAAAAATCGCAATTTTACCTCAGTTTCTACCGATCGACCCTCATTTCGTGCGAAAGGGTTGCTCCAGCACAGGAAAAATTGCAATTTTACCTCAGTTTTTGCCGATCGACCCTCATTTCGTGCGAAAGGGTTGCTCCGGGGCAAGTAAAATCGCAATTTTACCTCAGTTTTTGCCGATCCGACCCTCATTTCGGCGAAAGGGTTGATCCAGGACAACGTAAAATCGCCACTTTCCTACGTGCGAAAGGTTTGCTCCAGGACAAGTGTAAAATAGCCACTTTACCTCAGTTTTGCCGATGACCCCTCCATTTGTGCGAAAGGGTGGCTCCGGGAACAAGTCAAATGCAATTTACCTCAGTTTTTGAGATCGACCCTCATTTCGTGCGAAAGGGTGCTACGGGACAAGTCAAATCGCACCTTTACCCTCAGTTTGCCGATCGACCTCATTTCGTGCGAAAGGGTTGCTCCAGGACAAGTCAAATCGCAATTTTACCTCAGTTTTTGCCGATCGACCCTCATTTCGTGCGAAAAGGTTGACGTTTCGTGACTCGCCGCCGGCACCACCCTCGGCCTTAAGAGAGAAAGATAAAAAGAAGGCGAGAGAGAGAAAAAGGAGAGAGATGTGAGAGAAGATGTGAAGATGAGCAGATGTGAAGATGAGCAGATGTGAGAGAAGGTGTGAAGATGAGCAGATGTGAAGATGAGCAGATGTGAGAAAAGATGTGAAGATGAAAGACTGGGAAGATGAGAAGATGAGAGACAGATGTGAAGATGAGCAGCTGTGATGTGAAAGATGAGCAGATGTGAAGATGAGCAGATGTGAGAGAAGAGGTGAAGATAAGCAGATGTGAGCAGATGTGAATGAAGATGTGAAGATGAGCAGATGTGAAGATGAGAAGGTGTGAAGATGAGCAGATGTGAAGATGAGCAGATGTGAGAGAAGATGTGAGAGAGATGTGAGAGAAGATGTGAAGATGAGCAGATGTGAAGATGAGAAGATGTGAGAGAAGGTGTGAAGATGAGCAGATGTGAAGATGAGCAGATGTGAAGATGAGCAGATGTGAAGATGAGAAGATGTGAAGATGGGAAGGTGTGAAGATGAGCAGATGTGAAGATGAGCAGATGTGAAGATGAGCAGATGTGAAGATGAGCAGATGTGAGAGAAGATGGGAGAGAAGAGGTGAGGATGAGCAGATGTGAGCAGATGTGAAGATGAGCAGATGTGAAGATGAGCAGATGTGAAGATGAGCAGATGTGAAGATGAGAAGGTGTGAAGATGAGCAGATGTGAAGATGAGCAGATGTGAAGATGAGAAGGTGTGAAGATGAGCAGATGTGAAGATGAACAGATGTGAAGATGAGAAGATGTGAAGATGAACAGATGTGAAGATGAGAAGATGAGATACAGATGTGAAGATGAGCAGATGTGAAGATGAGCAGATGTGAGAGAAGATGATGAGCAGATGTGAAGATGTGAGCAGATGTGAAGATGAGCAGATGTGAAGATGAGCAGATGTGAAGATGAGCAGATGTGAAGATGAGCAGATGTGAAGATGAGAAGGTGTGAAGATGAGCAGATGTGAAGATGAGCAGATGTGAAGATGAGAAGGTGTGAAGATGAGCAGATGTGAAGATGAACAGATGTGAAGATGAGAAGATGTGAAGATGAACAGATGTGAAGATGAGAAGATGAGATACAGATGTGAAGATGAGAAGATGTGAAGATGAGAAGATGAGATACAGACCCCCACTATTGGAAGAACCCTGCGCTCAGACGCTCTCGGGAAAAAATATCAGACATTATTTTTTGACAAACATCTAAATGACATATCAAACATTAAAAAATAAACATGACCTCAATCTCCTCTACTCTGTTTGAGGGGGTACAAATTTGATCAAAAAAACCTGATCACTAGTTTAGAGGTAGCCCCACCAGGGTTTATCTGGGGTTGACATTGCCAAATTTCCTTTACAAAAAAAACACTGATGTAAATTGCCATCTGATGAATGGTAGTTTGGTAGTTTCTAGTCTATTCTGCTCAAATTTTGTGAATGGAAACCAAAATACCCCAATCTTTGGCGCATGCCCAGCAGCAAAAGATAAGGAAACAATAGTGACCTGGAAAACACGTTCATGTGTTTAAGCCATCATCTTGCAACAAATTCAAACGGGTTTGATTTTTTCCGAAAATGGCGGTACCCAAGAAACCCCAATGGATTGTGGTGATGTCCCCATTAGAAAAAATGCCATAAGTTGGATGTGCTGTCCTCCATTTCTGGGCAACAGTATCATGTTGCTTCTATACTATCTCCCCCCGAATTACATCATATCGCATCATACCGCCATAACATCCCACCTCAATCTCCCCCAAGCCATGTTTTCTGTTCGACAGTTCCCAAGCCCAACCCCACCTCGATCAGGCGGTAGTAACTCCCACCTTCAGCACGGAGGAGTTCGGAGGTACATCCGGCCTCAACGAGGATCCCAAGCCATGGCAGGATCAGAAGCCGGGACATCTTGAGCCAGGCCCTGGAACCCTGGGCGAAAAAAACAAGTGAACCACTGAAAACTGCTGGTATTTTTTGGGGGGTTGAAATATCTTCCATATTTTTTTGGCAAGGTTTTATGTCGAGTCCATGTTAACAATGTTGATCCTGCATTTCAGAGCATCTCAAAAAATGGGTTGTCACCAAAATTACTGTATATACCTGTTCGCCAGAGGAGATCAACACCATCGCATTCATCAAATGAACCCTCTACATTGACTCTACATCCCTCTACTAGTTGGATCAGCGAATCATGCTGTTTGAACTGACCAATCCTTTCCCAAGTTTTCCCCATCTCCCAGGTCGCACGGAAAATTGGCCAGTCCCCAAGCCGTCTCGGGCAGTTCCTCACGTCTTTTTCCGCAGGCGCGCGCTCTGCATGGTAAGCCAAGCGCAGCGATCTGCAGCGTCCTCACACGTTTCGACGACAACAAGTACTTCCACGTGTTTTGATGGTTCTCGACGCTTCTAAGCAAGAAGGAAGAGAAACAAATCATGAAAAAAACTGTGACAACAGGGCAAAAGAAGGATCCAAACGACAACAACTGGGAATACCACAACAGCCCATGACTGGTTTCGCACAAACCTTGCGCCCAAATTCCCCACATTTTGAACTTTCGCACAACTCCACACGAGTTGGATCCCTCTGGTGGTGCTGTGGTGATTGTGACATCTGTCTTGCAAGGTGCTCCTGGCGGTCCTTGTATGAAGAGATCTAGTAAAGTCCCTTGTGAAAACCTGGTGAAGGTCCCTAAGATGAAGATCTTGCATGATCTTGCATTCGTACTAGCGGTGCTTGTACCAAAGGTTTCATGTGATGGTGCTCTTGTAATCTCAAGATGTTTGTATGATCCGGTAGAAAGTCCTATGAAGATCTGGTGACATTTTCTGAGAGGTCCTTGTTTGAACATCTTGCATGGTGTTGGAGTTGCTTGTATGGGCGACATATCACAAACACCACCAAATCCGTCTTATTACACTCCCAACCTTTCCAAGGCGCCTTGCAACGATAAGTCGTCGCTCATAGCTGTGCCACCTGGCAAAGGTCAACCATGATCAACCCAAAAAGACCGAACATCTTGGTGGCACGTGCATGGCAAAGCACATCTGCGCAAAGGGACTGGCACGACTCTTTGCTGCTGCCGAAGACGAAAATTCCGTTTCAGATCTGGCTGCCTTCTGCAAACCAAAAAATTACATGTCTGAATTTCCCCTGAATTTCCCCGGGCAGGTGAAACTTCGCCTGTTGGGAAGCCTTGCCCAATTTGCTGTACAGAATGTTTGCAAAAGGGGATTTAGCTTTGATCAGGGTATGGGCCAAATCAACCGCGCGCCCCGAAACACTGGATGAATTCTGTTTCTGCACTGGAAAATTAAAACCATCTGGGCCCGTCGTGGTACGACCATACCTGGCGACCTGGTGCTCGACCCATACCCTGGTCTAGCTGGTGTCTGACTTCGTCTCTGCCTGCTCCGCCCGCCGCGCGCTGCTGGTGAGAAGTGTGGGCAAAGGGGCAGATGGCGCCACTTGCGAAGTCAAATTTTGCATCAAGCTCTTCAGAGTAGTCTCGCAGTGAATATGAGCGGCTTCCAAAGCTTTGCAAATACGCCTCTTTGCTGCTCGCTGCCGAAGACAAAAAAATCCGTTTAAGATCTGGCTGCCTTCTGCAAACCAAAAAATTGCATGTCTGAATTTCCCCGGGCAGGTGAAACTTCGCCTGTTGCGAAGCCTTGCCCAATTCGCTGTACAGAATGTTTGCAAAAGGGGATTTAGCTTTGATCAGGGTATGGGCCAAATCAACCGCGCGCCCCGAAACACTGGATGAATTCTGTTTCTGCACTGGAAAATTAAAACCATCTGGGCCCGTCGTGGTACGACCATACCTGGCGACTTGGTGCTCGACCCATACCCTGGTCTAGCTGGTGTCTGACTTCGTCTCTGCCTGCTCCGCCCGCCGCGCGCTGCTAGTGAGAAGTGTGGGCAAAGGGGCGGATGGCACCACTTGCGAAGTCAAATTCTGCATCAAGCTCTTCAAGGTAGTCTCGTAGTGAATATGAGAGGCTTCCAAAGCTTTGCAAATCGTAGCTCGAACGAAAGTATTCATCGCATCAAATCCTCCTGGCATGCTTTCAATCAGCGCGTGAATCATCAGCCGATCCGATTCTTCCGTGGCTTCAGCACTGCGAGTGTCTAAATCAGCCACCGTCTTGGCCACAGCCACTGCCACATCTGTCCCAGCATTCCCTTTCTGTAGGACGCCAGCCGACGTGCAAAGCAGCAAACCTTGGAAACACTCGCTTTGCGACAGGGAAATAGTTTGGTAAACCTCGAAGAGGCACCAGATACGCTGTAGGGGCAAAACGAGCTCATCGATGATCATGGTGGTACCCTGGCAATCTGGACTTCTGAGCGCAAGATAGAATGACGACTCCTGCCATTTTCCATGTCCAAGTTCAGCCTTCACATCCCATTGGCTATTGCTAAAGGTACAAATCCAGTAGGCTGAGTCTCGCCACTCCCCCTCACAGCACTGAGCATGTTTGCGGATCGCATCACTAAAGTGGCGGACTGGCATCCCCCAATAGTGACTCACGAACCATTGCATTTTCGTGGGCCCAAGCAACTCAACGAAGGACAGCTGGAATGGTTCGGTGAGAGGCTTTACAATGTTGGAACAAACGAAGTACATGGAGCGTTCCTTGATGAAACTTTCGAAGAACCTCGGCTGAAGCATCAATGTGGACCATTCAACAAGCCACCCCTTGTTCGCGTCTGAATCAAACCCGTCTGAATGTTGGGGGGGCTCTTCAAAAAGATTGCGCCTGTTCTTCATACGGTCATACGGCTCAACAAACCTTCCGAACCACTAAACCTGCGCAAGGCAAGCCCAGCCTAAACTGAGGACCAAACCAAGCCAAGCAAGACCGACCGGCGGCCAAAAAGAATGCCAAGCAGCTGCAAGAAGTCCAGAAGCTGCCCTGCTGCCATGGATCGATCCGGGCCCCGGTCACATCGCGCAAGCGCCAAAGGCCACTCTGTGAGGAATTGGCGTCGCCTTTTTGCCAACGGAGTCCTCTCACCTTGCCTGACGCCGGAAACTGAGAACTGCTGAACTACATCTGATCTTACAAAGTTTTGAACTGTTGTCCTGTGGCTTTTCTGGCGTCCTTCCCAAAAGTGAAATCTTACGTTGATTGAAATGAGCCGGGTATTTTCCTGAATTCTGTTTGACATTTAATTTGGCATTCTATCTTACATATTTTTGACGTAAATTCTGACATTTATTCTGACAATTGAAGACCAGGATTGAACTGGCTGAGGTCATGTAAAACCAACTGCCCATAAAGGTCTGATCTCAGAGAACTATACATGCAAAGAACGGGACCACAGACCGACCGCGTATGGGAAGGTGTGGAAAAAGAAAGAGCTGCCCCTGACACGTGTGGTGCCGATCCGCCGAGCGGAGTAAATGCAGCTTAGTAAATGCAGGATCAACAAGACGGGACACTGGCATTCTGACATCTATTCTGACATCTATTCTAACATCTATTCTAACATCTATTCTGGGATTCTATCTGACATGCTTGCTGGCGTTTTATCTGACTATTATCTGACAGGTAATTTCCAACCCTATATGTTTACACTTTGTTTTGCATCCTACCTGACAATTTTATCTGGCATTCTATCTGACTGTTTATCTGGCATAGTGTTCGGGTCCGGCAATCCCCAGAGAGTCTGCGAGCTCGCGAGAGTCCGGTGAGCCGGAAGCAAATTTTCTGCCGTAGGCCGCTTTCAGAGGAGGCGCGGAGGAGGGAGGAGGGAGGAAGCTAACATGGAATGTAAAAACCTTCACCTGGCAGGTGGGGATTAATGATCAAACTCTTCAGAAAAATGATTTTATAATGTGCCAAATTGCTTCGGGAATTCTTTTCTATTCCGAATGGGGATGTCGTTCTGCCTTTCTTCTTGGGACTAGAATTCTGTGGTATATTTCGCTGAAGGGCTGAAGGGCCATGTTTTCAACAGTTGACGCTCCTATTTGCAGTTTGCGCCACAAAAGCTTCCGCTTGTGACCACACTTGGATTGATTTTGAATTGGTTCAGGGTTTCGTCAGGCTTGGGTTAAAGTTTATTTAGGGGCAGTTTAGAATTTATTCAGGGTTGGTTGTTTGAAGTTTACTGAAGGTGTAAAGATTTGTTTAGGGTTTAGTTTGGGTTGGTTTGTGGTCTATTGGTTTGCTTATTTTCAGGTTGGTTTAAGGGTTGGCTAGGAAGTTATTGGGGGTTGGTTTGTCAAAAAATAAGGTTGGTCTGGGATTTACCTAGGGTTGGTTTAAGGTTTATTTAGAGCTGGTTGAGAATTGATTTCGAGTTGGTTTAACGATGTTTAAGGATTTTGTACCACTGGTTTGGGTTTTATTGAAAGTTGGTTTTTGTCTTTCAACGCCAGTTTTAAGGTGTTGGAGGTTTGGTTTAGGGTTACTTAATGCTGGTTTAGATATCTCGGTTTGGTTTGAAGTTTATTTACGGTTGGATAACGGTTTTCAGAGTGGTGCTAGGTTGTTTTTAGGCTTGGTGTAAGGTTTCTTGAGGGTTGGCTAAGGATTAGTTATGTAGGATGGCTTAAAGTTTGTTGCAGGGTGGTTTAGACTATTTAAGCTTGGTTGTGGGTTGGTCTAGGGTCTATTTAGTGTTGGTTTGGAATTTATCGTTGGTTTGTTTGGAACTCATTTGTCAATTATCTAGGTTGGCTTGGGGTTGATTCAAGGTTGGTTTGGGGTTAATGAAGGTTGGCTTAGGATGGCTTAGGGCTATTTAGGCTGGTTTCAGCGTTAATTTAGGGTTGGCTTCGAGTCTGTTTAGGTTTGGTTGAGGAATGATTTAGGATGTGATTGGGATGTTTTTGGGGCTATGTATGGTCTCCTCCACACCAAAGGAGCCCGACCTTCGCCGAAAAAAACCCTGCCTGCGCCGAAATGCAAAGGCCAACAAGCCAGTGCAAAAACCAAAGCCGCATGCCAGCGCCGTCAGGGAGAACATGAGTCGGCCAGCCACACCTGCAGTGACAGTGGCTGTCGCGAAGAACAAGCACCACCCAAGGAGTGGGCAACGCCACATGCCCATGCAGAGAAATGGATGTGGAAAATTCAGGCGAATTTGTCCTTTTGATGTATCCAAAGGTATGGAGGCCTGCTCACCATGGAGTGTAAGCTGATACGAACTCAAGGTTCTCACCTTCCATGTTGATGTCGAATCCAAGTTAGGGACCCCAGTGCCAGTGAAGGACACAACTGGATGTGCCCGTTTCAGGAAATAATGCGCAATGGAAGTGGTGATCACCACCTTGTCACCTTGTGAAGAGACATCGGAAATGGGAAAACGACCAAAACAGCCAGTCAGAAACAGGAAGCAAAAACAAGCTGAGGTCATCCAGCAAATCAAGCCCAAAACGATGTCCATGGCCTCTACTTCGCATGTTTGTCCTGTAGCATCAGGAACGGCTCGAACGAGTAAGTCATTACAATTCCTGCATGTGGCACTGTTGGGCAGGGAGACTTCACCCAATCCACAATACTCGCAGCTGCTGCTGTTCGGACCAGCAAAGGTTCCACCTTTGCATGGTTCACACGTCAGAGCATCCTTGGCAAAACGACCAGCATCGCACGGGCTGCAAGTTCCACTGCCGGCAACTGAAATGGTACCCTGCTGGCACTGGTTGCAAAACTGCTTGTCAACTTCATGCTTTCCAGCTGGACATGCCTCGCACGCAATGCTACCTGGATCCTTGGAGATTTCTCCTGTTGGGCATTCCGAGCAGTTGTTGCTTCCTGCCTCAGAAAACTGTCCAGCAGGACAATTGCGACACTCACTACTTCCTGCAGCAGAAAAGGTGCCGGCTGCACATTGCCAACATTCAGTGCTGCCTGGAACCTTTGAGATTGTTCCTGCAGGGCATTCGGAACAACCGTTGCTTCCAGGGTGAGAAAAGGTCCCAGAAGGACAGCTTTGACACTCACTTCGTCCTGCCGAAGAAATGGTTCCATTGGGGCATTGTTCACACATCAGGGCCTCTTTTGCAAAACGGCCAGCATCACATGGGCTGCAAGCTGCACTGCCTGCCACTGCAGAAATTTTGCCTTGTGGGCATGCGTTACAGACTTGCCTGTTAATTTCATACGTTCCGGCACGGCAAACTTCACACGCACTGCTGCCTGCAACCTGTGAGATTGCTCCTGCCGGACATTTGGAACAGCTGCTGCTTCCTGCCCGAGAATAGTTTCCAGCGGGACAGCTGCGACACTCACTGCTTCCTTTTTCAGAAATGGTTCCACCAGGACATCGTTCACACGTCCGGGACTCTCTGGTAAAACGTCCAGCCTCACATGGACTGCAAGCCGCGCTGCCTTCTTTGGAAATAGTGCCTCGTGGGCACAGGTTGCAGTTTGCACTGGCTTGCTGTGCATAAGTGCCTGCTGCACATGGCTGACATGCAATGCTGCCTGGAACCTTTGAGATTGCTCCTGCAGGGCATTCGAAACAAATGTTTCTGCCTGGGTCCGAATACTTACCAGAGGGACAGCTGTGACACTCACTGCTGCCGTTAACAGAAATGGTTCCATCCGGACATGCTTCACACACCACACCATCTTTGGCGAAACGCCCCGCATCACATGGGCTGCAGGCTGCACTGCCTGCGACTGAAATTTGACCTCGCGGGCATACGTTGCAGAATTGATTCTTACTTTCGTAGGTTCCGGCTGGACAGAGTTCACAAGTTGAACTGCCCCATGTCCTTGAAACTTTTCCTGCAGCACAACTTGAACAGTTGGTGCTTCCCCTGCGGGAAAACTTTCCAGCTCCACATTCTTGGCAAAGGCCTCCGGCAGCGGAAAAGGATCCGCCAGCACAAGAACTGCAGTTTCCATCAACCTCCTCTGTGCCAGCTGGGCAATGGCCGTCCATGCATGCACTTCGGCCGTCCTCATCTGTTCCATGAAAATGTGCTTCAGTGCAGTTGCATGAGCCATTGCCTATCGCCATCCATGCAGCCGTAGACTCCTGTTGAAGACTTTTCGCCATCGCATCATCAAAGCAGGTGCCACGACCATAGCACACCTTGCCACCTGCAACATCACCAGGACATGCCTTGCAGTCTTGCACTTGCAGCTCCTCCCGGAGTACACTGTAGAAGTGCTCGTGGCAGCTTGAGCAATCTAACTGATCGTGGCCCAGATTACATCTGCAGTGTGATTTTCCGGGCAAGCAATGTCCCTTGTTGTTACAAAGTTCACTTGGTACACAGAAGCCCGGAGTCCAAAGTTCAATCCCACTTTGGGCACTGGCTCTTTGCACAAAGAGCTTCAGCTGACCATCCAAAACAGAGAAGAAGCTTCCCCCGTCTGCAGCTCCTCCCTGATATTGGCTGACATCGCTGCCCAAGCAGAGGAAATCAGGGTCACATCGGAGTTCATGCGTGCCATCATCATGTTCGCATGCCTGAGCGGGAGCCTTGCTATCAGGTATTTGGATTAAATCCAAATCTCCATCTGCATCGCAATCCACAAATTGCCAATTTCGGGCATCTACAGCCCGGCGCCTTCTATCATATGAATTTGGCGGCAACGAGTGCATGGCACTTACCAGAGGGCTTTGCTTTTCGCGTAAACTTCCATCTGCCGAGTGTTCAAAATAGCGTCCATCCGGGGGACCCAAAAATAGATCGAAGTCACCATCGTTGTCCCAATCTACCACCATGGGCTTGGCAAAAATCCAAATTGTTCGATCTTGGTCAGGCTGTTTCTTGAGTTGAATGTTCTTGAAGGGATGTTCTGCCGACTCTTCACCCAGATTCGGATAGAAATGGAGTTTGCCATCAATTTCTGAAGCAATCAGGAGGTCCAACGCGCCATCTCGGTCCCAGTCTACCAATGCAAAGCCACTAAGATAGAGTTCGTCAACATGATGATCATATGCTGGGACGACTGTAGAATTCACATTGAGAGAAAAGCCAAGCACTTCCTTCATGTGCCTTGGCTGAAATTCATACCTGCGTAACTTCCAGACCCGTCGCCACCGGCGTATCGGTATCGGTACCGATTGCGGCTGTACAACCATCACATCCTCAAAGCCATCCTCGTTCCAGTCCTGCACAACGAAACTGGAGCCGGGAGACAGGTGGATGTCCTCATACATCTTGAAATGAGAATTGTGCCGAAGGTCTCGGTCCACCACGTGCTGGTAATAAGACCACACTCGGGTGCCTACGAGCCGAAGAACGTCTGGAAGCCCATCAGAATTCCAATCTGCCACGTGTATTTTTTGAGAGGAAGGTTGGATCTCTGCTAATGGATTCTCCCACGGCTCAACGAAGGTTCCAGCAGCCGTGCGCCGGAAGTACCGCCATCGAAGGATGTCGTTTGCTGAGTTCCTGACTGCAACCAGCACATCCAAACGTCCATCGCCGTCCAGATCCGCAATCCAATCCACTTGGTCTGGGAAGGCCTGCAACGGATTCTGCTCGCCAGTCCGCTCCTCCAATTCATCCAGAACTCGTTCAAAATACCTTTCAAAAGACAGCTCTGAGAATTTCCGCCGAGGTGATTCCAACCATTCGACCAATTCTTCTGTTGATGTGGGAGATGGCGGACCCAGGCCCATCACAAGATCAAGGTCACCATCTTCGTCGAAGTCCACCGCTTGCATGTTACATGCCGTTAAATATGATACTGTTGTCTGCAAAATCGCCGGGTGTTCACGAATATGGGTCACACCAGCGAGAACGACAGAGCGGCTCAGAAATCTCACAGTGGCAGTTGGAAATAGACTTGGACGCCTTCCTGTCCATGTGCACATCAATATATCCAGCCTCATATCACCTGCAAAACTTAGAGGGAAAATTTGGAGCAAGAAGTATGAAACATAACTTCCGCATGTGGAAGAACAAAAAACGCAAACGGTTACGGAGAAAAAAATAAGAATCAAACAGCTGCCGGTCACCATCCCAGTCTGCAACTTCAAAACCGTCCCACTTAGAGAGATGATGCGTCATCAACTTGTGCTTCTCAAAAGCGTCTCCCGGAAGCCTTTCGTAAAACCAAAGGGAATCATTTTCTGCCAGCAGGACATCCACGTCGCCATCGCTATCCCAGTCTGCGAAGCGAAGGTTGTGACCATGACCTGATCGAAATCAAAGAAAAATGTTGAACAAAACATATGCTTAATGAATTTGTAGCCCCGTGATGATGGGTCACTGATGGGTCAGCCAGGGTCAGGATTCCCATTTCATGGATTTCAACCAGTCTCATGGAAAAACAGCAAGGCATAACAAAGCAACACAGCGACCCAAAAACAGTTTGGTTCTGGTATGGTTTGACACCACCCGCCTGACAACAATGGCCTCACGTTCGTCTTAAAGGTCGCATCCTCCTGGAACTTGTGACGCTGCCCGACGCAACTACCATGAGAAGCTTGGCACCACCAGCCCTTCGCAATCACAAGATGCCAAAAAACAACCAGCCATCGCAGCTCCATGCGCGGTCAAAATTGTGGCACTTCTCTCTCTGCTCTGTGGCAGAAAGGCCCTCCAATCTCGATTTTTGGTGTTCTTCGTCTCTACTTGCAACTTTCTACATTGACTATATATGATATCATATCTCTCGTCCGACCTTGCACTGCCTGCAACATTGAATCATATATCATTGCATGTCACTCTAGTTTCCATCTATGACTGCTTGCGATACAAATGACATTGGGCCAATTGTCTGCAGCATAGTATCCCTCGGCAAATCCGTTGATAACTTTTTTCGCACGCAAAGACTATTGGAACAGCGCGGCCATAAAAACGACTTAACAACAACAACGCCGTGCCGTCCAGGCCTCTCGCAGGGCTGCAACGACCTGTCTGGACTTTGCCACCCAAAGCCTCGACATCCAAAGGGTCAAAAAGTCGTATGACTTGCAAATCAAAACTGCAGTTGAACATGTAGGAAGTTATTTGGATCAAATGTCATCAATGGGTCAAACATGTCAACAAACTCAAACATTTGGATGGTTCAACCAAGCCAAGCCGTGAAATGCTTAACATCACCAATCCCCAATGGCCAAGCCTCAAATTGGTAGGCCATGGCCAAAGTTTTCATGGCGTGGCTGATGAGAAAATACCAAGCTACGGAGAAATGTACCGGATGCTATGTTTGTAGGTCTTTTGTTCTGTTTGTCCGGAAGCCATGTCTGCTCATATCCTCTGGATATGTATGTATAATGCTCATATAATTGCATATGATCAATACTGTGATATACTGTGATCATATATGAATGTATTCACATTCTGCTTGCCAATGTCCTTGATCGCAGAGACCTCCCAAGTCTACAATACAGATATCAACTGATATCAAGCAGTTTTGAGCAAAGCAATGCAAACCATCAAAGTTGAAGACGTGATATCGACACGCATTAGTATGGCGGTACTATAGTCTTCTGGAAGATCCAAACACAAAAAGAGGCTCCCGAACTTGGCACAGCACATTGTTTTCTCCCGCTGTTTTTCTTGCAAACTGTCAAGACCATGTTGACAATGTTGCATTTCAGAGCATCTATCAAAAAAATGGGTTGTCGCCACAATCATACCTGTTCACATTCAGCAATCCAAAACATCACATTCACCAAAATGAACCCTCTACTAGCTGGATCAGCGAATCATTTTGTTTTAACTGACAAATCGCCCTTTCCCAAGTTTTCCCTTCATTGCGTTCCATCCCCCAGGTCGCAGAGAATTTGCCAGTTCCGAAGCGATCTCAACTAGTTCCTCGCACTTTTTTGCTTGCGCACTCTTGGTAAACAAGTCACCGCAGCGGCCTCACATGTTCATGCGACATGTCAGCTTTGAATGTCCACTGTTTCATCCGATTTTTGCCTCGAAAGAAAGACTGCGCACTTTGACTGGGATGCCTGTGAGTTGAACATGTTTTTGAAACTGACTCCGCTTTTCCCTATGGAAGAATGTCCTTGGGGTCTTCTGCACATCTGGAGCGTTCCAGGCATTCCAAGGTCCAACCAAATTTGCTAGGCTCACTAGGCTCACAAGGTCCAACCAAACTTGCAAGGCTTCCATTCCCTTCCCTCCGCTATTTTCTATCCTTTGTTTGGAATCTTCAAGAGCCTTGCCTTGGAATCCGGGATCTTTGCGGGCTCCGTCCACGGGATACGATGGCTATGGCAGGAAGACAACAAGCCTTCACTGCTCAGGGTTTATAAATTCAGAATCTTAGCGCCTCCGGAAACCATGGTTCGAACCATGGCTGCGAAACATCCCAAAGCCCTGCATTCTTATAGTATCTTATAGTTGAGGAATTTGGAAAACTTATCAGCAGCCCATTGCGCAAGAAACTTGACTGTAAAATTGTTTTTGGGAAACTTGTTTGGGAACCTCTTGAAAACCTTGATTGGAGCCTTGAGAACTTAATTTCAGAAGTCTCATGAATCATGAACCTTGGGAACCTTGGCAACCCTTGTCCATGTCACCTTTGATCGGAATTAGCCTAAGCATTCTGCGGGAGAAAAACTTGTTGGGTGATTCCAGCGGAAGATCAACTCACTTAGAAATTCCCACGAGAACCCATGATTTCCGCGTGGGTTTCATGCCCAGCGAGCTGCAGCTCCGCCTCCGAGCAAGGAGTGATTTGGATGGCCCGTGCCTCGCAAGACCACGGATAGCAGTGCTGCCGGATACAACTTACACAACCAGCAACGGTGGGGATAGCCTAAACAACAAAGTATTTCGACGTGCTCTCGTGGATCTCAACAACTCCAAGCAACACGAAATGGAGAAAAAACATGAAAAACAACATATCATAATGAGGATCCAAGCAACAACGCTTGAGATATTAAAACACAAACCATCACTGGTTTCGCCCTGCGCCCAAACTCACCACATTTGCATCTTTGGGCGGGGAAAGCAAAAAAACAATATCACACAAAACATGTCTAACAGTCTCAGTCTAACAGCTGCTTTTGGAGACTGTGCAGTGCATCAAATTGAAGATCAAAATTCAAGATTAGAGCGCGCACCGTGACATATTCTGGAAGTGATTGTTTGTCATTTGCGACATCAACAGATAAGTCTGTGATTTCAGAGCACATGTTCCCAGCAGGTTAAAGACCTGGTTTGATGTCACGTGGATCCACTTGGATGTCCAGCGGTGTCACCACAGCAATGGAAGGAGCCCCCGATTTTTTCTCCAGGCAGTGCACAATAGCCATTTGGGATTTTAACGGTAAGCGTTTGTGACCGGGCTGATCGACAATCGTATCCGGCCAATTTGGCGACCCTTACGGCACAAAAAGTTCCTCGTTTTTCTGTTTTTGGAAGGAAGTATCGCACGCAACGTGGTCTAGGAGACGTCTATTGTGGAAGTGCGTTCGCCGCCGCGTTCTCTGGAGCTACTAGTATGCACATTTTGCACGCCAGGCACCTGGCATCCGGGTCAGAAACTCATTTTGCCGGGGGGCTGTTCCATCCGTGCCGCAGGCGCAGGGCTGACGGTCCGCTGCCAAAATGTGGACAGGCGTGGGCGGAACGGAGCGGCGCGGCCAGACCTCAATTTGTGTGGCAAGTACGATCACTATTTGCAGAACTTCGACGTTTCAACAGGCGCATTTTTTGGAGGCCCTGATGAAAGAGTGGTTTGCCTCCAATAAAAACATCTGTTTTCACATATTCAACTTTCAGTTTTCGCGGCCCCTGCAGCAATATTTAATGATATTCTACCATTCGCTTGCATGACCCTGGCATGCTTTGCGCGCGCTGGATCACTCTCATTGCGGCGCGGTGCACATTTGATATGGCTCACCCAACCCTCCCGTCACTCTGTGCGTGTCAGATCGTTCTCGTTGTGGCGCTGTGCTCATTTGGACATACCTCACGCAACCCTCTCGTCACTTGGTGCGTGCTGGATCGCTGTTGTTACGGTGATGCGGTGATTGTAACATCTGCCACGCAAAATGTTCCCTGAGGTCATTGCATTTAAGGGCCCCTTTTGAGGTGGTCCTGCTGGGGTCATGGTGAAGGTCGTGCTGGAGGTGCTTGTATGAATCATTCGCGATGCTCGTTCAGGTTCTTGTCGTACAAGGATCTTTGATGATCTTTGTATGATCCTGTATAAAGTCCTTCTGTCACGATCTTGTGAAATTCTCCTAGGGACCTTGTCACAAGATCTTGTGGGGTTCCCGGCGAAATCCTCTAAGAGGGCCCCTTCTCTGAAGATTCTTGGATATATTGTGTTGGAGGCGCTTGTTTGCTACAGTAGGCATATCACAAAACTCCAGCAAATCTGTCTGGTTACACTGATTACACTCCCAGCCCGACCTTTCCATGGCACCTTGCAACAGCTGTGCCGGGCACCTGGCAAAGGTCAACCCAGACCGGGCACCTAGGAAAGTCCCTTGTGAAAACGTGGTGAAGGTCCCTAAGATTAAGATCTTGCATGATCTTGCAAATTGTACTAGCAGTGCTTGTACCAAAGGTTTCATGTGATGGTGCTCTTGTAATCTCAAGATATCTCAAGATGTTTGTATGATCCGGTAGAAAGTCCTATGAAGATCTGGTGACATTTTCTGAGAGGTCCTTGTTTGAACATCTTGCATGGTGTTGGAGTTGCTTGTATGGGCAACATATCACAAACACCACCAAATCTGTCTTATTACACTCCCAACCTTTCCAAGGCGCCTTGCAACGATAAGTCGTCGCTCATAGCTGTGCCACCTGGCAAAGGTCAGCCATGGTCAACCCAAAAAGACCGAACATCTTGCTGGCACGTGCATGGCAAAGCACATCTGCGTCTTCGGGGACTGGCACGACTCTTTGCTGCTGCCGAAGACGAAAATTCCGTTCCATCTGGCTGCCTTCTGCAAACCAAAAAATTACATGTCTGAATTTCCCCGGGCAGGTGAAACTTCGCCTGTGGCGAAGCCTTGCCCAATTCGCTGTACAGAATGTTTGCCAAAGGGGATTTAGCTTTGATCAGGGTATGGGCCAAATCAACCCCGCGCCCCGAAACACTGGATGGATTCTGTTTCTGCACGAAAATTACAACCATCTGGGCCCCTTGTGGTACGACCATACCTGGCGACCTGGTGCTCGACCCATACCCTGGTCTAGCTGGTGTCTGACTTCGTCTCTGCCTGCTCCGCCCGCCGCGCGCTGCTAGTGAGAAGTGTGGGCAAAGGGGCGGATGGCACCACTTGCGAAGTCAAATTCTGCATCAAGGTCTTCAGGGTAGTCTCGTAGTGAATATGAGAGGCTTCCAAAGCTTTGCAAATCGTAGCTCGAACGAAAGTATTCATCGCATCAAATCCTCCTGGCATGCTTTCAATCAGCGCGTGAATCATCAGCCGATCCGATTCTTCCGTGGCTTCAGCACTGCGGGTGTCTAAATCAGCCACAGTCTTGGCCACAGCCACTGCCACATCTGTCCCAGCATTCCCTTTCTGTAGGACGCCAGCCGACGTGCAAAGCAGCAAACCTTGGAAACACTCGCTTTGCGACAGGGAAATAGTTTGGTAAACCTCGAAGAGGCACCAGATACGCTGTAGGGGCAAAACGAGCTCATCGATGATCATGGTGGTACCCTGGCAATCTGGACTTCTGAGCGCAAGATAGAATGACGACTCCTGCCATTTTCCATGTCCAAGTTCAGCCTTCACATCCCATTGGCTATTGCTAAAGGTACAAATCCAGTAGGCTGAGTCTCGCCAGTCCCCCTCACAGCACTGAGCATGTTTGCGGATCGCATCACTAAAGTGGCGGACTGGCATCCCCCAATAGTGACTCACGAACCATTGCATTTTCGTGGGCCCAAGCAACTCAACGAAGGACAGCTGGAATGGTTCGGTGAGAGGCTTTACAATGTTGGAACAAACGAAGTACATGGAGCGTTCCTTGATGAAACTTTCGAAGAACCTCGGCTGAAGCATCAATGTGGACCATTCAACAAGCCACCCCTTGTTCGCGTCTGAATCAAACCTGTCTGAATGTTGGGGGGGCTCTTCAAAAAGATTGCGCCTGTTCTTCATAATCTTCATACGGTCATACGGCTCAACAAACCTTCCGAACCACTAAACCTGCGCAAGGCAAGCCAAGCCCAAACTGAGGACCAAACCAAGCCAAGCAAGACCGACCGGCGGCCAAAAAGAATGCCAAGCAGCTGCAAGAAGTCCAGAAGCTGCCCCGCTGTCATGGATCGATCCGGGCCCCGGTCACATCGCGCAAGCGCCAGAGGCCACTCTGTGAGGAATTGGCGTCGCCTTTTTGCCAACGGAGTCCTCTCACCTTGCCTGATGCCGGAAACTGCGAACTGCTTAACCACAACCGATCTTGCAAAGTTTTGAAGCTGTTGTCCTGTGGCTTTCTGGCGTCCTTCCCAAAAGTGAAATCTTACGTTGATTGAAATGATCCGGGTATTTTCCTGAATTCTGTTTCACATTTAATTTGGCATTCTATCTTACATATTTTTGAGGTAAATTCTGACATTTATTCTGACATCTATTCTGACATCTATTCTGACATCTATTCTAACATCTATTCTGGGATTCTATGTGACATGTTTGCCGGTGTTTTATCTGACTATTATCTGACAGATATGTTCCAACCCATATGTTTACACTTTGTTTCGCATCCTACCTGACAATTTTTATCTGGCATTCTATCTGACAGTGTATCTGGCATTGTATCTGGCATTCTATATCTGACATTTTATCTGGCACAGTGTTCAGGTCAGAGCCCCAGAAATCTGCAAGCTCGCTGCAGTGTTCGGGTCCGGTCCCCAGAGAGTCTGCGAGCTCGCGATAGTCCGGTGAGCCGGAAGCAAATTGCGTGCCGTAGGCCGCTTTCAGAGGAGGCGCGGAGGAGGGAGGAGGGAGGAAGCTAACATGGAATGTAAAAACCTTCACCTGGCAGGTGGGGAACAATTTTCAGACTCTTCAGAAAAATGATTTTATAGTGTGCCAAATTGTTTCGGGAATTCTTTTCTATTCCGAAAGGGGATGTCGTTCTGCCTTTCTTCTTGGGACTAGAATTCTGTGGTATATTTCGCTGAAGGGCTGAAGGGCCATGTTTTCAACAGTTGACGCTCCTATTTGCAGTTTGCGCCACAAAAGCTTCCGCTTGTGACCACACTTGGATTGATTTTGAATTGGTTCAGGGTTTCGTCAGGGTTGGGTTAAAGTTTATTTAGGGGCGGTTTAGAATTTATTCAGGGTTGGTTGTTTGAAGTTTACTGAAGGTGTAAGATTTGTTTAGGGTTTAGTTTGGGTTGCTTTGTCGTCTATTGGTTTGCTTATTTTCAGGTTGGTTTAAGGGTTGGCTTGGAAGTTATCGGGGGTTGGTTTGTCAAAAAATAAGGTTGGTCTGGGATTTATCTAGGGTTGGTTTGAGGTTTATTTAGGGCTGGTTGAGAATTGATTTCGAGTTGGTTTAACGATGTTTAAGGACTATGTACCATTGGTTTGGGGGTTATTGAAAGTTGGTTTTTGTCTTTTAACGCCAGTTTTAAGGTGTTGGAGGTTTGGTTTAGGGTTATTTGATGCTGGTTTAGATATCTCAGATATCTCGGTTTGGTTTGAAGTTTATTTACGGTTGGCTAACGGTTTTCAGAGTGGTGCTGGGTTGTTTTTAGGCTTGGTGTAAGGTTCTTGAGGGTTGGCTAAGGATTGGTTATGTAGGATGGCTTAAAGTTTGTTGCAGGGTGGTTTAGACTATTTAAGCTTGGTTGTGGATTGGTCTAGGGTCTATTTAGTGTTGGTTTGGAATTTATCGTTGGTTTGTTTGGAACTCATTTGTCAATTATCTAGGTTGGCTTGCGGTTGATTCAAGGTTGGTTTGGGGTTAATGAAGGTTGGCTTAGGATGGCTTAGGGCTATTTAGGCTGGTTTCAGCGTTTATTTAGGGTTGGCTTCGAGTCTGTTTAGGTTTGGTTGAGGAATGATTTAGGATGTGATTGGGATGTTTTTGGGGCTATGTATGGTCTCCTCCACACCAAAGGGGCCCGACCTTCGCCGCATAAAAAAACCCTGCCTGCGCCGAAATGCAAAGGCCAACAAGCCAGTGCAAAAACCAAAGCCGCATGCCAGCGCAGTCAGGGAGAACATGAGTCGGCCAGCCACACCTGCAGTGACAGTGGCTGTCGCGAAGAACAAGCACCACCCAAGGAGTGGGCAACGCCACATGCCCATGCAGAGAAATGGATGTGGAAAATTCAGGCGAATTTGTCCTTTTGATGTATCCAAAGGTATGGAGGCCTGCTCACCATGGAGTGTAAGCTGATACGAACTCAAGGTTCTCACCTTCCATGTTGATGTTGAATCCAAGTTAGGGACCCCAGTGCCAGTGAAGGACACAACTGGATGTGCCCGTTTCAGGAAATGATGCGCAATGGAAGTGGTGATCACCACCTTGTCGCCCTGTGAAGAGACATCGGAAATGGGAAGACGGCCAAAGCAGCCAGTCAGAAACAGGAAGCAGAAACAAGCTGCGGTCATGCAGCAAATCAAGCCCAAAACGATGTCCATGGCCTCTACTTCGCATGTTTGTCCTGTAGCATCAGGACCGGCTCGAACGAGTAAGTCATTACAACTCCTGCATGTGGCACTGTTGGGCAGGGAGACTTCACCCAATCCACAATTCTCGCAGCTGCTGCTGTTCGGACCAGCAAAGGTTCCACCTTTGCATGGTTCACACGTCAGAGCATCCTTGGCAAAACGGCCAGCATCGCACGGGCTGCAAGTTCCACTGCCGGCAACTGAAATGGTACCCTGCTGGCACAGGTTGCAAAACTGCTTGTCAACTTCATGGGTTCCAGCTGGACATGCTTCGCACGCAATGCTACCTGGGTCCTTGGAGATTTCTCCTATTGGGCATTCTGAGCAGTTTCTGCTTCCTGCCTCAGAAAACTGTCCAGCAGGACAATTGCGACACTCACTACTTCCTGCAGAAGAGAAGGTGCCTGCTGCACATTGCCAACACTCGGTGCTGCCAGGAACCTTTGAGATTGTTCCTGCAGGGCATTCGGAACAATTGTTGCTTCCAGGGTGGGAATAGGTCCCGGAAGGACAGCTCTGACACTCACTACGTCCTGCTGCAGAAATGGTTCCATTGGGGCATTGTTCACACGTCATGGCCTCCTTTGCAAAACGGCCAGCATCACATGGGCTGCAAGCTGCACTGCCTGCCACTGCAGAAATTTTGCCTTGTGGGCATGCGTTACAGACTTGCCTGTTAATTTCATACGTTCCGGCACGGCAAGCTTCACACGCACTGCTGCCTGCAACCTGTGAGATTGCTCCTGCCGGACATTTGGAACAGCTGCTGCTTCCTGCCCGAGAATAGTTTCCAGCGGGACAGCTGCGACACTCACTGCTTCCTTTTTCAGAAATGGTTCCACCAGGACATCGTTCACACGTCCGGGACTCTCTGGTAAAACGTCCAGCCTCACATGGACTGCAAGCCGCGCTGCCTTCTTTGGAAATAGTGCCTCGTGGGCACAGGTTGCAGTTTGCACTGGCTTGCTGTGCATAAGTGCCTGCTGCACATGGCTGACATGCAATGCTGCCTGGAACCTTTGAGATTGTTCCTGCAGGGCATTCGGAACAACTGTTGCTGCCTGGGTCAGAATAGGTCCCAGAGGGACAGCTGTGACACTCACTGCTGCCGTTAATAGAAATGGTTCCGTCCGGACATGCTTCACACACCACACCATCTTTGGCGAAACGCCCCGCATCACACGGGCTGCAGGCTGCACTGCCTGCGACTGAAATTTGACCTCGCGGGCATGCGTTGCAGAATTGATTGTCACTTTCGTAGGTTCCGGCCCGACAGGGTTCACAAGTTGAACTACCTGACGTCTTTGAAACTCTTCCTGCAGCACAACTTGAACAGTTGGTGCTTCCCCTGCGGGAAAACTTTCCAGCTCCACATTCTTGGCAAAGGCCTCCGGCAGCGGAAAAGGATCCGCCAGCACAAGAATTGCAGGTTCCATCAACCTCTTCTGTGCCAGCTGGGCAATGGCCGTCCATGCATGCACTTCGGCCGTCCTCATCTGTTCCATGAAAATGGGCTTCAGTGCAGTTGCATGAGCCATTGCCTATCGCCATCCATGCAGCCATAGACTCCTGCTGAAGACTTTTCGCCATTGCATCATCAAAGCAGGTGCCACGACCATAGCACACCTTGCCACCTGCAACATCACCAGGACATGCCTTGCAGTGTTGCACTTGCAGCTCCTCCCGCCGTACGCTGTAGAAGTGCTCGTGGCAGCTCGAGCAGTCCGCGGCCTCATGGCCTAGATTACATCTGCAATGCGATTCCCCGGGCACACACCGTCCCTTGTTGTTACAAAGGTCACTTGGTACACAGAAGCCCGGAGTCCAAAGCTCAATCCCAACCCCAAATGCACTCGGTCTTCGCACAAAGAGCTTCAGCTGACCATCCAAAACAGAGAAGAAGCTTCCCTCGTCTGCAGCTCCTCCCTGATATTGGCTGACATCGGTGCCCAAGCAGAGAAAATCAGGGTCACATCGGAGTTCATGCGTGCCATCATCATGTTCGCAGGCCTGAGCGGGAGCATTGCTATCAGGTATTTGGATTAAATCCAAATCTCCATCTGCATCGCAATCCACAAATTGCCAATTTCGGGCATATACAGCCCGCCGTCTTCTACCAGTATGGTCTGAATTTGGCGGCAACGATTGCATGGCACTTACCAGAGGGCTTTGCTTTTCACGTAAACTTCCATCTGCCAAGTGTTCAAAATAGCGCCCATCTGGTGGACCCAAAAATAGATCGAAGTCACCATCGTTGTCCCAATCCACCACCATGGGCTTGGCAAAAATCCAAATTGTTCGATCTTGGTCGGGCTGTTTCTTGAGTTCAATCTTCTTGAAGGGATGTTCTGCCGGCTCTTCACCCAGATTTGGCTGAAAATGGAGCTTGCCGTCATATTCCGAAGCAATGAGGAGGTCCAAGGCTCCATCTCGGTCCCAGTCTACCAACGCAAAGCCATTGTTGAAGCTGACGCCGAGGAATGTCCCAAAGCCGAAATTGTTTAAATTGAGAGTGCCAGAAAGGCCAAGCACTTCCTTCATGTGCCCTGGCTGAAATTCATACCGGCGCAACGTCCAGCCATTGCCATACTTCCCCCCCTCCACAACCATCACATCCTCAAAGCCATCCTCGTTCCAGTCCTGCACAACGAAACTGGAGCGGCGAGACAGCTGGATGTCCTCATACATCTTGAAATGAGAATTGCGCCGAAGGTCTCGGTCCACCACATGCTGGTAATAAGACCGGACATCACAGAAGCCTACGAACAGGACGTCTGAAAGCCCATCAGAATTCCAATCTGCCACGTGTATTTCTACAGGGGAACATGTAGTATCGGTCAAAGTATCTGTAATGTCGTACGAGTATTTGGAAGGTTGCATCTCTGCTAATGGATTCTCCCACGACTCAACGAAGGTACCAGCAGCCGTGCGCCGGAAGTACCGCCACCTTTTCTCCGCGGAGTTCCTGGCTGCAACCAGCACATCCAAACGTCCATCGCCGTCCAGATCCGCAATCCGCTCCACTTGGCCTGGGAAGGCCTGCAACGGATTCTGCTCGCCAGTCCGCTCCTCCAATTCATCCAAGACTCGTTCGAAGTACCCTTTACCCATCACAAGATCAAGGTCACCATCTTCGTCAAAGTCCACCGCTTGCATGTTGCATGCCCTTAAATGTGATGCATTTGTCTGCAAAATCATCGGTTGTTCAGAAATATTGGTCACACCAGCAAGAACAACGGAGTGGCTCAGAAATCTCACTGATCTCACAGCAGTGCCATCTAGAAGATCTAGAAGATATTGAAAATATCCAGAATATCCAGAAAGCAGGCACATCAGTATATCCGGCTTCTTGTCACCTGCGAAGCTTAGAGGGAAATTCGGAGCAACAAGGTGAAACCCTTCCATATCCTTTTGAAATTCCGTATGTGGGAAAACAGAAGCTGCACATGTGCAAAGAGAAAGAAAACAATGGCAATCAAACAGCTGCCAGTCACCATCCCAGTCTGCAACTTCAAAACCTTGTAGCTGGCCAGGGCGGCTGGGAAGATTCATCAACTGGTGCTTCTCGAAAGCGTCACCTGGAAGCCTCTCGTAAAACCAAAGGGAATTATTTGCTGTCACCAGGATATCCATGTCCCCATCACTATCCCAGTCTGCGAAGCGAAGGGTGTCAGAAAGACGAGACAGTGTCCGTCCTGATCTTGATCGATACCAGGGAAAACTGTTGAACCAAACACATGCTTAATGAATTTGGTCGGGATTCTCATTTCACGGATTTCAAATTTAAAAAACATGTCTGCATGGAAACTGAGCAACAACATAACCCAAAAAAAAATACCCTACCAAGAGGGGTTTTCATATGGTTTGAGACTGCCCGCCTTGGAAACCTTGCAACAATGGCTTCACCTTCGTCTTAAAGGTCTCATCCTCCTGGAACTTGTGACGCTGCCCGACGCAACTACCATGAGAAGCTTGGCACCACCAGCCCTTCGCAATCACGAGATGCCAAAACACAACCAGCCATCGCAGCTCCATGCGGGCTCAAAATTGTGCTCGATTTTCGGTGTCGTTTTTCATCTCTTCTTGCATCATTATTTCCGCATGTTCTGTTGCATCTCTCTCAAGCCTCGCACTACTTATTGTAACCTTAAACCATATGTCATTGTATGTCATTGTAGTTTCCATCCATGCAGATTGCTTGCGATACAAATGATCTTGGGCCAACTCTCTGCAGCATGGTGTCCTGCAAATCCGTTGATGACCTTCTCTTCGGCGCAAAGCTGTCTGGACTTTGCCAAAGCCTTGAACACGACTTCCAAAGGGTCGAACAGTCGTATGCAAGTTGAAACATGTTGAAACTGCAGAAGTTGAACATTTAGCAAGTCATTTGAGGTCTTCAAATGTCATTGATGGGTGAAACATGTCAACCAACCCAACATGTCAATGGTTCTTCTGGGCCAAGCCGTGAAATGCCCAACATCACCAACCCCCAAGGGCCAAGCCTCAAAGTGGTACGCCATGGCCAAAGTTTCCACGGCGTGGCTGCCGAGTTACGGAGAAATGATACAAGATGCTACGGTATGTCATTGTATCTTTTGTTCTGTTTGTCCGGGACCGGAAGCCACGTCTGCTCATATTTTTTCTGGATATGTTCTGGATATGATATATAAATATATCTGCATATGATCATATATATATATATATATATATATATACGTATATATATGTGATTATATATGCATTTATTTGCATTCTGCCTGCCAGTCTACTTGGTCGCAGAGACTTCCCAAGTCTAGGATACAAATATCAAACAGTTGAGTAAATCCAAATATCGAAGTTGAAGACGTGATATCGCCAACACATTGGTATGGCCTGGAATGCAGCTCAAGCTCAGAAGGCTCCCGAACTTACCATGATACACATCTGATCCCTTTTTAGAACACAGAGACCCTGGGAAGTTGCAGTAGTTTTGTAACATTTCCAATGCAAGTTACAGCAGCTTATGGTGCTTCTCTGCGGAGCTGCCTTTTGGAACTTCACAACGGATGGAGCTGGGACGGGAGCTGCAAAAAGGCAGTAACTCTCCCCTGGAAGCAGGTAGATCAAACGCGCTGAATCATCACATGGGCTTCACCTTGCTAAAGCAAGTTGTGATGCCACACAAGTGGCCAATTAGACCCGTTTTCCAGACGGCAAGGACGACTGCAAAGAAAAGTAGAACGATGCCAGAAAAAATTGCGTCAAGTAATGTTGCCAATTCCTCTAGGACTCTAGGATGCCAGCTGCAGGATTCTGCGGATCAAATAAGCAAGGATAGGTCCGCAGCTTAAAGTTGTCATTGCAGAGTTTCTGGCTTTTCTCATATCCGCTGCAGCGGCCAGAACTGCAGTCCCAGATTTCATCTTTGCAGACTCCCCAAACATCCAGAAACCCACAACTCTCCAATCACTCCAGAAGATTCTGCTCGCACACGTTGATACCTTGGTAGATCTGTCAAGTCCTTCTGGCGCGCTGCGACACTGACTGGAAAGGCACAACGAAGTTCAGGTGTTTCGGTTGCAGGTCCATACTCCTGCATCCTGCTGAGCTCTTGATGAGTTACGGCCAAACAAAGGCCTTCCAGCTGGTTTCGATCTCCAGCGATGTGAGGAAAAAGCCTGGCAGTGGGTGAGATATCCCAGCGCCAGGCCAAGCAAGTGGACTCTACGGAGCCGGGGTTGGGAAGGCACCTCCGGCTCGTTCGATTTCAGTGAGGATGAGGACATGGCAATGTGGATATGGAATGCGGCAAGGATTTCTCAACCAGGAAACTTACAGAAAAAAGTTGCCTTCAAACTGGAACATACAGGCAGCTTTCTCAATCTAGATCCATGAATCGCACAAAAAAAAACATGGTGAATCCCCAAGATTCCCCACGAACTGACTAAGAACCTGGGAGCATCCCCCATGTTCAGCGACCAAAAAACGCCCACCGTTTTGCTCACAACTTGGATGTCTGTGGAGGTCTCACATCGAAGGTCTTGAGGACAGAACCTCGGGTTTATTCCATCGCTGGGTGGGAAGGCATCCATGATACAACGGGAATTGTCTGTGGGTAAAACATGGTAAAACGATGCCATAAACCATCCCAAAAATTCCCACATCACATCATAGTGGGATATACAACCAACTTGATCTGATGGGAAACGGATGTGGGACAGGAAGATGATCCAGATGATCCACTGGTCATCATTTCACCTCTCAAAAAGGTGATTTTGGGGGAACCTTATTTTCAGACACCATATGCTGAGGATGATAAGGGTCGCAAGATGAGCATGAGGAGCAGCAGGAGGATGATGCTGCTGACTTTAAGACACTAATGAGAGGAAGCGCTGCTCCATGCCGGAATCAACACCTACAGAACATATTGATAAATATTGCATGTTTCTTTCCACTGAACAGCTTGAAAGCTGGAAACGTCACCTTTTTGCTATCCTGCACCAACTGATGCCCCAAGTTTGGGGGACCACTGGCTGTATCTGGCTCTAGTGAAACGCGCTTGTGATCAACAGGCTATACCAACTTTCAATGACTTGCAGGGACACGTCACACGTAACTTGTGCTCGTGGCATGTTTATAGATTCTGTAACAAAAAGCTGGGAGTTGCCATAGCCTGGGTGTTTGCTCTCAAAAGAGTCGTTGGCTGAGGCCATCAATGTAGAGAAGACAGCATAGGAGGACGCCAACATCCACACCAGAGTGCACTTGAATGCCTCGGAAAACGGAGCACCCCATCCCAAAAACAATCCAGTCCAATCCAGGTTAAGCATATATCTACTGTTCAGACACAGGCCACGGATATGGGTATGGGCCGGAATGGGTCAAATCAACCAAGTGAATGGTGTTACACTCAAAATGACCAACCAGCCTTCTTAAGGTCCAAACTACTGGTACCCCAATGACTTAGCCGTCCATGTCTGGCTGTTTTGTCGCAATGTTGGTTCCATTTCTGTTGGTTAAAGAACCACTTTGATGGGAATGTTCTCCCATCAACATCAACCAGTCATATTCTGCTTGTGATTCTTAGTTCATATTCCATCAATAACCCATTTGATATCCCCATAAATATACTGTAGCCACATTCATATCCAGGGAAAATCTATGAACATATCCTCCATGACTCCATGATCATCATTCATTATATCCCCCAAAATCATCCAACAAGCCATTCATCTCCCAAGCCCTTCCGCGCTCCAAGGCGCTGTAAAACTTCCGTTCCGTAGCTTCGAAGCTGAGTCCTCCGCTCTGCGTCTTGGCCAAGCTCCGCTTCTGCGAATCCGTGACGCTCAAAGCGTCCACCGTGGCGCCGCGGAAGATCATGCCTTTCTCACCGGAGAAGCTGGGGGAAAAACCCCCAAAATGGCTTGGATGTGATGGGAATTGTGGATGCTCGTCTAAAACATGTGTTTTTTTTCGCCTCCAAAATAGCTCATCTACCCAAAAAAGGTATAAAAAGGTAGGGAAATCGTGGACAATAGTTGACGATCATAGGTTTTGACGCGTCCCAAATAAAGGCTTGACAGGATTCGGAGACATTTTTTTTCCAAGAAACATCCAATAGACCTGGCTATTATCGAAGAGTCCAGCCCTGTTACAGCTCCAACTCACCCCAGAGAGTTGGATTGTACACAATGTGTGATGAAATCAATTCAAATCATGACCACCCCACCAGAGTTTCATAGCTAGATGATGTACTCACAATGGCCGTTCACCATGACCTTGAACTCAACCAGCACCAGGTCTTTTTGGTGGCAAAACTCCTCACCAAGTGGCTGACAATCTCCTCGGCACCAATCTTAAGAGCAAAGCGCTGACATGTCGCATCCTCCTCCTGACAGGGTGTTGCGTTGTTTCAAGAGATACAGAGCTGCAAAATGCTGCAAAAATGTTTGAGAAAGTCGCCCACCAAGTGAAATTGGCAGTTGAACTATCATGTTCTGTTACAGATTGCCTTAGAACTCTCACACTTTATGCCACCGGCAGTTTCCCCGGCCTTCTGGAGACATGCAAAGATGCTGTTGTCCGGCAGACAAATCTCCATGTGGCTGCCAGATTTCTGCACAAGAGCCAGTGCAGAGGTATCCACAAAACCTACCGCCGGGATGGTTCCAAGGTCAACTGCAATAAGAAACAGCCATGGCCCAAATCCGAGACGGAAAAATTGTCAGAAAATATCCATCACTCAATGCAAAACTGCTTCGAAGGCAACCCAGATCTTACTGATGCGTATAATAAATCGGATGAATTCCCATATATCCCCATGAACTGGTCTTACTTACCCCCAAATAACATGGTTTTCCTTTAAAAAAAATCCATCATCACACTATTTTGAATAGGTAAACCTATGGAAAATCACCATTTTGAATAGGTAAACCTATGGAAAATCACCATTTTGAATAGGTAAATCTATGGAAAATCACCATTTTGATCACCAAATGGATGGCTATCCCACCCCCGCTATCCATGGGGCCTCGTTTGGGGCTGCGCAGCAGGGAGCCCCGGGCTTCGGGCCGCAGGTTCCGCAGCACGATCAGCGGCTCGGGCGCAGGCTTGAGCCGCGCCTCGGGAGTGTGGATGGGTCATGGATGGATCATGGATGGATAATATTGATATGGGGATGGGTCAAAACCCAATAATCCATATATATATATATACGTATAGTATATATATACAATACTATATATATATATATACAATACTATATATATATATATACAATACTATATATATATACTATATAATTTGGATTGATAGATCATGGAGAATGATATGATGGAAAGAATGGATATCATCAATTTCTACCATATTTTGGGGAATAAGCATCCACAAACCAGCTGTGGATGGATTCATTGGATTGGTTTAAAGGAAATTTTACAGGAAAACCCATCAAATTTGATGGTAAAAACCTTGGTTTCCGGTCAAAAAAATATCGCTTGAACAGAACCAATCCAATGATGGAATAGTTCTGATGGACAAACGTCAATATCAATAGGATTGTCAGTTGGTTGATCGTAGGCCGTTAATGATGATATGTATTGATTATATATGTTTAAAAAGATTTGAAATATCCACAGATATATGATATAGATATTCTGAGATATTGATGGATAGGTATGGAATATAACATTATGGATCGTTTCAAATCTGGATGATGAATCATATGTTGATGGACATTTATGTCATCCTTGGATCATCTGGATCGTGGATTGGATGGGTCGCTGCCAGGCAACTGAATGAGACTGCCGTGCAGCTTCACTGGCCAGATTGAGTTCTGCTTTCAAGATGGGCATTCCAATCCTGAGTTCATCCAGCATCGGAATAGTGACTAGAGTGACTAGAGTACTTTAATGACTTTAATGGTTTGACGACTCAAAAAATAGGACACAAAAACTTCTACCACCACAACCATCTTCTCAGCCATCTCCAAGGGTCGGATCCACTACATCCACAAAAACCACCGGCGAAGTCTCCGCGGAAGCCGATGCCAAGTATGGCACCCCCAGGACACTTTGAGAGCCGCGGGGCACCAGCAGATCGGGACAACAGATCTGCTTCGTGCTGTAGATGCGCGCAGGGCTGCTGTCCTCAACCGGTGTCCCCAGTTGAGATACACGGCTTCTGAAAATGGGCTACGCCCATAAACGAGGTTTTCACATACTCTTCACACAAACCCATATCAATTGATTGATGCATGATGGAGTAGTGATTGAACAATTATATAATAGTATTAATCATAGTATTGACACAAATCAAGATAATACTATGATTTTCTGTTGACTGACTTTAAGTGGATCGAACATCCATAAACATTCATCAAGATCCATCAACTGATCACCGGTTCCTGCCTCTGTGGGAGGCACCGGAGTCCTTGGTACGCGAGAAGTGCACATGGATTTGACAAGAAACCAAGGGAAATGATGGTGAAACCAACTGGCACCCCATCTCTTTCAAACAAACAAAAAGTGTATCAAAGTGTATCAGAAAATAAGCCAAAGTCATCCATTGGAACCAGAAAATTGCATGACCATCTCCAACATAAAAGTTTATCAGAAAATCTGGGGGAACACATGGCTATCCATATTAATGATCACTCCAGTACCATACTGTGGATGGTTGCGAAATCCTGCACCAGTTGAAAACGGTGGTAAACATCCCATTGTTCATAGGGTTTCAACCATCCCAGGTGGTGCAGGATTTCTTCCACCCACCATGGCCCGTTGCCTCGGACCCAAGGCGCCGTGTCTGGGACCGAAGATGATCCCGCGGCTCCAAGCTGGGCCGCATCGAGGGACCTGCACGACCAGAAAAACCCGCGAATCATGGGATATTCATAGGGAAAAAAAACTAAATATGGGATATGAATATATGGTTATATATACATATATATATACATATATATACATATATAATATATATATATATGTAATTCATTGTTGGATATCTAGTTTTTCATTGTTGGATTTACCAGATAATATATAATATATATATATACATTCAACATCTGGTAAATCCAAGAAGAATGGGATATGAATGGAATATTCATGGACAACTAATGGGAAATGTCACCCAGAATGAATGGGATGATATTCACCTTGAAAAATGGCTCTTTCATGTGGTTTTTATCCACTGTAATCCATTAATCCCTTCCATCGTTCAGATTAAACACCTCCCAAAAACCCATGGCTTTACCCTCTGGTAAACATACAAAAAACTATGGAAAATCACCCACCATTTTTAATGGGAAAACTCAACTATTTCTATGGCCATTTTCAATAGCAAACTGTTAGTCATTACCGGGTACTGGGAAGGATGAACCAACGGGGGAAGGTATACCCAAGGGCCCAACCTCGGTGATGATCTAAATCTATTGGGGGTTTACCACAGAAACCTAGCGATGGTACCAGCTATGATGCTTTTTTGTATGTCAATGACTACGAGGACGTAGACACGTCATACCTACCCCTCCAACTCCAACGGACGAACGGACCGACGAACGGAGCGACATGACGTGGGCCTGGCAAAGTAGCAGGCAATTTGGGTAACTCAGGCACCACATTTATGCTGCACACACAGCAGCAGACCTGGGCTGACTGCAGCATTTTTCATGAGGTGTCATGACCAATTGGGAATCTATAAACCATCTGGTAATCCATCTATAAACCATTGGTAATGCATCTATAGATTGGTAATCGATTTCATATTAACTTGCTAATCAAATACCAGTCGGTGTATAATGATCAAAGCTATAACATGGGTCTAATTTGCTTCATATCAACTTGGAAACCCATCCATGAGCCAGAACTGAACCCATGTTATGTCATTGATCAATCCTTCAATCTCCCCAGCATCAGATCAACGTCCGCAACACGATCTCAGCAACCCACCGCAAGGAGGACCAAGCTGAAGATCAGCAGCACCCAGGCGCCTCAGGACAGCCCAGATTTTCGACTGCACCAGACTGGGTAGTCTCTGCTAGTCTGACATAGCGAATTAGGTTTCGGTTTGTAGATGATTTACAGGCCTTAAAAATAGATTAAAAAAATGCTGGGAATTCCATGACAAATGGCCTGAGATTGTCAGAGATGTTGATGACTCGACCTGCCTGACGGGGATCCTTGGCCATGGCTTGCGCTCAGCAGTTCACCTTGGTTGCACCGGAGGAATCGTTTGTTGGTGGATCTGTAAAGTGCTGCAACCCTCGAAAAGATGCCTGAAAAGTTCATTTTTCCAGGATTGCTATAGCAAGCCGCTCATTTAGAATTGAAGTTACTGTAACTTTTCCATCGTTTTGGTGGAAAATCCATGAAGTTTGTCTGAGGAAAATCCAGGCATCCCAGTTGAGCCAAGCATCGATTGCCATGGGAATAGTAGAGGAGCTGCCAAGTAAGATATGAATTTGAGTCCTCCAACGCCGGAGACCACTCTTGCTGCAACATCTGCGACAAGTTCATCCAGATTCCATCTTCAATGTGGGTGTGTCTGAAAACAGAAAATTTCCATCAAAAGGGGGTGGCAACTCTTTTGATGGAAAAAATGACCCAAAAAACCAAGCCAACGCCTCAGGGGAACTCGACGCATCAGGCTGCCAGGGGCCTGCCAGTGGATCATCTATCATATTTTTCCAGGATGTGTCCACAAATGGGGTATACTAAGTATACTATACCACCGCTATCCCATTCCATCCCCATGATTAAAAACATTTAAAACCACATCGTTTTATTGGGGCCCCCCTTCCCATGTTTGGGACAAACACGACTGGTCACGGATCAAAAACCTGATCCGCTAACACCAAAATCAATTAGAAATGAACTGTTCATCCCAAAAAAATATGGAAAATCCATGAAAATCATAGCAAAATTGCCATTTTCCATCATCTTCCGCTGAGCGACGACCCCGAGAGCCCTTCTGCATTAGTACATTGCCCACAGCACTTGCTGCATCGGTGAAAGGTGTGGTAAGGTCGCTGGTCCCACATCGATCGCCTGGACAGGGACCCGGAAATTCCAATCATGTGATCCGACCCACGAGCGCATGATCTGAGAGCATTTCAATGTCCATGGAAGAATAAACATTAATAGATGGTTAATATACATTAATATCCTAATATCATGGAGATTCTACACCAATAATAGATGGTTACCCTCTGGTAAACATACAAAAAGCTATTGAAAATGGCCATTGATAGTGGATGTTCCCATTAAAAATGGTGGATCTTTCCAGTTCGTTATGTAAACGTTTACCAGGCCGGGTAAGCCATGATATCATTTTGCGAAGCCACTTGGATCGCAAAGGCCAGGAACCTTGGTGGGAACAGTGGCGTGGCGCTGGGGCGAAGGGTGTTTTTCCTAAGCCCATGGAATTTCTCGAGTTTTTGCAATCCCAACCCCCCGAACATGTTGGAAAACCCGCAGGGTCAGGCTTCAAGGTGGGTGAATGGCTTATGATACCATCTATTTGGTGTTGAATATGGGGTGAATAGCTGTGAACCGCTGCCATTTTTGCGGGTCAACATCCTCATTTCTTGGCTGGTTACATCTGTGTGTCCAAAAATCTCCAAATTTGACCCCCATTTCAGTTCCCATGTGGCCATCATTGGCGAAATCACATGTTGCTTGGGATGGGTCAAACGTAAAAACCCCAGTCAAAACCACAGATGTTGGTCCATTTTTCTCCAGTCGTTTTAAGTACCCTCTGGTAAAACGTTTACATTGTTTACATAACTGTGGAAAATCACCATGTTTCATGGGTAAATCAACTATTTCTATGGCCATTTTCAATAGCTACGTTAAATTACCAGAGGGTATCAAGTACGCCATCCCAGGGGGGATCAAACCTCGATCCATCCCCATCCTGGTCACCATGGTCTGGGGCCCCTTGGGCCCCGGGCTATGAGGCCCAGCACCAGCCAACGCATCGCGCGGCCGCGCCGCGCCCCGCCGGCCCGGGCCGAGCTGCAGCCGGCATCTCTTCTCTTGTATGGGTATGTAATGGTATGTATATGCATGTATATGTATGTGTATAATATATATATATATGTTATATTTTAGATAAATATATATATATGCACTAAGATACAGTAGGCAGACAGGCAGACAGATAGCTAGGTAGATTAGATTAGATTCGACCGATCGATGAACGATGGATCTTACATCTACCCTGGATGTTCCTTAAGAAGATGACATCTCGCTGAGTTTCCTCACTCAGGAGAAGGTAAAATCCAACGGTGCAGGCGACCTGCTTCGATGGCGCTGTGTCCAAATAGACCCTGAAATGCTGGGATGTCAGGGTCCACCAATATGTTTGGTACTCCAGATTTCCGAAAACCAAAGGAGTACATGACTCTACTGGATTACAGAGCCAAAATATACAGTAATGCTTCATGGATTTATGAACCATTAACATCCATTAACTATATCTAATATCTATATATTACTGGTTGATATATTCATATCCATTTACTATACTCTAATAGCACTATAGTTAATGGACATTAATGGTTGTTATTTACCAAGGCCTACGGATTCCCACCTCGAAAGTTTGGCGCTCGCCCAGGGCACCCAGGGCCACGGCATAGGTTGCCTGCCATGACAACGCTTGATGTACAAAAACTCTCCAAAAGTCATGTCCCAAACTTCGGGGTTTCCCCAAATTTTCCCATCAAGTTTCCAGCTGATGTTCCAAAGATCCCCAGGAAAATGCACCAAAAAACCGCCAGATTTTTCTGTTTGAATAGAGAGTCCCAGCCATTGGTGTTTTTTTGGGATCAATAAGGGGGTTTTTGTTTTCCCCGCCTCGCTGACGTTCATGCCAGCCTCCAGCAGCGCATCCGAGAGCGCCAGCGCCTTGCAACTTTGAGATGCTGATCACCCAGCAGCAGCGATTCGATTCAATTCAAATAATTCAATGAGTCTCTCATTCCCAAAATAAATACAGTGTAATTCAAACCAAGTGTCTGCATGGCTTGTAGCCTTTCCAGCAATGCCTCACTGTTATGACCGATGTTCTCATACCCCACAATTCAGGTGCCAAAAATCGTGCTTTATCCATATCTAGATGCCTCATGGCAGCTATGGCAGCTATGATGACTGACATCTCTGGTGGAAACCAAGGTTTTGATCTCCATCCGTGCCCCCGTCCCCGCCACTTGATCATCATCCTGGGAAACCACACTGCAGACTCCCGTGCGTCTAGAGACTGGCACTCCTGACGTGGAAGGTCTTGGACCGATATGGAGACCTCCAATTTTTGGACCAACTACAAATCCATGGAGGACCATAGGATCCCCAAATTTCGACCCACTTTGAGGGATTCAATCCCCAAAGGTGCTACAGGTTTGTAGTTAACCAATATTTCACATATTAATGGGATCCATGAAATACCAAAAAAAAACAATCCGATTAAATCCCCAAATGTCAACCAACAGATGTCTCGAAAGTCACACAATCGTTCTGTCGTTCTGTGGGGCGAGCTCCGTAGGTGATAGGCGGCATCTTGATATTGGGAGACTCTGAAGATAGCTTGGAGCTTCACCAAGATTCTCATCGATTCTACCAGAAAAACAACAAGTCCCCATGAAGCACCAGTAAAATAAGCATCAAGAGAGTGCATCCCCAAACATAACCATCAATTCCCATGTGTAACCAGACTGGTTTTGACGGATTTGGGGCTCAACATGGCTGAGCCCATGGCACACCACCCCCAAAAAGCTCCTTGCAATCTCTGCCTTGCGAAAGTGTCTCGATGACATCGGCTGGAACGCCTGGTCAACCAAAAAATGGAGGGACGTGCCCCTTATAAGTTATCGGATAAACCCTGATAAACCATGGAAATCATCTCGCAGGGATCCATCAAAATATCATCCACTGGGGGTCATATCTGAAAACACAACAGGAAGGGGGGGTACCCATTTTGGGAATAACACCCCCATACTATTAATGATGGTTAATGATGGTTAATGATGGTTAATGATGGTTAATGATGGTTAATGATGGTTAATGATGGTTAATGATCAATCCAAGTACCTATATTTCTGCACAATAGCCACCTGTCGCCACCTGTCTCCCCGAAGAACCTGCAGCTGCCGCCAGCTTCTGGTGTGACCATAGGGCATACTTTGCACCCGTTCGTTGCACAGTACGCAGGATGCACAGCCTCAGTGGACTGTGCGAGCAGTTTGGCAATGACCAATGACTAATGTTGTTGCATCTCCACACTCATATTTATATATAATTATATATATATAGACATCTTTATATATGTATTTAGTTTATATATCTACAAAACCATACACAGGACCTGTGTGTTTTTTGGAGGATCCCACGCACCAGCTGCAGGTGGTTTTTTTGTTGTTCGCCTGGCCCGTTTGGGTTTCGGCTCCACGTCCAGATCGAGGACCGTCTCCGGGACCGTCTCCGGGACGGTCTCCAGCACCATCTCCGTCTCCTCGAGCTGGACCTCTTCCAGGCTCACAACGTGGCCTGGCAAGGTCTTGGTCGTGGTTAGTCCACTATGAGTCCAATGTGAGTCTAATAGATCATAAACAAACAAGTCCAATATAAGTCTAATGTAGGTCTTAATATATAAAGTCAATAAGTCCAATATAAGTTTATGTATACATCTCAACACAGCTTGCAGATATCCAGAGAAAGGGCCCGGCCTGCAGCCGGGCGCTTGGCCTTGAGCCGTTCCTTAGGATCCCGGGCAACACTTGGCCATGGTTTTTATGGTACGATGAACCACTGGATGTTTGAAATGTTCTCCCATTTTTGGGGACTTAGTGGAGAACTGGTGATGAAAGATTGGAAATTCGCCCATCCGAAAATTTGTGGATCTTGGTTGTGGTTTCCAAGTCGTTTCATCATGGTTTCCATCCAAAAAAACATGATAAGACTCTGTAATTATAGAATATTATATATATATACATTGTAATTAATGTCAACCCCGGGTTAATAAACCATGGTTTATTGATTAGGGGGGTACTCCCCCAATAGTCATAATCCAATACTTAAATGGTATCCCCCCAATTAAACAGCCTATGGGTTTATTAATCCAGGATTGACATTATATAATATTATATATACGTATATATAAGACTGATAAGATTTGGTTTTTGCGTGAAATCCTCCCATTTCTTCCCATGTTTTCATGCCAAAAACCACGGGGGGATGCTCCGAACCTTCAGCGTCCCAGCATCCAGCGCCCGCTGCCGTGCCGCCGCCCACTGCGCCGGCGACGACTGGAGACGCTCCATGGCCTGCGCACGCTGCGCGGCCCACTGCGACGGCGTCACCTGCGTCACGGCGACCTTGGGCCTGGCGATGGCAGGTGGAGTGGGTATGTGAACTGATCATGAACTGGTAATATGTTACGAAGGTGGATTATCAATGATTATCATATGGTTACTACCAGTTCAGTATCAGTTAACCATAGTTGGTATATTAATATGTTATGAATCATTGATATTACCACTTATTGTAATATGTTACATTTATATTACCACTTATTCATCATGGTTATTCATTCATAGTTTATATGAATTGGTAAGATGTTATGGTGATAAGATTAATTACAATAGATTAACTGATGAATGGATGTGTTTGATGATGGTTGATATACTTGAGATAGATGATGCAGTGTTGATAAATGTTCATAACTTATTAGTGATGATTTAGCTTTCACTACATCATCATAGGATATAAGATATCAAACAAGATCAAACAAGTAGATGCGAAAGAAACCAATCATGTAAGATATGTAAGTTGGATAGATTTAGATGGCATCCAACCTTTGTTCCCACATCTCAAAATCAAAGCCAAACGACTTTGTTCCCACATCTCAAAATCAAAGCCAAACGATGAGATTGCATCCCTTCACATCAAAAAACCATATTCCCCATCTTCATCTCTAGTCACTCTAGTCATCTTTCATCCCAAAAAATCAGCCAAACCAAAAAAATCGAGGTACCCCATTTCACCTCATCCCCATCCCCCCATCCCCCACCTGGTCTTGTTGCGTTGCGCTCGCAGCGCCGCCCGGCGCTGCCTCCGCGCCTTGGGGCCATCCGCAAAGGCGCCGCCCACCACGTCCACGCCGCCCTCCTCGGAGGCGCCGTCGGAGATCTCCTCCTCGGAGGAGTCGTTGAGCACCGCCAGCTCCGTTCCTGGCGGAGCTAAGGGGCCCAACAAAGCCCGGAAAATTGGGAAGATTAGCAATAAGTTCAATAAGTTCAATAAGACTTAGAATGAAGCAACAAGATTCTTGTCAGTTGGGCAACACTTCTTAGACAAATTAGGTGGAGTGTAGTTGAAGATCTGTGACTTGATGAAACTCTCCAGTTTTTCAATATCAGTGAGCCAGGCCAAGTCTCCTGGAACGATGTCTGGATGTTCCTCCAAATCCACCGGACCTGTCGAAACATAAATCCCATGGGCCCCAACGTGATATGGAAGTGTGTCAAAACCATAGGTACCCCTGTAGTTCACATCAAAATAGCTGGGATTTATGGAAATAACCCCCTAAAAATTGTATTTTCATAGGTATTGATCCATAGCCATATCAATCTCGAATCAAGATTGGGATGGAATAGTCTTGGCAAGCCCTCTGGCCAGCGACAAGACTGCAAGACATTGATGTTGGGAAACGAGTTAACATAATCGTTTATTTCCATCCAACAAAAACCAGTTCCATTGTGTTCCCACAGAAATATGGATTGCTATGGTGTTTTTCCATATTTTTCCCCTTTTTTCTCTGGCCCAAGTTCCCTCAATTTTCCGCACTTCCCCAGGCCTCGCTCCTCCTCCTCCTGGATGCCATCTGGGGCCTCCTCCTGCGCCTCCTCCGCCGCGGGGTCCATGGGCACCGCCCAGGCCACTGCTTGCTTCGCCCAGGCGAAAAAGTCGTCCTCCTCGGGGGAGGGCGGCGGTGAGGGCGCCACGCCTGGGGCAGAGGCGCAGCTTGGGACGGAAAATCCCGGAATTGGATGGGAAATTTTGCTGGAAACCAGAGGAAAACCTCTACAAACAAAAATTTCATGGGAAAAAGCCAAAAAAAAATTATGCCAGACAGATGTTCCCTGGTTTACCAATCCGTTGATTGTAAGATCATCTGCTAATGTTTCACTCTTTGCAGCTGTGTCTGGTGACACCCCATGTGAGCCATGGTCAATACTCACTATATGGTTGATGGTCATCCCATCCATAATAAGGATCCTTATTCCATGGTTATTATAAGTCCCTATGAACCATTGGATGACTAGCCCCTATTAATGGTTATTAACAATGAGTATTGACCATAGCTCATGTGGCACCCACTGGAAGGGCCTGGTCCCAGGATGGCCTCGGCGTTCTGCCGAACTTGTTCCAGCTTGGAGTTGTAGAGCTGCCGTCGCTTCTCCGCCAGATCCTCCCAGAACTTCCCCTGGCGAGGTGCCGTTGCTGGGTGCCGTGAAGCTGCTTTTTCAGCATGGTGCAGCTGGATTTCCCCACCTGGAAAGTGAAATATAAAACCGTAGTAAAACCGTAGTAAAACTCCAAAAGTTCTGGAAATCTAGAACCCTATCAACATGTCAATATGTCAACCCTTCCATCATTCTGAGGGCCACACATTGATCCCAACCCAGACCTGAGGTGCTTTGGTCTGTTCCCCGCCACTGGCCGCTGCTAGGGCGCGGTCGATGCAGGGATGTTGGAACTCCACCGTGGCTTCTTCGATGTCTGTGGAATTCACCTAAGAAAAAAAAACGACCGCCAAACCACTGATGGCTGTCCTACCTGAAGCCTGCGAAACATTGAGAACATCAGAGCATCTATATATCAATATCAGTCAATATCAATATCTAGAAAAAGCATCTTTGGGCTTCAGCAAAAAGCGGAAATTGAGCGGGAAGGGATGCACCAAACGTACACCAAAAGTGACTTGTTCCCAGCCTCGGATTTGGACTCGGAAATCAGCACCACGTGGTCATCCACCAGAAAGGTCCGACGCAAGCCTCGGTTGAAAAAACACAGGAGGCCGCGCAGCCCTGTGAGATGGATCTAATGGAACATTGTGAAAAATATGCAGGTTTTCTCAAAAATCTGGGATTTAGATGGATTTTGATGGATTTACATGGATTTACATGTCCAACCTATGGCAGTTCAGTGGGGAAAATGAGGTCTGAAACTAGCCTTTGCTCTTCACCTCTGCTCACCAACAGCAAATCTCGAGTTCTGGGCTTGGTAAAACCTGGAAATTGCTGGACAAACCCCAAAGGACCAAAGGACCGGAACAGAAAAGGCGCTGCTTCAGTCAGGTGGCAGCAGCCACGTGCAATGCCCAATTCCTTAAACTGGATCAGACCGAAGGGTGCACCTTTGTCATCCCGGTCAAGCCGCAACCTGAGCATAGCAGACATGTTCAGGATATGTCGCACCAAAAAAAAACAATGTTCAAGATTTCAGGCGCCACTGCTAGTCTGTGATAGTGCAAAGTACCCTTTTGGTCCAACTTCCAGATTGCTGCAGACGAAAGGGTGACAGCTCAGCTACATTGGCTATACGGCTATACATGCTGAACTCAATCAGAATCAACAGCAAAGATACAAAGACAGAATTCAATGCTCCGTGAACTACCACGAAAGCTGAAACTGCCAGGTGCTCATGCGGCATAAAGTGCCTTGGCTTTCACATAGAGAGCCTTGCCCTGCGCCGTCTTTCCGTTCACAGCGCAAAAACCTTTGATGCCCAACTCCTTCCTGGCCTGGATCACTGCGTTGTTCCAGCCGGAGATGTTCTTGAAGCGGTTCTTGGCCGCGGCATTGGCCTTCTTGCTCACCACTTTTCCTCTCTTGTTGATCATGAGATCATTGCGTGTGTGCCCAGAGGAAGTTTTCTCCTTCTTGCCCTTGAAGACGGCGATCTTGGCACGCTTGCCTCGAGCAATCTTGCTCACTGCCTTCTTCTTCATGACACGAGCTTTCATCGCAGTCGTTGCTTTCATCGCCTTCATGGCCTTCATGGCCTTCATTGCCTTCATTGCGGACTTCATCTTGATCCAATTTTCACCTACAAAATGCAGATGAGGGATCTCGGACCCAAGAAAAGAACTTGAATCTGTTACCCCAGGTGAAGGGCCACAGGCCCACAAAATTGTTGCCAAAAGATCATGCTGGAAAAGCGCATGAATGCAATCTGCCCCGGATTCAACAAAAGATCCAAGCCAGACAAGCTATACAAAAGAATCACAAGGATCAAATTCGAGAAGAAATGCGCACAGCCAAGGACAAAGCATCCACAAAACGGACACAGTGCCGATGCACGCCAAAACTGAGAGCCAACGAAAAAATTACTGATCATGTTCATTGGCAGCTCCCAAAACAGCCGCCATGCAAGCACAAATGTCTACCCACTTTGACTGTAGAAAAGCTGACAAACCCAGAGTGGGGATGCCACAAATTGATGCGACAGAGTCGCTTGCAGCAAGCTGGGCGCAAATCACAGGGGCATGCTCACCCAAGCAGGAAGACCTGACATAATCCCAACGCGGACATTGCCACCAACGATGAATCTCGGTTTCAACACCAAGGCGACAAAACGGACAAGTAGCAGACACAGTACCGCGAGAAGACCGGTTCAGACGATCAGCAGTGAGAGTGGCACCTTGCATAATACAACGAATACTGCATGCAACCTCATCGGAACCCAGAACACGACGCAACAGAGCCCGATCAACATGTTCCAAATTGCGCATGTCACGTCTGCGCCGACTAGCAGTCTGAAAACACACATGGCGCATGGCATCGCGCAAAGCATGCAAGCATGAAAGGCTATGTTGATGCAGTTCCCTCTTATGAAGCAAACGTGTGCTTGCAAAAGTTTTCATCACATCAGCCATATCAGAGGCCTGGGCGAAGGATTGACACATAACTCTGCGGCGACATTCCATGGTCTTGCAGACTAGATGAAACATTTGTCCGCTTTGAGACGCCAGTTGATTCCAAGCAACCCACCTCCACCCAAAAGCCTGAAGGGCCTGTTGAAGCCGAACATAAAAGGAATCAGCAGGAGGACAAGTCATTTCAGAACATAAATGGAAATGGGACTGCAAAAGCTGTTGATATTCCAAATTGGTATTTGCCAGCCGAAACAACAACGCAACCTGTTCATGAAGCAGCGCATGAGGAATAGAGGACCGATGAATAGGACTGAGAAGAGCAAGACTAACTTCTAAGCACCTACGGGTATTGGTGCGACCACCAGAGAGCACATTGACAAGGATGCGCTGTGTGCGAGCATCAACCGCACTCAGAGGATCCCAAGCGATAGCAGAGTAAGTGAGCATATTCATCAAAGCCCCAATATCTCTAGATCGAGGTTCATACCCGACTGACAAACACTTGAACCGTTTGGCAATGGTTAAGAACTTGTCCAACAACGCAGTCCAGTGAGCAGAAGAGCCAACGCAGAGAGCGCCGAGATCAAAATGCCCACCCAATATTTCCAAAATAGTGAGACGCCCCAAGTTGACGCCTCCAATTTGAAAATGAGCCGCGCTCACGGCATCATTGCCTGGACAAGTACTGGCCCACTTGCACTTACCGATGTTCAAGGTGACATGCTGGTCCTGAAGCCAACTAACAAAGAAATCATGCGCAGCGTGAAGCTGAGACAGATGAGGCGAAGACAACAGGACATCATCAGCATAAAGCGAGATAGAAACCTCAGGAAAACGACGAGCCAACTCACGAATAGGACAGCAGAGAAACGCAGACAAACACGCCGGAGCGCTAGGGTCCCCTTGAAACAGGCCGTTAGTACTGGAGAAGGACGCGTCAGAGAAACGACCTTGGAGTTTCCAAATACGACGAAGACCAGACCACAGACTGTGAAGAGCACTAGCACACGCAGGTTGCACGCCGCATTCAACCAAGCTGTCACGCACTTTGCGCCAAGGAAGCGAGTCGAAACACTTGTGCATGTCATAGGAAACCAAATAAACATGACAACCAGACAAGGAAGCATTTTGACAACGAAGATACGTGGAGGCCATAGCAGCTTGGGCAGACTCACCAGTGCGAAAGCCATGAGAGCACGATGGCAGAGAACACTCCAAAACAGCATGCAGACGTTGCGCAACGACACCAGACCAAGCACGGTAAACCACAGAAGCCACAGAGATCGGACGCAAACCAGCAGGATCAGTCAGAAAGTCAACAGAAGCTTTCTTGGGAATCAAAGTAGTCACAACCGTGCGCAAACAAGGATGCCAAGTGCCAGAAGCAGCCATGCCATACAAAACCTGAGCCAAGAGATCCCAGAAACAGGCGGGCAAGGCAAGCAACTCACACCGACGCCAACCGTCAGCACCACAAGCGGAGTGAGCCGCAATTTTGTCAACTGCAGACCGAAGATCAGAACCAGACATGCGAAGCATATCAAGCTGGTGCAACGTACTTTTGAGAGAGCTAGACAAGGCAGGCTCAGCAAAACCATTTTCGGTGAAGTTTGATGGGCAAGAAGGGGCTGCATCCGGGCGTCGAGCCAAGATCGGTTGCCAGATCTCTTCAACCTTTCGAAAGCAAGCAACGGTATCGTGAATGTTTTGCCAGGAGGTGTATTTGGCCTTAGCCCATTTGAATCTTTCAGCCTGCGACATTTGCATGCGAGTGCGCCAGGCCGACAAAACTTCATCGCGACGTTGTTTATTGCGCCGATCAATCGTGCGCCGCAACCAATCAAGTTGAGTTTGGACTTCAACCTTGCCAGGGAGTTGGCTCGGGAGAGGATGAGAGCGAAACACAAGGAGGATGCGACGACGAGCATTTGTCCAGATGGCTTGGCTGTGATTGTTAGCAACACAAGAATCCCAACAGGAGCACAGTTCAGCTAAGCCAGCACGAGCGCGTTCAAGTCGACGAAAGTCAACATCACCTTGGAGCCGAAGAGACTGCGGATCACAAACCCTAAGAGCAGGAACAACAGCGCGACCGAAATGGGAGGAGCACACAGTTTTTCCACCAAGTCGGCACTGCCGCGCAAGTTCACATTCAGCGAGTTGGGTCCATAGAGCATACGCATCATCAGGGCGTTCATCTTCAAGGAGATTAGAGACATGAATAAAGTCAGCAGACCAATCCTGGGACTTAACAGAACGGGAGACACACTCGGAAAGAGGGAAAGACCGAGGAGGTTGCAAAACACTCCAAGAGTCATGAGCAGGATTGAAATCAAAATCAGCGCAAACGGGTCGGTGGGTGGGGAAGGGAGCAGCAGAGAGAACCTCCCCACACACAAAGGACTGCAACAATGAAGGAGAAAAAAGGACATGGTCGATAACGGAACCCGTGTGAGAGTTATGAGCACGGCATGTCACAACTTCCTGAGGATTGGCCGTTCGATAACCCTGCCGCACGAGCTGGTGTAAAGCAAGTGAATCCTGAAGAGAGGAATTGAGATCCCCAGCGACAAGGACATGACCGGGCAACGACAGCACCCAACCAACAATCTGGCTCAGCATGTCTTCTCGGCGTTGAACATCATGTGTGTGACCGTAGCACGCAACACAAGTAATATCCGCTTTGCCAAACTGCTGAGACACTTTGCCAGCAACAATACGACCATCGGCCCAATAATCCAACAGACAATCCGGGAGATCAAGCGGCGAAAGACGAACGCCAGGACCACCAATCAAGGCAACACCTCGAGACGACGAAACGCCAGGACCATGCACAGGAGCGCCCCAAACTACACAACGCCCTGACTGCTGCAGTCGCATAGTAACACTGGCTTGCCCGGTACCGGTGAGAGCAGTCTCCGAGACACACGCCAGACCAAACGTAAGAGCACAGACCGCAGCAACACGGGAAAAAAGGGAAGTCACATTCATAGCAGCAACCCGAAACAAGGAAGGAGTTGAACCAGATTCAGTTTCACCCCCTTTGACATCAGCTTGGCCTTTCGCCTTGCGCTTCTTCTTGTTCTTCACAGAAGAGGTGGGAACAGCCACAGAGACCTTACGAGCTCCAACTACAGCAGGTTGAGCAACCGGCACAGGCAAGGTTTGATCGCGAAAACGGGAACGACTGCGCGAACGGACAGGGCCACCAACACAAGGAGCAACAGGAACAGGGGGGCGACTGCGTTTGGAACTTTGGGCGCGATGCCATTCATGAGGAAGCAACGGGCGACGACCACGAGCTTGCGCAGCATGCGGACGATGGACAGGACGACACCAAGGAGGCGACCACCAGTCAGGAACGTCGCACACAGCCAAACTCTGACGCAAGAGGTCCCAATGACCAGCCGCCAGGACAGAAGCAAACCGATTATACCTCCCACGCTGGAGCATGCGAAACACAAGCCAGCGGACGCTTGGGCTATGGATGCCATCATTCTGGAGTTGAGTTTGAGCTTCACGACTGTTATAAGTCAAAGCTTCACCCAGATTTTTCCAACCACCAACGTCTTGCGCCTGTTGGGCCAAAGGGAGCAAAATGGAGTCAGCGTGCAAGCGCTCAAAAATCCAAGCAACTTCAGCAAAGCCAGCAGTTTGCAAGCGAAGGATTTCAGCCACAATTGCCAGATTGGTGGAACGGGGAAAAGAGCCCACAGGAATTGATGACAGATTGCTGCTTTGTTTTTCGACTGGCTTTTTCCGTTTTGGTAAAGCGTCCGAAGGAACAGGTTCGATAACGACCGGGGGAGGAGGGCCACAAGGGAAGGATTGGGCCTGCATCCCGGTCTGACCCTGACAAGAGGCAACAACAAGCTTATCCGCATCACAGCCAGGGTTGCTCGCAACCGTGTCTCCTAGACGGTCACCACCGGGAGAACAAGCATCGCCAAGAGTTGAACGCACAGGCACGGACAGACCAGAACCCGGACAAGCCAAGGACACAAGCTTCTCATGAAGGGAACCAGCTCCCCGAAGACATTGCACTTCAACCTCAAGCGCATCAACCCGCTGAGACAAAACCGCAAGCAAGCTGCGCAAATCAGCATGGAGAGGGCCGCTGGAATCATTGACACTGTCAGCACGCTTGTCAGCAGACGGCATGTCAGGGCGGTCATCCCTGCCAGGACCAACCGTGGGGTGGGCAACAGGAGGGTTTGACGAAGGAACGGCATCAGCACATGATGCAGGCAAGGCAGCGATGTCAACAACAACAGCAGGAGACTGCGGCGACGATCCTTCACAACGCCGACGATACAACACAAACGACCAGGAAGAAGGCATATCCAAGATGTCTTGAGCAGAGGCAACACGACAAGTTCCATCGTCATACAACAGCCAATCGTGACCTGAACGAACAAGCAAAACATAATGCCCGGAAGACGCAGACTCACCCAAGTGACACACGGCAAGGTGCATATCCCAAGACGCATCAGCAACAACAACCGTGTCGGGGAGTGAAATAGCCGTGTGTTTTTTCTTATCATTGACATCAGCCCTCAGAGTCTGAATGAGAAGCCAGTCATTCAAAGAAAGACGCTTAGACACAGCTTCCGCGTGTTCAGCAAAACAACATGAGCACGAGACTTCAACCTCAGGGTTGGCCGAACAGCATTGATCATCATCAAGCAGCTTCTGCAACGAAGTAGAGCCGCCACTGGGAGCGGGAACGCGCCAAAGAGAAAAACTTGATTCAGCTGTCTTGGGCTCACTGCACCCAACACATTCAAGAGCAACATGTTCAGTGACAGAAAGATGCGAACACAAAACCGACTCAGAGTCCAACCACTTCTGCAACCACAAAGCAGCATCTTGCTGCTGACCATGCTCGAGGTGATGATGTTTGATGAAGCGCGTCCACTGGGCCGGCGACAAGTCATCCAACAAACGCCTCAAGGAAACATCTTGAAGGACAGACGAGCGCAAATCCGACTTTTTGACAATGTGAGCCAAACAACGGACAGCCACAGCCGCAAAACATGTGTTCCCGAGATTAGGCAGGGTTCCAAGCTCAAACTCAGGTTCGGTCGAAGCGAGCTCCCGAGCAACACCAGCGTTGGGCAAAGGCGGAAAAGCAACTTGATAGGCATCATCCAAAGGACCAAACGGATTAGTAGAAAGAACCCCTCCCTTAGCTCCACCCCGAGTGTCAGCACCATGGCCATTGTCAGGACCAACAGAAGCATTTTCAGAGTCAGCTCGCCGACTCTTTCGCTTTGGGCTCGCATCTTCAACATGGCGGGACGGGACAAGAGGAGGACCACCACTGGCAGGACCAGGAAGATGCTGAAGTAACAGAGTACAACCAAGCTCAGCAATTGTAAACACAATGTCCGCAGGTGGACAGGGCGCAGCTATGGTCACAACTCCCTTGAAAGACGAAACCAAGTAGGGCTTGAACGAGTCAGAGGTCAGAGTGGCAACCAGAACAGCAGGATCAAGGGATCGGGGAACATGCGCAATACGATACTTGAAGTGATCAGCAGGCACAAACACAGCATGCGGCTGCACAATGGCTTTAACTTCTCTCTCATGATCTTTGTGGATCCTGATCCCCCAACGAAAAGGAGTACGCACAACAGACCAAGGGTGAGCAAAGCTAGCCAAATACAACTGCAAACTTTGGCGAGTGTGGGCCGCAGAACCTTCAAGGACAGGACAGCCAGGAGAAATCCAGACGCAACACAAGTCTTTCGCCTCAGGAATGGTGTGAATATCCCGAACCAAAACGGCACTGTGCTGCGTTCCCGATTTCAAACAGGTAAGGGCATCCGCTTTTGGGAGGCGAACAGAAACGCGAATGATATCAGCCCTGACATTGTGGCCGGAGGCGGTCCATGCGCCAGCCAGCTTTTGGCCAGTGGCATCGCCAAGCATATGACTCACGTGTGAATTCAAATTCGCGACCAAAGTGTCAGACAAACGGTGAGGCAGTTTACCATGTTTGGTCTTGCCTTTGCCTTTGGACTTGCCCTTGTTGGCCAAGGAGTCCTTATCAGAATCAACAGGCGAAGAAGCAAGTTTCACAAATTTATCAAAGGCAGCCAAAACAGCTCCATCAGACAAATCTTTCCACCATTCAAGCAACACTTCAACAGAATCAACCGAAGCAAGCGATACCGTAGTCCAAGCAGTAGTTCTCAACTTGTCAGTGCCGAGGTGCGTGAGAAAAACCTTGTACATGTGATGACTATTGTCAGGAAAGACAACAATAGTCTCGACCGGTTGCACCTCAGAACGCGCAGTTGCTTCAAGAGTGACAAGAGTGAAAACACCAACTGGAGGGGCATGGGCAGGAACGGACCGAACAATGCGAGTAGCCTCAACCGCAGACACAAAATAGGCACCTAACTTGCGAGACCACAAGTGCGACAAAGGGTCCCCATCAGCCACATCGCGAAATGCATCATGCTTGAGTTGTCCCAAGTCTGCTACAGACTGTGAACCCTGTAATCATTAAAAATACAAAAAAAAATACAACTCCAAATTACAGAAAAAATACAACACTGAGCAGGGCAAAATTATCAACAAAAGGAAAATACAACATACATTGATGGATTCGCGGTTTTGTTCTTTGACGGCATGTCTAAAGAACGCAAAAAATACAAAAGGACAAAGTGCAATCTGTGAAGGACTGGAAAAATACAACAAAAAATACAAAAAAATGGAAAAATACAAAAAAAATACAAAAATACAAAGTGTATTGTTTTTGTATTTTATTTGTATTTTTTTGTATTTTTACAAAAAAAGTACGAAAAAATACAAAAAAAATACGAATGCAATTGCTCAAAAATACAAAATACAAAAAAAATACGAATCAACAATTTCAAAAATACGAAAAACAAAAAAAATACGAACCCAAAATTTCAAAAATACAAAATACAAAGAAAAGACAAATTCAAAAATAAGCGAGAGAGCCAACCCCGTGTTCACTTTTGGAAATCAGGAACCAAAATACAAAAAAAATACAAAACCAACCAGTTGTATTTTCCAAACCCTGCAGTTCTGATTTTGTATTTTTGGGTTGTATTTTTTTCGTATTTTTTTTGTATTTTTAAATATTGGTAGAAGACCCTTCTGTAGCCACCCCGGACAACTCAACATCATGCCTTTCTCCACTCACAGCGTCACCATCGGTAGCTGCTGGTTTCACAACTTTCCAGTCACGAGCACGCAACCTCCATGTTTGCACTTCAGGCAAAGGAGGAGGAGCCGCCGGGGCAGCAGTTGAGAGAGAAGAAGAAACAGGGTCAATTTGATCAATTTTCTTCCACGACAACTTGGCCTTATAAGCAGCGCCACAAATAATGTCAAGCTGATGTTTCAGCGATTCACTTTTTTGTAGTCGCCGCAAAGTGGCTTCATCTTGCGCGAGCATCCGAACTTGCTGCATGGGTGGCTTCAGTTGTCGGGCATTCAAGCCCTGCAAGATGTTGTCCAACCATGACTTGGAACCAATTTCCTCCAAACCAGTGCCCCCAAGAAGATCCGGCCACAAAGACTTCCGGACAACAACAACGTGAGAGCGACGACACACTGTCAGCTTAGAAGGCACATGCATGACTGCCACGCACACCAGGGCCAGTAGACAAACCCACTGCGCCGCAAGATTGAGAAGGACAATCAGCAAGGACTCAAGCAAACAAAGGCTACCATCACGGAAAGGCAGCAGCAAAAAGCAAGTCAAGTCAAATCCGCAAAAACAACTGGTCAAGACAGTCAACCCAACACAAATACCCAGAAGGATATTCCAACAGTGAAGGCGAAGCATTCTGGTGATTTGCACAACTGGCTCAAAAGACAATGATGCAAACAAAGTCAAAAGAGCAAAAACGGTGTTACTAGTCTCGTCAACGAAACAAACAAGGTTGCATGACTTGCTTGTGCTACTAGACTCTGGGAGTTGCTGCTTTCCAGACTTGGAACCAAGCTTCAAAGAAACTTGATTGGCCTCACCACTGCGGTCAAAGTGTCTGGATATTGGTGAAGTCTCATCGGCCTCATCGGCCTCATCGGCCTCATCGGCGTCATCGGCTCCAGCGGCTCCATCGGCTCCAGCGGCTCCATCGGCCTCATCGGGCCTCATCGGCGTCATCGGCTCCAGCGGCTCCATCGGCTCCAGCGGCTCCATCAGCCTCATCGGCTCCAGCGGCCTCATCGGCTCCATCGGCCTCATCGGCCTCATCGGCTCCATCGGCCTCAGCAGCTCCAGCGGCTCCAGCGGCCTCATCGGCTCAATTGGCCTGATCGGCGCCAGCGGTTCCAGCGGCTTCATCGGCATGTCTTTCTGGAAAGCCTATTATGGCCCGAAGCAGGCGGAATCAGTTGCGTCCATTTTGCGCCTATGGTTTGCTTCGCTGCCTTTTGATTAGTACTGATCCATAGCCTCTTGGCTTGCGATATAGCCTCCAAGTGTCGAACGTACGGGGGGGGTACTAAAATGACTAGCAATCTCCTGAATAATCAGGTAACGGGGCTGGCCGCCCTCCCCTTTACTTCGTAAAGTAAAACTCAAGGTAGCCCCTCTGGAGCTACCTTTCGTGACATAGATGGTTTCTGTTTAGGGCATTACAAATGTGTGTGTGTGTGCCAAATGATAAACATAGATAAGAATGTGGGGAAACATGTGTGTCTAGTGTGTGTTTGTGCATGTGTGTGTGTGTGCATCGCCCCTAACATCAACTGGTCTTAAAGTCAGAGTTGAATGGGGATCTAACTTGTACACGAGCAGTAAGATTCCATGATTTCAGCCATGCTCAAGAGGACGCCATCATCACCACCAGGCATACTGGCTTTCATTTAGAGGCCCTTGGTGTTTTGTGGGTGTCACGCTTCACAAGAGCGAGTGCGGTATGATGAAGTTCGGCATGTTTCGGCTTCACCACCTACCGTTCTCCCATCTCTCATATCCGCTTGATGATTGTTGCAGAGCACTACTCTTTGGGGTGATGAGGTGGTTTCCTAAAATGATGGTACCCCCAAATCATCCAAAATTATAGACCATTTTAGTATTGAAATCCATGCTTTTGGAATCCCCCATTTTAAGGAACCCCCATGAATCCAGCCCAGCCCAGTGCCTCAGAAGGATTGGTCTCAAACTGCGCCAAGGCGGCGTCAATGCCCTTCTTGGCGATCTCCCGCTCCTTCTTTTTGGTGTCTCCTTGGCCTGCCATTGGTCGATAAGTCGATGATCCCCACAGACCTGGAATAAAAAAGCCGACAGGGCCTCGTGAGCCAATTGCCAGGCTTCCCCAGATGTTCACTTGCCTTGAAATTCTCAGGCAGGCGCAATGGATGGTTTCAATTACCTCCATGCTGGGTCCTGTGTACCAGTACCGCCAGTATCAGACCAATACATTTATTGACCAGAGCTGGAATGCAGCCGTGCGACACTCCAAATTCACCTGAGACGCAAGGTAAAAGTCGGTTGATCATGGTTGATCATCATCAATCTCACCGTGATGGACTATGCATTTCTCATCATTTCTCAATCGCATCACTGGAGCCTCTGAGTTTTCTCCACGCTTTCGGCACAGCCTTTTTAGCGTCCTTCACCGATGCATCGATCGAATCCACCTGGGACATTGCCCCAAATCAGCGTCTCTCAAAACTGGGTGTCCGAAAATCTACCAGAAAGATCAGAACAAACTCATGTACAGGGATTTATCTTTAAAAATATCCAACGTTTCTGAATCCGATGTTCTTCCAGGTTTGTTTGCTTCTCCAAGTTTGAAAAGATACCCGAGGCCCACAACATCAAGCAACCAACAGCATCGATCCCCCGAGTATCTCACGAGACCAGGATCTGCCTTTGGGCTGCAACCTTGCGGTCACACTCATTCTGACCAAGGGTCTGCCAAAGACAAAAGTCTTCGGGGCATTGGTCTGACTATATATGTTATGTTACAAATAAATAAATAGATAGATTATAGATTGATTAAATTTTCTATAGCCTATATAAGCCCAATCAAAAAAGAAATGATGATGCATCTGCCCAAAACAGGCCAGAAAGTGCCATAAGTGGTCTCCTTTGACGAAAATGTCAGAATCGCACCTTTTCGCAGTCCAATTGGAGCATTCGGTGGTTCAAAGATCGTCTCCTCGGCTGCCTGTATTGCATCGCAGCATGCCCAGCAATAGAATGTGAAGGGTCTCTGCGGTTTCCAAGCCCCTTCCCAAAGACACCCCTTGCGGGCAATGAAAATCTTTAAAAAGACATGCTGGGATATTCCCCCCAGTTGTTAGACTGTTAGACCAACCCCTTTTACATCCATCATTGACTTTGCAGGCGACTCAATGGGGTCCACATCCCAAACATCCAATGTACCAGGGCCTTGTCAAGAGCGTAGCCAGATCTTCCCACATCGTCCACCTTGCCAGTTGTCTCGTTCTCATCCTTGTCACATGGGCCACAGCCACAGTTTTGCTGACCCATCCTCAGTCCGTGCAGGAGATCGCTATCATCAGAGCCACAATGGAAGCCCCACTGGGGCACCAAAGGGCTCACATCGGCTGTGTTGAGGATAGTACTCTGCAATTTGGGGGTGCAAGATTTTGAGTCCATACCAAAATCGATATGTACTGATGCAAAACGCCTCTACGTGGAACCCTGTGCTGGTGCAGAACAGCAAAATCAACAAGCGCCTGTACCATTTGCAGGATCTGTTCTCTTATCCCTGGCTTCTCATGTAAATCGCAATCAAACGCACCACAGTTCCTCTTTGACGGCCTGCCCTTCCAAAATGACTGTGATGCAGCCCAGCGACTAAACTTGTGAAGTTGGCATGCACTTTGGCAGGTTGCTGTACCGATGAGCCAATGGCTGCGAAGATAAACAGAATGGGACTAAGGCAATGCGAACATTGAAGAAAGGATCCATCCTGATCTATCCAAACATGGGAATGGCAATCAAGCAGTTACATGTCTTGCTTGATCGGTTGGCTGATTGGCTAGTTAGCTGGTTGCCTGGCTGCCTGTCTGCCTGCCTGGCTGGTTGATTGGTTGGTTCACCGGTAGAATATGACATTCAACCAATCACCCACCCGAACAAAGCCTGCCAGCCACACAGCAGCTCAGGTCAGGACGGTCTCTGTGTCTTTGACTGGCCTTGCATTGCTGATGCCCTAGGCCCTAGAAATGACTGGAACACAACAGGTTCTGTTCAGCAACCTGAGTTCCATGGTTGATGCTGTGGGCGTGTCTATCAATTGGTTTCTCTGTCATGAAATTTTGCAAAATTTGGGGTGTCCCCAAATGTTCAAACAAACCCATGGTGATTGGAGACCTTACCAGGTCGAATTGGGTTGGTCTGAATTGTTAGGGGCCTTGCCCCCGAACACCACGAGACAAAATGACTTGAGGCAACACAGTTTAAACATGTTTAAACGATCATTGAAAAAAATGCAAAAAATCCTACCAAGCCTATAACGATGTGCATAGATGTATGTATATGTAGAAGTATTGTAAAATCGTCTTTTTCTGGAGGCACTGTCTTGGTTTGTCCACCTCCTGAGGCTCCAGCTCCATACCCAGTACTTGTGCCCCGCGCAGTTGCAGCTTGATCTGGGGCACCACAACACCAAGGTCACACTTGGTTGGGAACGGAGTGTCTATGTATCTAATTATATGTGTGTGTAATTTCCCCTCCAAGCTCCAGCTCCAAAATGCCTGCATCCCCGCAGAGGTCCGGACTCCAGTCTCATCCGCCCCTCCCCCACTCGCAGCCACGTGCCCGAAATCCAGCATGAGGAAACCGTCATCGCTAAGGGGCCTGGGCAAAAGGAGGAGGGAGTCAAAGAAACAGCACAGCAACAATAACGAATAACCCTAGGCCCATCCGGCCCATCCCCCTAACACGGAAAAAAATGTATACAGGTTTGTATTGGATCTGTTCCCCTTTTAATGTATTCAATATTAGAGGGAGGGGGAAATTGGGATAGAACTTGACCTATATGTTGATCGAAGGAGGTTCCTACCCAACCACAAAGTGACCATGTGATTTCAATCGTTGAACCCACCAAAAATGGAAACCCCTGCATGAATCTGATATCATTGAAAATCAGTGGTTGCAAGTGGCCGAGCAATTCACTATGAGCAACCATTGTTTGGATCATGCCACTGCTTCGGACGGCCACTTTTCTTTTTCCCTCCCAGCCTGAATGTGGGCTCCCCAGACTCATTAACCTCTGCCATGAGGAGGTTGATGCAGATTGTAGAGCCGGGGGTTAGACTTGGAACTTGACAGAATATTTGGAGCTGTGCCATGTATCATGTAGAGCCGAGCCTCCAATTGCCCTCCTTCATAGCCATCAGCGCAGGTCGGCCTCGCATTCATGACATGCTCCCTATTATCCCTACTATAGTACGTGATCATTGAGTCATAAATTCAGAAATCCACTGGATGGCATCATAGGCTGCGCACTTCAGCTTCAACGTGGTCACAGCAAGTGCTTATGCTTAACTGCAGTTCCATCTTCTGTCGCGTTGTCTTCTGTTGTTCCCTACCTTGGTTGGAGTAGACATCGTCCATCTGTCGGCCTCAGAGCACGAAATCCAGCCCCAATGGTTCAGTACGGCTGTCGTTCATGTGGGGCAGCCATATCAGCACCCTGCAAGTTTCAGATGTTTCAGAGACTCCGGAGCTCAGGGCGCCCTTCTTTTTTTCAAACGCATCACGGAAACGATCCCAGCGGATCGTACTCAAACTCATCCTCTGGCAGGTTGTCCCAGTCGATGGTGCAACCTCGGCTGGGCCATTCCAGGAAGATGATAGAAGATCTGTCTACGGGAGCCCACGAGGTGAGAAAGCTGAGTTTTGGACCATCTTCTTCCGAGCAAGGCACCCAGGGATGGGCCAAGCACTCTTCAACCGACAGCCGCTTGGAAGCATCCTGTTGGACATCCACAGGCCGGTGAGACATGGAATATATATGTCAAAACGAGACCAATCTAAGATCAATCTCGCTTCACTCTCACTTACACGGCTGGAAATGAAGCAGCGCGGTTGACATCGACTACCTTCCGAGACCTTCCGGGACTTCATTATTTGTAGCTTCGAAATCCCAAACCATGTCGCAGCACAGGGCTCTATCTCACAGCAGGGGTCCTTCTCCAGCATGTTGGCGAGGAGATCCTTTGCTTCTTCCGAGAGATGGTGTAGAGCAGCCCGGTCGTACTCGGACCTCCGCGCGCCAAATGGCAACCCATAGCAACCCATAGCAACCTATGGCAACCTGGCAACCTGGCAGCCAGCTAAGCTTCGGTCCGGATGATGTCGAGTTCGGTCCTGGACGAACTCAAGCGCTCGGCCAAAGGATTTATGAGATGATTGAGATGAGAATTTCGTTGCAATAGAGCAAACGCACAATGTTTTCTGTGAACATCTGTGCATTGCTTTGACACTGCAGCTGATGAGGGGGATTCATCCGAAACTGTGTCAGGAGGACCTGAAGGGGAGCTTGCCCGTCAAGCAGGTGTAGAGGCAAACGCCTGTTGACCTCGCAACTCACGGGGTCCCAGCTTTTGTCAGCAGAAAGTTTGCCCCAGCTCCTGGAAATCCTCTAGAATCTATACCTGAGCCCTGGGCCAGACATCCACCTTCGGGCTGAACTCCTCTGGCCTCGAGTCAGGAGAACACCCCCCCTCTGTTCGGATTAATTTGCAAAAGGCCTCAATTCTTGGCACGCCGGATGCTGGGAGAAGACTCAGCGCACGGCCCGGAAGAGGTCTGAACAAGGGACGCCTCTCCTTCCAGCAGAAGATGCCAAATGGCTTGCCCTGTCCTACCTTGCTCAACCCTGACCTGAGAAGAAACATCTCTGTTTGAAATTGTTTGAATCACCGCAACAACCATCCACCCGGCCAGTGGCCCAGGGTACCATCGTATCCCACCACCCTGCTCCTTGATGTCCCCAGCTGAAGGCCCCATGTACCACGTCCGTCTCAGATTTCCAGGGTGGGTTCCCGCAAGCCATCGGTGCCCCATGGTGCTCCATAGTTTCAATATGTTTCATTCGCCCCAAAGGATCTTCCTAAACGGAATGAAAAGAATGAGATGAAAGATTCTGAAACCACCGGGGTTGTGCAAGAATGGCTATCCTCCCTTGGCATTCCTCGACTACGCTCTTCCCATTTCTTGCACCAAGATGAAAAAGATTGCACTACCGGTTGGCGATTTCACCCCATTCCGAGAACACCAAGAACATGGGTCAACTGGGAACGCAGCCGGATGTTTGATGTTTAGTTGAAACATCCACCACCAATCAGGCTGGGTCCCTGGCGCTCCCCAGCTTCGCTTTGGCAATTTCAGGTGCCATGATGGACCTGGGCTTCACGGTTCCATGTCTTTACACAGGTCGCCTATGTCGCCTTGGCACCTAAAAGGTGCCCTGAGGGTCCCGGCGGAGTTCCCACCACCGTCTCCAAGGGGCCATGGTGCAAACACTTGGCCACTCCAAAATCAATGAGCTTGACGCGACTCTCGAGATCAACGACGTCTCCGGTCACCATCATATTCCTCGGCCATTTCTTATACCCTGCCGCCATGCCAAGCCCCAAACCAAGTCCACAAGGTGCAATTCTGATGTGCGTGCGCAGAGGAAGATGGATAAACGGGCAGACGCATACATAGGTTACAGCAATAGACATCGACACACAGACAGACAGATGGATGGATAGATTTTCTGATCTCTGCGCCAGCTTGGTCTAAAGCCAAGTATCTCCGGTTTAAGATCTCGGTGAATCACACCACGCTTGTGCATGTGCGCCAGCCCATCCAAGATCTGAACACAAGAAACAAGCGGAAAACTCAAGGTTTCAGATTAAATGAAACTTTTATTGGCATCTGCTTCAGCGACACGCTCGTCACGGGCTGTGCTGTTGCAAATCCCAAACTCTGGATATGTATATATATATATACATATATATATACACATATATATGTATATATATACTGTATATATATGTGTGTGTAACATATATATATATATATATATATATGAATTTTATATATATATATGAATTTATATATTACACAAATATACCATGGATATCTGTAGATAACGTGTCACTTCCTCTTTATCCTGTCCTACTGTATCCAAATCATGTCATGCACTCAGTTGGATGATTTGATAGGGCGTTCTTCGTGCTGTCTAAACCCCCTCATGGCTGACCTGCAAAAAGATGCTTCTGGCAACCGACTCTCGCATGGGACCCTCTATGGCCACGTGTTCTGCAAGTTCGCGTCCATTCACCACCTGTGAACAACGCAACGGAATCCATGGGATGCTTTGGATTCCTGGTTTCGCCATGCCCAATGAATCCCTGACTTGTGGCAAATCTGCAGGCTCAACAAATCTGGGATCAACATGGATCTCACATTGATCTCACTATATCACTCTTTTGGGGTCAACCCAGTACCAAAAGATGAACAAAGCTGGACCACATCTTCCCGGCACCTCCATGACCACCAGCTTATAGTGGGGTCGAACTTTGCCATTCTGGTCCACTCTGTTGATGGTGGCAGTTGCAATCAATCCGGCCTCAGGTGACTTAAGTGATAGGCTCAAAATGGTTCAAATACCCCACTTGCAGCTTGGGCCCACCTCGGTGAATTTGCTGTGAAGCTGAGCTGAGCTTCTGACAATATTTGGGTGGTTCCCCAAAGCTCTCAGCGTCTCCAGCTCAGCTTCGATTTCCGCTAATTTCTGAACCTGCACAAGTCCAGTGCTCCAGTCCGAATCTTCACAGACAAATTCGACAAATCAAGAGTGCCCACCATCCCAGCTCTTTCAACTAAAATACAAGGAAAACACGTTGAAAAATAAAATCACCTTGATGGCCATTGATCCCCAGTGTTTGCAATTGTGTCCTCCAACGAATTTCCCCCGATAGGTCATCAAACACCACACCTCGCACCCGGGCTCCAAGACCAGTCGCCAAGTTGGAATTACCTGGCGGTTGAACCTCCTGGGCCCCAGCATCCCCAAGTCGGAGGGCAGTGACGCGCAAGGAGCGGGTCAAAGATAATGAAAGTAAAATGAAAGTAAGGCATCAAATCTACAGTAACTTGCAGGCGTCATACGAGTCATAGGTCAATTTGACAAGAGCTTCCAGGTTTGAAGTGCCCATGATTTTGGCCCATTGCTGGCCTTGATAGCCACCGGTTCCCCATTTTCCGTCAGGCCACGGTACCTCAAATGCGCAAAACAGACCCAGCTGATCTGCTGTTGCCGCCGGTCATTGCAGATGCTGAGAGGCTGACACGGTACCCTGGCGTAGCGGTGGGATCACAGAGCTACAGGTAGCACAGAAATATCATGAAATATCCCATGAACTGGTGCTACACTACAGCTAGACCAGCTGGAAGTCATGAAAGTAACCGACAGTAATCCAAGATAATCAAAATCTAGAGGTGGAAATTCGCATGAACACCTGCGCTTGGCCTGCGCCCCAGAGCCAAGGACTTCATTGAACAGGATGCGATATCGACAGCCATCATCATACTCCACAGCTTGCAGCCTCAGCAGCGATGGTGGATGGACCAGGCGCAAGTTTTTGGTGGCATGCCATTCCAATGCCTTTCCGACACCCGGCTACCCACAGCTCGCGACACTGGAAGAAATGGATATCCTGTATTGAAAACCCGGTTGCCCCATAGGTCTCAAGTCATTCGTTTGCTGAGGCCCAGTCCTGTCAATGTCAATTGCTGATGCACCAGATTTGCGGCTGATGGCAGAAAGCCTGACAGAAGAGCCAAACGCAATCAAACACAGATGCTCCTCAGATGCCTGTCCACCAAATGAAATGGCAAGGCATCTTCTCATCATGATGGGACATCTTCAACCATCAAAACAAATGTCTTTTTGGGTTCCCCCGCCTTCGCAACCGCGCTCCGCAAGCGTAAACCAAGGGCGCAGCACCCGCCAGCTTCAGCAGCGCTGAATGGGCTCCAGACTCGAAAAAGGCGCCACAGGGTCTGGGGTGGTCTCTGACAGCAGCAGGTCGCACTGGTCGCACTTGTCTCACTTCCACGGAAGGCCCAGGCAACATGGCGGAAAACATGAGATGGCGCAATGTGCTAAGAATGTGACTCCGTCCAAAATCCTTCAACTCTGAGAAGTTGCAGCTTTGGTGAGGTCCCCTTTGGTCACTTCTCTGGCGAATTGAAACTTGTGGCTGGACAAAGGTCTCGCTTTTCGAGAGCGGCACCCACATGCACCCACTGGTTTGGTTAATGGCTGTGCTTGTGAAAACAGCATCTTCAATCTTCAATGAATCTAGCTGAGCTGCAGCTTGCCATGCCACTACCGAATGGAAAATCAAAATGGTTGCAGGCACATCCCTGCGTCAGAGCATCACTTACATGAATCTTCCACAGAACCAAGCAAATATGTGCTCATGTATGTCCATGTGCACTGTGGAAGTGGAAAGGCCTCGCGTTGTATAAAGAATATATATATATTATATCATTATACATACTGTAGGTTTTTTGTATATGTCGAACTTCCACGAGTCTCCAGGTATTGCAATCATGGCAGCAATCAACTTCAAAATCGCTCAGGCACGTGCAGGAAGACCAAGGGCGCTCCAACATCCAAGCGAAATCTCGCCTCAGTTGCTTGATAGAAGCAAAATGAAGCAGCTATGCACTTGATCAATGCATACTTCTTCCATGAACAATCCCACTTTTGTATGATTTTATAGGCCGTTGCTATTCTTGCGTAGCAAGTGGAGAACATTGTCCGGAGACATCCCGGTGGTAAATGGGTTGTTGCAGGAATGGGTACCAAATTCTACCTGGGATTGTCATCCGAGACATGCCAAGACCATTTCTTGCCCAGCGTTTAATCTCAAAGGGCACATGTCAATGGCCCACACGTCAGCCAGATGCTACAACTTGAGCCGAGTCGAGGACTCCATGTCGGCTCTGCTCCTGGCTTCTGGTGTCTGTGGTGGACAGACTAACCTCTGTGATTGAAAGGTGGCGGCTGGAATCCCAAAGTTCCAAAAGAACATAGCATCGCTCAGTGGGCATGTCTCACAATTGGGAACACCATTCTATCCCATGGTTCATCATCATTCTCCCGATTCTCCCCATTCAAACTGCCGTGATTTGGGGATAACTCATGGTAAATTGGCAAACGAATTTGCCAGAATGCAGGTGGATACTACCACAAGTTTTCCCACATATTGCGTGAAATTCCACCATTTGGATAATCCGACGTCAACCCACGGGATTTTTGAACCCGACCTTCATCTCATCCTCAGCCGTGTCAAGCATCTTCTCATGGGCCTCATCTGCCTGTGTGGCCTCGCCATGGCAAGGTGGACTCTGGTGAATGTTGATATGCCACCGAACAAGTTGATAATCTTGAGCATGAGAAGCTGGAATCAGCTGGTTGTTCATGAGGTTATATACTCTGTGTGTGTGGGCGCATGTGTGCTTTTGTTCATGATACGATTATTTATTCATCAAAATCCTCAAGAAAACGCGTTTGTTGTGCACCAACTCCAACTCTAGAGATGCTTCTACCAGGATGTTTCTTTCAACCAACTATAATGACTCCACGATACTCCACGACTCCACCCAGTGGTTGCCTCAGGTCTCCTACGTGACCTCGGTCAAACCGCACAAAAAAAAAAACGTGCTGGAGACGCCACAAGTCGTGGAAGTCACTGGGCCCAGCCACGGCATGGCTTCGCGGATGGAGCTGCTGAGAAACGCCACCAACTTGTCGTAATCCCGCTGCCTGGACGCGTGGAATCGGCACAAGTAAAGAAAACCTATGAAAACCTATGAAAACTTCTCTTACCGCAGAGACCGCTCAAGTCCAAGTCCAATCATTCTGAAGGTACAAAAAGAATTATGATATATATATATATATGTATGTATGTTATATATATATATGTGCAGTTCAAGGTCGATCAGCATTGCTTGCTGCAAAAATGCTGGTCAACATGCTGCAACGTGGGTAGCTTAAGGAGCTTTGCATGATTTTCGCACATGGAACCAACACAGATCCAAATGCTTGGCCTGAAGAGGATACAAACTTGGGCCTTGGAAGGGCTGAGACCAAGTACGGAAAGGCAGCTGTCCCGGTAGAGAGTGGATGACATGGTACCCTTCTTCAAGGACCTACACCCAAACATACCCAGACCACCTTGGACAGCTCATTGGGCGTTGAGCACACCATGGCAATTATACAAAATCTTGGAAGCAGTTGAAACAGGGTAAGGGCCTATTGTTGCAATCTCGCTAAAATCCTAAACCTATCGAAACCTCCAAGATTCTGAAATGCAACGGCTGAAGTCGCCACTCTGCCAGCAACCAAGCCCCCTTTTTCAACGCTGGCAACTTAAGAAAGTCAATCCATGTCTGCATGCCCTGCAGTTGCAACCTCCTTTCTTGCAAGCCTGAAGTTGTCCCAGATCGCTGGGTTGGCAGCTTGTGGCGGCAGTCGTGGTCGCACCTGCCCGTCCAGCACAAGTAGCATCCCTTCCCGCACGTCATTGTACTTTCGCAAGGACCCAAAGAGAGATGGGATCTGGGAATCCACCGCCCGCTGCAGCACAGATTCCACCAGGTGTCGGAGAAGAAGGCCCAAGACACCCTGGAGGCCCTCCCCACCACCCTCCTCATCACCGCCAAATCGGGTGAAGCGGACAACTGCCATTGGCAGCTGGACGCTGCTGGAGATCATCATCGCAGCCAATAGCTCGGCCAAACACACTGCAGCACGAACTCCATAGGTATGTGCTTGCTGGATATGCTGCACCGCTGCCCTCTTCATGCTATGCGAGAACCGCTTGCCTACCGGAGCGGGCCGGCTGCATAGGCTCTGCGCAACATGAGCATAGAAAGCGTTGGGCTTTCGCTCGCCGATGGCACAATGGAACAGGACAACGCAGGCCTCTGCAGAGCCAGTTTTAGCTCCGCTGGCGGCCATGGACACCCGTTCAACAGCATCTTCATAGTCTTCTGCTCCCATCAGTGCCACGAACAAATTTTGTCGCAACTCAGATGTGAGACGTTGAGCAACTGCAGCCTGGCGCAAAGGATCTGACTGATTCGAAGCCTTTGATCTGGCCAAGACTGTGGTGGATGCCGCATCTTGTGTCGGCCAGTTGGGAGGCACCTCATCATGCAGAACACGAAAAGGTACCGCAAGGACATGGTCGGACACTTTCCGGCCCTTCAGCAGGGGGGCAGTCTGAAGCCAACCGCGGGTCTGATTGAAGCGATCCATCACTGCAAATGAAACCTTGTTGTTTTTCAGATCATTCAGCTCCTTCAGCAAATAATCCATTCGAGTTTCCATGCTCGACTTGCTTGAAGTCTCAGATCGCGTGGCCATTTGAGCCTCACCGACTTCAGTGGTCACAAAGCGCAGGACTTCCCGAAAATCCTCCGGGCAGTCGGAGCGCAGCTGCCGGCCCCCGTAGCGCAGAATGGTCAACGACAGCTCTGCGGAGACCTCGGTGATGGGCCGCGTCAGGACGAAGCGCACCACGTCGAAGACCACATTGCCAGGTAAAATTCCAAAGCTGAACATCAGCATGGTGAAAATCACACAGTTCTTGGCAATTCTCGCATCATTGCTGGGTTCATCAGGGTCTGCATCTGTTGACATCTTCATCCTCAAACGCAGCATCTCCAGGCACTTCAAGAGGGCTGCGGCCCCGAAGGCGGGACCAAAGACCACATGGCAAGCTGCGACAAGAGCTGCGAAGCAACCAAGAACAAGTACTGAGATATTGGGATCTTCCACAGCCGCTGACAGGAGCGCCTCCACAAAGGCATCTGCTGCTTTGGCAGAGCCAATTTGGGGAACTAAATCACTGAGGACTTTCACAATTTCCAGACTACTTGGATCCAAGTTACCTTCAGAAACACGATTCAAAATACCTCGCAGAGTTCGCTGTTGAGATTGAAGGCCATCTCGTGCCTTTGCTCGCAAGTGCGGGGGCAAGTACCCTCCTTGCGCCACTTCTGACCTTCCCTCGGCTTCGTCAGGAGCCTCACTTGCTTCTGCATCACTTGCCTGTGGCTCTTCTGATTCTGCTCCTTCCTCTGCAAAGTCCCCTGCATCAGGCTGAAGGGTACCAGATTTGCCAGCATCTTCGTCCTGGTCGTCCTTTGGACCTTCATCTTCCGAGGTGATTTCTTCATCGTCATCCCGAAACTTCCTTTTTCGCGCTGGCTTCCCAGACTTCCCGTCCATGCCCGCTTTCGACTTTGATGTGACCTTTGTCTCCTTTGTCTCCGTCTCAGCTTTGTGACCGAAGAAATGGTCGCGTCTCGCTTTCTTCTCTTGACGCTTCTGCTTTCGCAGCAACCTCCTCGGAGTTTTGAAGCCACTACCTTCACTGCCCCCTTTCTGGAGACTCTTGCCGCTCTTGCCCTTTCCGTTTTTTCCGAACTTCCCTTTGCCCTTGACATCCTTGCCCTTGCCCTTGCTCTTGCCCTTGCTCTTGCCCTTGCCCTTTCCTTTCCCCTTGCCCCTTCTTGGATATGCCAAGGAGGCATCTTCCCCTCCCTCGCGGAGGACTTGTCCAACAAAGCTCTGCAACTCCTTCCGGATGTTTACAGGGGCCATGGCTTTGAAGCTAGATGTGTTCTGCGTCCTTTGCCATTTGCCAGCAACGCCCCAGCAAAGGTTGGAAATATTATTGGTGGATGGTACAGTTGGCGTGAGCATTGTGGGGTTGACGTGGCTGAATCCCATCAACATAATGTCAGTGCGATTGACTGATCCATCAGAAAAATGCCTTCGTGCCAGCTCTCGTAACACCACCGCTTCTCAACTAACCAATCGCTCAACAAAAGATGTGGCTGGCACAAACCTCTTGCCCAGTTGGTTGAGACTAATTCATTGAATTGTCACTTTAGTATCCTATTGTCCTCCTCTTGGTGCAGCTTGATCCATGCCAACGAGGAGCGATTACGTCAAAAAGGAGAGACCAGGAAGCTGCAGGGCGATTTGGACACTGACATGATCCCCTAGGTCAAAACAACCAAACCCCGAAAACCAGCCTAGCAAACATCGGAAATTACTGGTTTTCACATGGAAGATAATCTTTCAAACCTACAATTTTGGGGTTGCAAGTTGCATCTTAGTTTTCCAGAGGCTGCCTATCCAAGGTTTCTGGATTTCAGCTGAGGGATCTGCCCAGGATGCACTCCAGATCAAGGCTGGCTGAACGTGGGCTCTTCGGAGGATATCCACCTTTTTCAAAACTCTTCCAACTACAAAGCTTGGATGGCACATAAGTTACTTAGCAGCTGAACATCATCTTTATCTGCAAATGTGCCATTGTGTTTCTCTGTGCGTGTGTGTGTGTGTGTGTCATCTGAAAATGGCTTGAGGCCCACAAAGTTTGCACAAAGCAGGCCTTGAGGAGTTTGTCCCCTCGCCGTGGCATCAAGAGCATGCGCCCATCCTAAGTTCATGCAGAAAAACTGTCACACATGGATGGACGATCTCATGCACCAGTGCCAACAGCGAGAGCTGTTAAGAGTTGCGTGAAAAGAAACGGTGCTCGGACTTCTTTTGAAAGGAAGACTGAAACACGACCAATGACCACGACGCACTGGTTCGATATGTTCCTTCTGTTGTAAGGTGTCAGCCAATTCGAGGTTTACAGCCATCAGCGAAACCTCAAGCCAACGAGGCGGCAGTCCGGCAGGTTTAGTGCCTTCATCAACCTGAAATTTGAATAAGGTGGTTTTGGGGTATGTAACGTATGTGGTTCCTTTTGTTTACTGTACTGCAATCGTTTTTGGTGAGTTCATGACACTGTTGCAAACCTCATCCATGCAACACTCACAGAAGAAACTGAGCACACTGCAGCTGCAGCAGCATCACCAGACTGAAATGCACGAAAGCCGCATTCAGCCCCACTGACGCAGACCTTCACTGGATGCCAGACGCACTATACTCCCCACTTCCTATCCACTTCGTAGCCACTTCATACCCACTTACTAATTATCTTGGATGCTCATCCGCACCTGCAACACATGACGAGCTGTGCCCGCCACGCTCTCCGGGAACACCTTGAAGCTAAAGAATCAGGTGTGGCATGTCACAATGGGTTTTTTAACGTTCATATACGATACATCAAATCATCAAATGGTACTTTTTTGAGGTCTCACGTTCTTTAAACAACCCGCAAGAAATCGCAGTCTCCAAGGCCCTTGCAACTGTCAAGCCCTCGCCTGAGAGGTTCACCTAGCGTCTTGGACGTCCAATGATCCACTGGGTTGATTTCGATTGAGTTTGTAAATTATAAGCCACCACGGTTTCAACTGTTTCAACCATCCCAACTCGTTTCCTGTTGGGATTCCCTCAGAACCAATCTCGCAGGCAAAGGCATAAAATTGAAGTTCATCCAACCTCCTAACAAACATGTTTATTGTTGGTTCACAACTTCAAGGCAAACTGGGCTGGATAATCCAATGTGTGATACTACACGTATGTGGGTGTGCCATGTACATGTACATCTGATTAAAAAATTATATTATATAATATATATATATATATATGTGCATGTGTATGTATATCATGCGTTTATCATGTAATTATCATCCCCCCCTTCGCACCTCTACAGAGCACTGCCCCCGCGGCTGTGGATCCTCCTGGCACGAAACAAAGACGTCATAGTCATAGGCATCTTTTTTGAAAAGGTTGAACCAACAAAAACGTTACAGTAGTTAAAATCATTTTAAAAAAATATCGAAAATATGTCTGGCAATCAAAAATGGCCACTGTGGATAAGTTGCTGGCAAAAATTGAATCTTCTCTGCATTTTCAGTTGCCCAACCTCCTCTAGCAGCTCATCCAATACCGTCTGGGCATGGCTGGAAGGGGGTGGATTCGTTGAGAAAACTCAGTTTGCGTGGTCAAAATGTCTGCAAACATCCGACGTGTCCGAGTTTCCCTTGCATCATATTTCAGCAAACAAGTGATTCTAAATCTGGTATCTTTAATCTCCGCAATTATATGTTGTGGACCAGCTTGCAACTGTGATCTTGTGATTTGTCAATCTATTGCGTATCTCCAGCTCGGTTTTACATTCTCCATCTATCTATCTCCATCTATGCATTGAGAGAGAGAGAGAGAAAGAGAGAGAGAGAGAGATAGGGGGGAGAGAGAGAGAAAGAAAGAAAGAAAGAAAGAAAGAAAAGACAGACAGAGAGAGAGAGAGAGAGAAAGAAAGAAAGAAAGAAAAAGAGAGATAGCTAGCGAGAGAGAGAGAGGGTGGAGAAGAAGAGGAGCAAAAAAAGAAGGCCCAGGGACCAAACAACGTGTCATCCATCTGCAACCCCTCACCGGTGCCTCTTGGAGACTATGCCCAGGTAGAAGTTCTTCCAATCTTCTTGCAGCCCTCTGCTTGACACGCACCTGCTTGCAGTTCACCATCTGATCATCTGGATCTAAACCCCCCCAGTCATGGGTCAAAACCGTGGGTCAAAACCATGGGTCTCCCAAAACAGTTTGACAAGGACCAGAACAGATCACCTGGATGGGGTTGATGACATACCTGCTCCACAACCTCAAGTGCAATACCGGTGCTACAGGTGTGACAGAGGGGTTGTATACTCAGCTTCAGAACTGCATCAAGGGCTTGACTGAGCAAACATGCCCGCATTGTCGCCAACAGGTAGCAGCCCTTGAGCTTGTTCATGTCCAGCCGCCAGGGCTTCCCAAGCCTCATCCACTGCAGCAACCACCTGCAGGCTTTCAGTGTCTGCAGTGGCTGGAATTGTTAAATGGCTTCTGCACAAAGTGGCCTTGCCTTTCAAGGTTTTTCCTCTGATTATTGGCTGGTTCGGGCATCAACAGTGGAATCAAGGTAGATCTTTGTTACGTTTATCACTATGATTAAATCATTAATCATATTGATGAGAACTCAGCGACAAACAACCAGCACCTTGCGGATCTGCACTTCGTACCACCTCTCCACTGCAGAAAGCCCGACTCCAAATGCGAGAGACATGTTGGTGGGTAGTCCCGATGGAGAGTTTGATACTTGATGAGGACCAAGGACCTATGACCTGTGACCTACACTGGATATCACTGGATCAGCAAAGTTCAGCCGTTCTCAAGGCACAGCAAAGAATTGAGACTGCGACTGAACTGCAATCAACGTGCTACCTGCTGTCACCAACACATGGCGATCAGAGTTGCTCACCTGCAGCGCATGTCATCACTATGTCATCACTGGGAGGCACAGCAACGAGTCTGTCCGAGCTTCATCATGGAGTAGTTACAAAATGTTAAGCCTCAAATATCCCACCAAGAAGTCCCCAATTTTTTGGCAGTTTTTACATCTATGTATCTATCTATCCATCCATCCAACTAACCAACCAACCATCCCATCCTATTCTATCCTATCCTTTCCTATCCTATCCTATCTATCTATCCAAGTATATCCAAGTAAATAAATACCATTTTGACCAGCATGTTTTTGACATTTTCTGGGGGGACTCCCTTGGTCCCGCCTGCAGGGACGCACCACGTGTAAAGGATATCAGCGCAATCTCCTCGCTGCAAAGGTGGCAGGCACCCACCTGGCGGTGCTGGGGATTTCATCAATGATCATGAATTGGGGAATGAGTTACTATATTCAATGATATGTTAAATTATATAATATATATATACATACATATATACACATATATACACATAAAACGAGTGCTGGCCTACCAACCACTGCTGCGTGTTTTTTGGTTGGCAAACACGGTTCATCCGTTTTTCTGATCTTTTGTCACCCAGGTTATGGCATGTAAGCTGGCCATTGCTCAAACTCATCTGCACCTTCCCCTGCATTTCACTTCGCCCTTCGAAGCCAGCGTATTGTGCACTGATGTTTTCCAAGGCCAAGGAAACCTGCACAGCCACTGCAGCCAGTGTAGCCACTGCAGCCACGTCCGATGTCCCACCTTCTGGTCCGAAGTTGGACAAAGCACCTGGCAATGCAACGGTTAAAACGGATGTTTGTTGCAGGCTGAAATTATTTGTATATCTATCTATCTCTCGATCGATCTATCTAATCTAATCTAATCTAGCCTAGTCTAGTCCAATTTCATCTAATCTAATCTATCCACCTATCCATCCATCCGTCCGTGTTCGTCTGTCTGTGTGTGTGTGCGCATATCTTTCTCCGTGCTGTTTTATGAAACTCCAATTGAGCCAAGTCGAACTACCGTGCAGGCCCTAAAATTGCAGGCACCAGCTCAAAGTTCATGATGGACACCTTCACTTGAACCTGAGTGCTGGTTTTCTACTGAATCCAATTTACATTAAATCGGAACATGCCCTTTGTATCTATTGTTCAGATTTGTAGATCAGTGAATCGTTTGCAAATCGGTAAGTTCCATTGCAGGTTTCAATAGCACAGGGTCCATTGATCGATCGGCTACCAAGGGTCCGGCTCTAGGCTTCGCAGATTCAGCCCCCTGCTGACATTTCAGGGAGGCGTCTTGCAGCCAGTTGGGAGATTTGGCAACGACACTGTCAACATACACCCTGATTGATGTAAAACCCAAAAGTGATACAGTTCCCTTGGAATCTATTGGAAATAAAACACCCCTGTGCCACTGAACCGGGACCGCCACAGGTTTATTCCAGGGTTGGCATCATCAACCGCCTCGACTTGGGCTGCTGCGCCACAATGCCCACCAGCTGCTGTGGGAGCCACTGGAGCAGCAGTGACTGCAGTAGCAGCTGCATCTGACAGCACCTGACATATCCCCGAAAGGAGTGCAGGAGAAGTCCTCTAAGGATATCTAAGGGGGAGCAGGGGATGCCCCACTCGGCCCTTTCTCATGGTTTCGTTCGCTCAGGGATTTCTAAGGGTGCAGAACTCAGCTGCCGGCATCACGCAAGGGACTCATGGCATAGTCCAGGCCTCAGAAAAATGATAACCATGCTAATGGCTAATCCCTCCATAATATTTGCCTTGTATTGGATCAGTTCATATTGGGGAAAGAACACGAGGTAGGCATGTGGTAGGCTTCAGGCTTGCAGGAAGCTGGCCCACCACCTGCAGCATGCCATCACTGCAGGAAAGGTGGTCGCCATGCGTCAACATCAACAACACAAACACAATAACCTAGGTACTATCATCGCCAGAATCAACTACAGCATGGCAAAAAAAAAAACACCTTCATTAGCATTCTGGCGCAACTCTAATCAACCCATTCAGAAAAAAGAATGGCTTCACATCTCTCTTGGACTTGGGCATCATTTTTATTATCGTCGTGAACACGACCACAGCACCGACAGCCACCAGGGCCTTCATGAACAGCGGCCCAATATTCCATCGGAAGGCTTGGCTCTCCAGGCTCCATCGCCTCAGCAGCAAAATATCATGTCAATATCACCATGATATCACCATGATTGATGCTGTTTATCTCAACAAATCTAGGAGTCTGCAGAGTCCAGGACGCCCAGAAGCCAGTGTGTTTACATCGTCATGAGGCCACCAACTGGTGGTTTATGCTCAGGTCCCAGCCAGTGCTGGGCGTTCTCCGCGTCCCTCCAAGCTTGCAAGCTCATGGTTGTGGGCTCATAGACCTGCACACGAAGAGCTCGTCACAATGACAGACTCAAAGGTGGGGGCAGCCTCCCATTTGAAAAAAAGGGCTTTAAACAACTGGTAATCAACTTAAATAAAGGAGCGAGAAAGAAACACCGCTGACAGTCGACTGCCCGGCGCACCCTGCATTCGGTTCCGTCTTCACCCTGTGCCGTAACCTGGGAGGTGTGACACTCAGAAGCAGCAATCACCAGTGAGTGCTAAGGGCATGACACAGGTCTCGGTCAGCTGGCAGAAGCAAGAGAACTTCATCCAGTCGCACCTGGCAGCACTGAGTCAGCAACATCATCAGAATAGACAGAATAGAACGGGAAATTGAAGGCAATAGAAGGCAAATATGATTCTATACAGGCAGATTCTACATAACTTATATAACTTTCATACGGATTTGAACTAAGATTAGTGGTGCTTCAGATTGGTTTGGAAGTCCCAGGGTCCCTGGCTCAAAGGAACTCTTGCTCTATTGGGCATCCCAACCGATCCATTGAGTAACCAAAAGGCTGACAAGAGCATCAAACATGTGAAGATATGTGAAGTGTCAGACCAGAAGATTTTCGCAAACAAATGCTGGAGGTATGAAAATCGTCCCAAAATGCCACATTTCCCGATGTATCTCAGCTCTTCGTTGGATGTATCCATTGTGTCCCTTCACAATATTGACCCCCTGGAAATCCTGATTCGGTATTGGATCTGTTCATTTTGGCATAGGCCAATCTGCGCCTCTCAGCCGGTGCCAAGTGTTGGGGCGGCCGTTGGCTGCTGGTGCGGAAAACAAATCGCCCCAAGGCCACGGTGACCTCAGGCGTCATGAGGAAATGACCGCCCTTGGTGCAGAATCTGTCGGCCATGGGTCACACACGGTCACACGAAACACTCAGATGATTTTGGATGGAAATGATGCCACAAGAATTGCCGCGTTTCACCTGAGACTGAACCACCAATGATCACGACCTTGTGCTTTTCCTCAGCAGGGCATTCCCTGAGGCTGCGGCGTGACCGTCGGAAAGCAAGCCCCAACCTGCAACAGACTTGTGGATGCAGGTTGCTTCCGTACGGCCTTTCGAAATTGGCAGAGGTCCAGACGAAACACTGGAGCTGCAACCTGAAAGCCGTGAAGGATGAGTGCAACATAGTGCAACTATGTGCCCCTGTCAAATAGATGCGCCCAAAAGCAGGGATAACTGGGAGTTGATTGGATTTGGAACCAGATTTTGTCACCTGTCTCCATACCTCTCAAGCTTTCGGGAACATAAGTGCCCAATTGTTGGAGGTGCCGGGCTTGTGATCTGCAAATAAAAAACTTGTGATTGTGATCTGACTACTTCAAGATTTTGAAGTTTTGGGTACCTGACAGCTGCCATGGTCACAGCAAATCTACAAAGGGTCCTGAGAGCCACACATCTAGATCCAGGTCTAACATCAAGGCCTGTACATCTGGTCCACTGTCTGCTGCCTCCCAAAAAGCAGCTTGCTTTAACCACAAGGCAGGTCTGGACAAAACTTCCGGCCATGTCATCGGACTGAAGGGGGCATACATTCATTGAACATCACTAGACTGAGATCTTTAATGTCAATTTTCCAGTACCATCCTTTCAAGTGTGTCAGATGGTAGCTGTTCGGGTCCTACGCTGCACCATACCTTGGGGCTGGTAGTCGCTGATGGTGACTGTGTATCTGCCACATCTGGAAGCAAAGCGGGATCAGCACCTCGCAGGCTAGTGGCTAAAGATTTTGATCATTCTAGTTATCAATCGTCATCAAGGTCTGAATAAACGTGGTTAGTTGGGGTCTATATACATCATAATCGTAAGCACTGGGAGTCACACAGTTGTACCATGTCTTACCACCATTTGAGTTTCTGTCAACTATCACTATGACAACTCCCAGTGTTAGTTCTTTAAACAGAACCATCATGAGGGGGTTGGGCTTCAGTAACAGCTGGGCTTGCGGCGGGTGAGCGTCACGGCACGGGCCTTAAACAACAAACACCTAAACTGTCCTGGCCCCTCTGCGTCCAAATCTCCAAAGGGCTGAGGCTCA